ATTTACAAAAGACCACTTTGAATAATTGATTAAACATTCATAATAGGTTGATTTAGATCGCAATCAATATAATTGAAATGTATAAAGATTCCTAAATGGCTTTTGTACAATGTATAACATCTAGATTTTGTAAAGATATAGGTAAGTTTTTTAATGTTAGGCCACCGCATTTGAAGAGCTGACTTTATTATATTAAATTCAAAATTCAAGTGGTTATTTTTACTGAACTTTGGAATGATTTTACTTGCTTTATATACCAACCAACAAGTCTAAAAAGAAAATAACTTTTTTAACCGCCTTAAAGTTGGTCTCTTTAGTTTGATATTAGTAATCAGTATTTCTGATAAGAATCGTATGACTGAAAATCCTTCTGGGTCGAAGGTTTTTTTTTTTTTTTTTTTTTCAATATGAAGAACACCAGACTTGAAGTGAGTGAGTTCAAAGTACACTTGTGATAAGTTGATATTTTCCTTTCACTGAGAGTCATATATGTTCTGCCTTAAAATATTTCGAATGGCGGATACCACAAGATTCTTCACTTTGTATAAGACTAATCATACAAGTTTTGGGCAGTTCAATTCCTCCAACCTCTGGCAATTTAAAAAAGAAATGTGATGACGTCTAGATTGAGAAATGAATATGATGCAAAAAAATTGTTTACTATATGACTTATGTAAATTTGAAAACAACATTATGTAAGACCGGTACAAAATCGACATTGGCGATATTTCCAAACTGAATACTTGATTTTTATGACGTCACAATACTTATGACGTCATGATGTTATAACGTTACAGTGAAACCACCAAGAACATGCAGCCAATCACATCTCTATTATGTCATTACATTTGTATAAAAAATTGAAACATAAATCAAAGAGAAAAAAAAAACAAAACAAAACAAAAAAAAAAACAAATACAAAAACAAGAAACAAATAAAAAAATGGCGGTTGGGGTGTGTGTGGAGGGGCGTGATTTTTGTTACCGCACTTAGAGTTAATTATTTGTCTGTGTCATTTTACGTTTTTTTTTTTAACTTCAGGCGTGTATGTCATGATCTCGGAAAAATGGTTACAGTATCATTTGTATTAAAAAACAATACTTTTTCTTCGAACATTTTCCAGCTGAGACGCTCAGAATTAATTCTGTTACACCGACTAGAGGAAGTCTATTTGGCGGGACAAGGCTGACTATTTACGGCCAAGGATTCGCTAAGAGTCTGTTTAATATGTTACCCGAGGACTCACACCTTGGAAACAAAGTTTCACTGGTATCGGAAACACGATCTTTCGACTGTAGTATCCACGAGGATGGCACGACAACAGATCAGATCACGTGTTACACGTAAGTATACACGGACACTTTAGAACAGGTTTCAGTTAAACATCCTATATGTTATTCGTATGACAAATTAGGTCGATATTTGGCAACCATTTAGCCCTGTTATTGTTGACAAAAATAAAATATTAAAATGAAGAAAAGCAAGCTAACAGGCAAGGCCCTTAAAGTAGTATACGTTTTGTCAGCGTCAGCATTATAGGATCTTATAGCTGACTGTAATCAAGCCCCATGTCAACGTTTTCAGACATATAATTTTCAAATTGAGAAACAAACGTAACCTCTAGATGACGTACTACTATATACATAGAAGTGCTTTTAACACTACCAGTAGAATCTGAGTGTACCGTTTCGATGACTAAACGGTCACCTTTTATCAGACAAATGAAAACGGTGAAGCGCTCTAGCACAGAACTTGATAGTTTACGAAAGGGTAAGGAATCCACGTACTTTTGCGGCTGTGCTATAGTTCTAATTTTATTTCAAATTATATATTTTTAGCTAAAAGATAGTGTGACGCGATGACACACATATTACAAGAAAATGTAGTCATCGAAATGTCACACTCATGTCTTCTACTGGTTGTGTTATAAGAGGTTCTATTCTATCGCCATTATCAACCTTGAGAAAATGTTTCGGGAAGAAAAAGCTGTAAATAACTTATTTTTCGCGTGGATTTTATTTTCGCGTCAATGCGAGATGAAAATTAATCGGGAATTCCAATCTCTCTAAATTCTTTATGGATGGCATCCATGTTAATTTCGTTACCGATATCGACTTTTTGTAAAATCCAATTCCCTTAAAGTTTATCATTCGTGAATTTAAAATTATTTCTAGATCAGCAAGCACGAAATTATTTAATCGCAAATATGTCTGATGAGGTACGTCGTAAAATAAAGTGCTCGCGAAATCAAAGTGATCAACAGTATTACATATAACTGTAATAATTTTCTGCATTGTTTCCGAGATCTTCGCTGGGAGTACCTGGTAAATAATTATAACATATAATCTTTATCTTCAGAACTGAAATGCCGCACGACCACTACAAGATACACGTAACGGTAGATGGACGAGAAGCTTTGAAGTGTAACTGGTGTACATTTATAGTGAGTAAAATATTTTGTTATCCCCAATATAAATATATAATAAATATATTTTAACGGTGTTTTACAGTATGATTACTGTCTTATAACAGACATGTAAGTGTTACGCGTAACTTTTCTTATAACAGACATAAGTGTTACGCGTAACTTTTCTTATAGCAGACATATAAGTGGTACGCGTAACTTTTCTTATGCAGACATAAGTGGTACGCGTAATTTTTTTTATAGCAGACATATAAGTGGTACGCGTAACTTTTCTTATAGCAGACATGTATGTGTTACGCGTTATTTTGTTTTTATAGCAGACATATAAGTGGTACGCGTAACTTTTCTTATAGCAGACATATAAGTGTTACGCGTAACTTTTTTATAGCAGACATATAAGTGGTACGCGTAACTTTATAGCAGACATATAAGTGTTACGCGCAACTTTTTTATAGCAGACATATAAGTGGTACGCGTAACTTTTATAGCAGACATATAAGTGTTACGCGTAACTTTTCTTATAGCAGACATATAAGTGGTACGCGTAACTTTTCTTATAGCAGACATATAAGTGGTACGCGTAACTTTTCTTATAACAGACATAAGTGGTACGCGTAACTTTTCTTATGCAGACATGTGGTACGCGTAATTTTTTTTATAGCAGACATATAAGTGTTACGCGTAACTTTTTTATAGCAGACATATAAGTGTTACGCGTAACTTTTCTTATAGCAGACATATAAGTGGTACGCGTAACATTTTATATAGCAGACATATAAGTGTTACGCGTAACTTTTCTTATAACAGACATAAGTGGTACGCGTAACTTTTCTTATAACAGAAATAAGTGGTACGCGTAACTTTTCTTATAGCAGACATGTAAGTGATACACGTAACTTTTCTTATAGCAGACATATAAGTGGTACGCGTAACATTTTATATAGCAGACATATAAGTGGTATGCATAACTTTTTTATAACAGACATATAAGTGGTACGCGTAACTTTTCTAATAGCAGACATATAAGTGGTACGTGTAACATTTTATATAGCAGACATATAAGTGGTACGCATAACTTTTTTATAACAGACATATAAGTGGTACGCGTAACTTTCCTTATAACAGACATAACTGGTCACAAACTCCTAAATAAGGCCTCAGTATCTCGTAGGTCACATATAGTGGTACGCCAACTTCTAGGTAGCTTCATTACGAACAACCTGGACACACAGTCCTGGTACTCAGAAATATGGCACACAGCCTCTCAGACACACAGTCCTACAACTACAGTCTCCGGACATACATTCTCTAGACGAAACTGTTTCAGTTTCATAGACACACTGTCCTAAACGTCTCACGGACACAGTCCTAGACAAACAACATGGCACACAGCCCACACAACTTAGTTAATAAAATTTACAAGCACACAACCATCATTAGCACCCAGCTTATAAAATTTTATACTGACAGGTACCAGTTCTAGGCGCCCAACATATTAATTCCTGGAATTAGGCACACAACCCTTCCAACAATACTCCCAATATTCATGGTAATGAGCTCTTGAAAACACAACCTCCACTGTCGAAGTTCTGTCTGGAACTGCCCAGTCCCACCTAGGGTTTCCCACAAAATACCTTGTAAGTGCATGCTTAGCACACGTGCCCCAACTTACATGAGAACTACTTGGGACCTTCGCTGGCCCACATTGGCCTGACAAGTTCCCAGTTACCTGAGGCACAGCGCGTGCAAAACAGGTATGTGAATGACCTGTCATGGTTGAGTAACCACCATAGTAAACTCATAGTGACACAATTGTAAACATTGTGGTAAAATATTTAGGAGTATCCTGACAATACGTTATATTTTGTTTTTATCGAACATACAAATTGTACACATCGGAAATATCACTCTTTCAGCCATGGAAATGGTACACGCCTGAGATAACGTATTTCTCGCCTACGTCTGGGCCACCAGGTAAGCTATCTTCAAACGAACAACCATGACATATTTCTTATTGAACATCCATGCGTCTTCTCAAGTTATTAAATATTTCATTCACACTCTTTTTATTTAAAATGTCTTAATTGAAACTTCAGCTTTGGGGAGTTTTTCGAAAACCGTATTTATGACACGTGCATTATTTATCTATATCAAATTCTGTAATCTCAAGTGTATTCGAAAGTGCCTGTGTTCAACTTATAGCTGATAAAGTGCGTACTGATATTCGAAATTTATTAATCATATTCATATTCTTAAATACCTACATTGTTGTCCTATTTTGTTTTCATTTACATGATAATTATAAATACGCTGAGCTAACGTTCATTTCACTGAGATATTTATATCTTTATCGATACATTTCATAGCAAAAAATATCCTTGAAACAAAAAACAAAAATCCGATTTTGGAAATTAATTACTATAATTACTTTTCTCATACATAACACAAAAATGCGGCTTCATTTCTGATGTATCCGAATGACAAAGTGGTCCATATCACATCAATTCCAGTACGGTTATTAGTTTGTAATATGCCATAAACTTCATACCATATGTTGCTAGGTACATTGATTACTATGTGCGGGCGGATATATACCAGCAGCTTTGGAGCAGACATGACCAGCATGAACGGCCGTGAAGACGTAGATATTAGAAGGTAAGATTGGCCCAGCAAAAACAGACGAATAGACATGTTTAATATGGGGTTACATATCTTATTATTATCATTGGAAACGTGAGATTACTGACTTAAAAAGACCATGGCGGATGGTCCCGATGACGCAAGGGACACCCAACCTGTACTTGGTACTCTACTTGCAATTTGCATGGAAATTTTGTTCAGAGTTTGATCGAGTAAGAGGTAAAAGTAAGATTCTGCACAAGCTATTATCGGGTTGAACTGGCACAAACGGACGAACCGACTTGACCCTGAGAGGGTAGTCTAATACAAGATTCATGTATCACAATACATTTTATTCTGGTGGAGTCAGTCAATATGTGAAATCAGGTACACCTGAAAAACAAGATCAATCAAAGTAGAACTAGATCAACGAGCGTTTCCTCTAAGTGAAAGCTAATCCAACCAGAACCACAGCATTTATTTTTTAAAATATACATAAAGCATTTAAATTTACTTTATGTAATAATAAGGGTACTACCTGACTTATTAAACACACATATTTACATATTGGTCCTTTGGTCCATTTTCAATATATGATGTGATCTAAATGCAAAAGGTTTGTCTTTTCACAGACTATAATCCGACCAGTCGAAATAAGTCAATCTGTCTCTGTCTTTCTGTCTCTGTCTCTCTCTCTGTCTGTCTGTCTCTGATTCTCTCGGTCTCTGTCTGTCTGTCTGTCTCTCTCTCTCTCTTTCGCTGTCTGTTTGTTCTCTGTCTGTCTGCCTCTCTCTTCTCTGTCTGTCTCTGACTCTCTGTGTGTCTTTCTCTGTCTCTGTGTGTGTGTGTCTCTCTCTTTCTCTCTTTGACTCTCTCTCTCTGCTGTCCCTCTCCTTCTCTCTCTCTCTCTCTCTCTCTCTCTCTCTCTCTCTCTCTCTCTCTCTCTCTCTCTCTCTCTCTCTCTCTACAACGATGTAAACACAATACAACGCATGTGAAATCTGTTGAACCCGATTTCAGAGTACGTGCTGGTGGATTTCAGTGTGAAATGAAGGACGAGAATGGCGAATTGTAAGTATGCTGGATCAATACCACATGAAGCAGACCCACATAGACACATTTCAAACATACTCTTTGGTTTTATGTACATACTATAAAGTTCCTGGCAAACACAAATTTACGCCATTTTAAAAGCGTCGAAGCTTCTAATCTTATATACCTTGTCGTGTTTTATCTTTTAACCGAATTATCTTTCGATGAGAGAAATTGATAAATGATACTCAATTCTGTCTGTCCTTTCGATGTTATTCAAATACTCAGGTTTAAATGATACTCAGATCTGTATGTTCTTTTGTTGTCATTGAGATACTCAGGTTTAAGTGTCAGATTTGTAACTTTAAAAAAAAAACATCCTGAACGTCATTCAGTCGAAAAATCTGTAATTTTCCTGTGCATTTCCTATCAGACTGTAAAACCAATTTACAAATTTAATATTTCAAAAACCGTTTTATTCATTTATGCATGGTCAAACGAACATATCTGATTTCAAATTAAACATGCTAGCACCGTCTTTAGACTTCGTTTTGCCATTTGCTTCCTACAAAGATACGGCCTATATCTCGATTCCGAGACAAGTGATTATGGCTGCTTAACCTGCAAGATATCTCCAACGGGTTCAAGGACAGGTGAGATGACTCTCAAATTGTTTAGCTTACGTTAAATTATAGTTCTTATTTCTTAGTTTTAGCAACTTTAAACAAAATTGGAAGTAATGGTGGTTTTATTATTTACAAACATTCAGCAAAGTGAACGTTACACTGTTAGTTACGGTAACGATTGATGTATTAACTGATGCAAAAGATGAAAATTTCATCTTGTTCACACCGAATGGTATCTTTAATCGATGACGGTGCATTTTTTAACTGTAAAGAACTTTAGAAAATGTAAATTAGACTGGACCCCAATTGAGAACATGTTATTGTACATGTAGAAAGACGACAGGATTTTTCATTTTGAATATAAAACATTTAAGGTTTGTATTTTCTAGGCATATTGTGAAGGGTTGTCGAGTTATATAATTGATTTTATTTAATCTTTATTTAGTCTACCAGAACAGCAGGTGTGTACAATTGATCATAGATGTTGATGGAAAAGTTCAGTAGTATACAAATATCACTTTACGTCAAAGTTATATGTTTCTGTATTTTCAGGAAGTATCAACGCTACCCTCTTAATATCCGGGCCTTTTGGTTTGTAAGTAATTTACGTATTAAGATCCTTTTTCAGTACTCTTCCTCCCTCCTTGATGTTCGGATTGTTTTATCATTTTAATCATCAATACAACAATATAGATTTATCTTAATATGCTCTTAAATGAATGAGACGGATTATTCTTTTAACAAACATTCTATAGTTTCGAGAGAACATTGATCTATTTAATGCACCCGAACCATCAAACTACACATATTGTACCCATTGTATGATCTATTGTTATTACCTACTTTTACGGTAGTCATAGAGATCTCGTTGAGACATATTCTATTTCTTTTTTTTTTTTTTTTTTTTGAACAATGAGCTGGACGTATTTAATTCTCGATAATTAGCCTGTTGGTTTCGTTGTTGTATACCTTGTTATCATTTGATATCGTGACATAACTTACTTGATTGACCAACGTTTACATGACGGATGTCCTGGATGAAGCAAAAGACGCTTACACTTCCGGAACACCTGGTATTTTTTCTCCGTGTAAATCATTATTTTGTACATGATTTGCCCTGGTTTTGTGGAATTTTAATTTGGATTAAGATTATGTTACCATGATGGTATTTTCTTGATTTTTTTCAGAGCTAACATGCACAATAAGAAAATAGATAACATGGGAAAAGTACATATGTTTCAGAGCTATGCTGGTAAGTGTTTTCCAAGAATGTCACAATTTTACCATATTCGATCAAAAATGATAAAATTAAGTTGACCTATCGATACTTTCTTTCATGTTTTCGCTATCTTAGTTCTTAGATCTTTGGAAATATCCATCGCTGGCATCTCTATTTACAAAGAATGTTTATACAGTGCCACTGCAAAGTTTAAAACATCAAAACAATATTCACTACTATATATTTTGGAGATAAGATATGTTATCATGGTACATTTTTGTATACACAGACCCAAAATAGAGTCTTTAGTGACCAAACAATATCATATTATATTATAGTATCGTGGTACTCTTATATACACAGGATGTTTGTTCAGTCCCACTCCAGAGACTGTAGTGTTAAACAACTCCGGCTATTCTTTGACAGAACAATATATTATCATGGTACAGCTCTATAACAAATCCTGTTTATACAGTGGGATTTAAATACAAACATTAGGATTACACTACTTGTTAAAACCAACCACGAGTGCTAGTTAAAACAATCCGGAAGGACCTCTTATAATGTGATACTTTATTTGTTGTTATATTTATTTTTGTAATTTATTCCAACAAAAGGCTTTTATCTATGCTGATATTGTTTGTTCGCAAATCCTCTTCAGTTTAAAACGTATGTGCTAATTCTTTTTCAGTCATCGATTCTGTTTTCCCTACATCTGGCAGCTTAGAGGGTGGTACCGTGCTGACCATATCAGGAAACCATTTTGACAACTCTGTAGAAGACCCTATAGTCTATATAGACGGTATGATATTGACTACAGAACAAACGGCATGCTAGTGAATGACATCTGTAAATACAAATTAGGAGTTTGAAACAGTAGAGCCAAACAATGAATTAGACTCATGCATCCTTGTAGAACTCGCCAGTGATGTTAAAGGCCTAACTATTTAGAAACGACAGAGGAAACATAAAGATATATTGATAAAAGATGAAATCTAAAGTGGGAGGTGTACTAGTCCCATGATTCAATAAATTTCATAATTTTCGTAATGTGTATATCATGACCCATTTCATAATTCATATATTCAAAACGTTGCATACAGGTTAAGGCAAACCTCTGGAACTACAACTCCACCAATTATTTGTACTGCCTTGTTGTGATCACACCAATTGCTATTATAATAGCTTGTTACCTAATCGAGTATCTTTGTTCCAGGATTGAACTGTGAGGTACTGACAATGACGGAGACAAAGATAACATGTCGGACTCCGCGTAACCAAGGATCTCCCAAAACAGCGTATACAGGTTCTTTCCCTTATATAATTATTGGTAGTACTGTTTAGTGTTAGATCGTGGGCAAGTTTGCTGCTCGTTAGTTGGCTTGTTGTGTTGAGTGTTGTATACCCTGTTATCATTTTAGACCGTGATATTACTTAATTGGATTGACCAAGGTTTACATGGCTAGTGTCGCAGACACTAACTACTCTGGAACGCCTGGTCTTATCATCCTTGTACGTTATTGCAAACCTTTGTTTTATCATAAATTACTATTGTTTTATATAATTTGACCTTTGATTATGACTATCTTGACATATTGATATTTTTGTAATCATTTGACTACATCGAACAACTTCATAAGAATATGTATTGTATATAAACAATGATCTCCCCTTGTTCTTTGAAACTTCGAGTTCTGTAAATCCTTATCAATGTATCCTTATCAAATGAAACATGGGCACCGAAGGCACACATCTTTGTACCATTTTTTTTCGGTATAATTGGGAACACTGTATAATTAAAGATATTTTAGTGTGTAAAATTTATCAAAGAAGTAGTGTTACATTTAAAAAGTAGAGATCTTTGTTACTACAATCAGGTAATTAAAATTAAGTTGACTTATAGTTACTCTTTAACACGTTCATTAAGTGATCCACAATTGAGTTTGACTTATAAGGCAATGCTTTCAATTTGCGAATTCACAAAACATAAAAGGTGTTTGTCATTAACGCCAATCTAAAATAACCACACACATCTCGATTAGATATGGAGAGTCAATATTTTTCCTGTTGGTCTCATTTTGTAATATTTTTAGGGCAAAAACAACGTGAAAATACATTAAAAACACCAACACGTGAAAAAAAAATCTTGATACAAACTCGGGTAAATCCAGGACAGTCATGATCAAAAGAAAGACTTGGAGAGTTTCGGTAAAAAAAAAGTACAAGGAGATAAGAGAAGTGTTTCAGGACAGCAAATGTCTTCGGATTCATTGACGACAACTTTCATATGAATCTTGGTCAAACCAAGTCATTAGTGTTCCGTTAAAAATTAAAAACAACGTATACACAATAACGGAACCAACAGGCAAACTAACGGGCATCAAAAAAAGTATTTCTCATGAGATCAGTATACGTCCACATGGACATTTATACATTTTTGTTTTACATGTACATTTATTTAAATTTGAAATTAAGTATTCACTTTTTCATACCTTAAGGAAACCGGGGGCTTCTGATGGAGGTGTGGAATATATACAAGTCACAAGCAAACCTTAAAGATGTACTCAAGTTTAACAGTTCTACAAGCGGGCACATCGCAAGGTGGACAGACGATTTCTTCACCGAGAACGTTTTCACTGAAATGGATTTATTTACTGGTAGATTTCAGGGTTATTTCTTACCGCCCTGGGAAAGTGATTATCAGTTTCTGTTGAAATGTGATGACGGTAGTGAGCTATATATGGAAATAGACGGAAATATGGTAAGTTTTACAAACTAGCGACGTATATAATTTTCCATTCAATTGTTTGCAATATTCGAAACCTTAATTCACTAATTATAAACAAAAGTTCAACATAAAAAAAGCATTTTACTTTTTTTAAAAAAATGTGGGTGGGTGTGGAGTGGGGGGTGGGGGTGGGGATGGAGGGTGTTGGTGGGGTTGGTGGTGGGGGTGGGGGTGGGGGTGGCGGGTGTTGGTGAGGGTGGGGGTGGAGGGTGTTGGTGGGGGTGGGGATGGAGGGGGCGGGCTGCGGTGTTATTGCTATTGTTTATCTTCAGATGAAATGCTACTTATCTTAAATTAGATGCAAAAATATCGTGTCACTAATTTTCTCATAACTGATATATTTTCACGTCATTTTTATTTTATAGACAATGATTGCCGAATGTCCAAAGTATACAAGATACTACACTTCCAACCCTTCCCAGATATCAAGTCGGATGCATTTACTGCCAAACACCAGGTAAAACAGATCATTTAAATCGAGTTATTTTTATGCTTTATCAAGACTAATATCAGATTGTTTTTTTTAATTAGATTACAAGTTAGTTTACTAGCACATACATGTAATTGTTAACACATTGAAAAGACAAATTTACCCACACACCACGGTTAACATCTAAAAAAATAACATCGTAATAATGATCATATATACATAACTAGTAACACACTGGATTCAAATTGAATAAGAAAAAAAATTAAAAAAAAAAAAAAATCACTTTTATTTAAGTTACTACATGGAACTGGTATATCGGGAAGCATGGTCATCATATTTCGCGAAAGTGGCAGCAAGGGTATTTAATCCACTATTAAATGGAACAACGGGAGAAAATGTGGACGGAGTACATCGTGAGCAACGAAGCATTAAGATGGTATCCACCTTTAAGAAGGAAAGACAACTCATTCAGCTTTCTAACTGGGTGGACCAAACAGGAAAAGACGAAATTCAGAAAATTACCGTGAAAGGGACATTCGGCAGTGGTTTTCGGTTGGGAATGTACTCCATATTTACCAGTATGTATTTTTACATGAATGAAATGTTCGAAGTTTGGATTTTCATATTTTCTGGAGATGACTGTAAACCAACTAGGCGTTGTTCTTGTATAAGCTGTGAATTTAATTGCCTAGCTTCGTCCCATTATTAACTGTAATGTACAGGTAGCGTTTCTTTTTATATATATTTTTTTTTGTAATTTTCAGATATTGCAATTATGAAATGTATTACGGGTATCGCTATTGTCAAATACACCAGATTGATTTAGAATTAGAATTAAGAGATACTCATTACATTTTAGCCTGTTGTTTAGCATATGTTTGTGTTTACGAAATGTCAATTTTTTTTTATTAATTAATCGAATAGAATTGTGTTCTAAATCGTCATTACATCTCCCCCACCACACCGATTCCAAGGCCAGTGTAAGTGAGTCCAGAAGACTGTTTCAGAAATGAGGATACCAAAATATTTGCATACTCACACATTTTATTCAATGACCAGATTGTAGCATGCATAAGCAATAATTTTAATATCTGAAGAGTACAATAGTAAATTCCGGTAACATTGATTTGATCAAATTCAGTTCATCATCAGAACATTTTTGGCAGTAGTGTTCAATATAAACAAAACGTGTACTCAAACTATTTTGTAGGGAGATAACAATACACTTGAACCGGGATTTAAATACATTTTATTTTGAAAAAAATGTTGTTTAATGTTCCCGTGTAATAATTTGATTGATTCAATATGTATTCGAATCAATTGTTCTGTAGTGGTTGCGTTCATTTACATAAATAGTATTATGATATAAATATTCATTCAATTATGAAAAGTTCGGGACTACATTTCTAAAATATTATACAAAACATGTACTGTAACTGTATCTAACAAGGAATACAATTTAACTACATGAAATTGCTCAATGTTGAAAACCACTTTAAGATGATAGAAGAGTAATGTTTTTGGATTGTTGGATATCGTTATTGCAGTAGCAAATAAACGAGAGACTTCTTTCTACAAGTATAAGGTTCAACAATAGCAATTGTGAATTCTCCATAAACACTTATATTCTTATTCTATTAAAATTAAACTAAAAGATTAAAATGGCAGAAAAGCTAAAAGATCAGAGAGAGATAACTTGAATTATATATATCTAAAAAGTATAATGTTTTTTTAATCGTTAACGAGTGACAACAAAATTATAAGTACATAATATAAAATACACATTTCCTTGCTTTTATCGTTGTCTAATTCTTCAATAAATCTTTTTCTTGTCATTTTAATATAAAATTCCGCTAAATATAAATGAAATAATGATACCATTTGTTCCATTGGAATCAGCTGTGCACAGTCCAAAATAATTGAAAATCCATGTCTGATGATATTGGTTTTAACTGGTGTATCTTCAGTCTACGTTTATGAATTATACTTCACGTATCATTTTTCACTTTTATTGCAGGAAAGCTACTATTTGCGTGCAGTCCGGAAGATATGGAGAAGGAACTAAACTTTAATCCAGTTTTTTCACAGGGTGATTCAATTTCAGTTACTAGAAGTGAGGTAAATGGAACATATGAATACATCGTAACCTTCAAGTCAGACAGAGGTAAGTATCAAAAAGAAATTATGATGCCATTTGGTTGCACTTTCAGATACGATAATGATGTTTTGTCTTTAAATAACAAAAAACTGTTTGACATTGCATCGGTTATACCCATCGAAGAGGAAATCAAGGACGCATTTTTGTTTACAACTAAACGAATAGGGACAGCTCTATTGTTAAAATCAAGATGTCAGTCTCCGTATGGTACAGTAACCATTTCTCAAGAGCTAAATCCGTATGGACATTTTTATCAACATGTCGCAGTTGATTCGACATTCCCAATATTTCGATTTCGATGTAATCTAGTGGTAGACAAACTCAAAATAAAGGGTTGGATATAAGATAAAAAAGACGAATCTTTACAGTTTTATAATGACCTCATATGGAAATATTCTATTTTTGTCGGTGAAATTGAGTTGAAACTGTTTGTTGCTCGGATGTAAGCTTGTCAGTCTCTGTTGTTGTTTACTGTATAATGTACAAATACGGGCAAAATATGTGTTGGTATTTCGTGTTACAAGAGTTCGTTATACCTTGAAACTCTGTGCTCTTTTCAATACGTTTTACCTATTGTTTTGCACTGACCTATAGCTAGTAATTTATGAAGGATTCATGTTTTTAGTTTGTTCGACGATAAATCATGAAAAACGCACTAGGGTGGATCGAAATCAAATTGACCAAAAACCACTCGAACCTCGGTCAGAGGTATAAACTCATAGAAAACACCCCCTACTTTTCGGCTCACAGTAAAATTTTGTAAACGCGGCACTGATTGGCTGAAATTTCAATCCCCCCTAGACCTTTACACTTATATTGTAACGAAAATGAAAATATACATTCTATCTGCATTTATGTTACCGCGAAGAAAAATTTTAAAAAAAAGCAACTTTAAAATCATCTGTTGATAAATTTGTCATTTTAGGTGATTTTCCAACTCTTGAAACGAAAAGCATGTCTGAAGGAATCGAGGTAACTGCTACCGACGTACAGAATGGGGTCTCGAACGGCAAAAGCGTAGCGTTTTTCATGGGGAATATTCCAGTGCCATTGGTGAAACGAGATGCAACCGGTCCGCAGGTAATGAAAATGTGAATATGACAATAACGGAGTATGATGTCATCAATTGTATCTAAAGTGTAAAGACATTCGTTGCAATTTATCAAGATAAAGTAGTCAGCGTTTTATTGAATGTGTGAAACGGTATCACAATTTTATAGTATTACACAAAAACTGGATGAATCTCGCGGTGGATAAACTGAAAGTGGATTTACTGCAGTGGTGCGTTTAAAAACGTTGTCTCGGCTTGCACTACAGTACCTCTTGCAGAACACTTTAAATATCCATTTTATACCTTTTTATCTTTCGATTAAATTAACAGGCATGCATATTCCATGGAATATATCTTTTTACAGAATTCGATCTGTAGCTTTTTATCTTGTTCTAAGTATAATGCTACAATATAAAGGTACGCTTTCATCAAAACGTTCATCTCTGTTACATTTCTTATAACCCAACGGTATACAAGTATCTGTATTTTGCATTTATTTTTTTTTTCGTTTATGGCATCATTATTTAATGTAGTAAAACAAATAGTATCCGTATATCATTTAGAAGTGAGGTGTGATAGATATGAACATGTTAAATGTTATCATTGTATTAATGTAATTGCAAGCAGAATAAGATTCGCAAAAAAGAAAATAGAGTTGATGATGCTTCAAAAGATTTAAATTTTAGAACCATTTAATATAATATTCAAGATGCAATATCATTGGATCTATTTGTGAACAGTGTTTTATGAACAGAAATATATCAATATCTGCTTCACCTGATGCCATTATAACATCATTTTGTCCAATCAGATGCAGTCAGCCCTCAACAAAATGGCATCGTCACAATGTCCGACATACTTTAATCCAAAGCGATACATCATCTTCCATGACTTTGAAGATGAAGACTCACTGCCCAGAACATTTGATAAAGAATGGACTAACAAGATTGAAGCTTTCTGTGGTAACGGAGTTTTAAAGAATCCCAATATGCTTCACAACCACGTTTACTCACAGGAAGTGAATGCGTATCGATACCAAATTGTAAGCAAATCTTCAAGTAATTCTGTGTTTAACAAATGTATTAAGAAGGTCATAAACTTATTTCATTTCGCAGCGTCCGTCTTAAAGACTCAGTATTTCCTTTGATACGACTTTTCAATAGCCAAGAGACCTTGATTTACAATCGTTTTGCCAATAACATTCTAAGTTAAAAGGCTACATAATTTTATTCATATACATGATGTCAATTCACGTCAAATGTCACAAGGCAAACATGTTGAAGTACATAACTTTTCATAACCAATGGTCACAATATCATGCTGCTGAAGAGCAACCAAATGTGTTCAGATTAATCTTCAGCCTCATTCAAGGTCAGGTGACCTGTGAATTGGCACGGTCCTGGTGTTTTTGTAGTAGCTTTGGAAATAGGATTTCAAAGTTGTCTTCTTTCTGAGCTGAACAAAACGTTATCGATTCAGGACCATTGAATCCCCTATTTAACAAATGACTCCGACTTAGCTACTATACATTTGATGTACGCAAACTTTAATGAATTTGAGTGTTATGTTTAGTTTAAAATCCATATCAACATTATGATTGTTTAGTTAATACATTTACATACTTGCTAACATACCCGACTGTTATTGGAGATTCTTGAACATCCTGCAATCTCCTGTTTATTTCAATAACAAAAAGCAAGGATACTCTCCCAATTTTAGGAAAACCCGAATAACAGGTCTAAAACTGACCTCTTGATTAATAGTCGATACAATTGGGGTCATGAGTGCAATGAATATTTGTAGTACTATCATGCATGCTTACAAGGAAAATAACATTGTTATATCTATGCAATGTTAATTTTGTTTTTAATATCAAATAATATATTTGTCAAGTTTCCTCCAATATATCTAACACTGGCGCAAATGTCTGGTCACAGAATACCTTCATATTCTTGTTAGTTCAAGAACAATAATAAATAGTTGTTTGAAATTGAATATACTTCTATAGAATCCTTTACTATAAAGACGCCGGACGATAACATTCTTGATGACATATAAGTATAAATATATTGTGTAATATAAATCGTTCACAGTTATGTCTGGCATATAGAGGTGATATAGAACACAGACTAGTGATGTATATTAGGCGATACTACAATGATGGCAAAGATGGCAGTGCATGGGTAACATTGGACAACTTCTTCACGCCATCAGAAAGGTATTTTTGACAGCTTTTGCTCCATCCTAACAACAAAATGTATAATTTTTTTGTTTATCAAGAGCAATAAAAATAGATACTAATCGCTTACAGTATTGATGGACAGAGTTGCATAAAATTCATATACAGTCAATCAAAGATTATTTGGGTGTTAGTGAAAGCATTATAACCATAATTCATAGCCTTTTAAAAGGTATTTTACATAAGTGTAGGTTATTTATACAAAATAGATCTCGATCGATTACATAATTGATGAACAGGATTGTGAAAGAAATTGAAAACAACAAACCAAAGATTATTTGGGTGTTATGAAGGTATATAGCAATTTTATGAAGAACAGAGTCACAGGGATTCACATTCTTTGTGTTCGCAGATGGACGTACAAATGTATTAACTTGTATGATGCTGTGATGCGTTTGCAACCGGCGACCGTTGATAAAGTGAATATTCGAAACATGTATATATACAAAGGCGTTAATGATATGTATGTGGATAATTTGTATATTGGAGAGGAAGAAACCACATCAGACTACGGTAGGTAGCATTGAGCATGACGTGAAAGGACTGGAAAATGAAAACGAGGTTTAATGATGCGTGGTAAACAGTTATGGTGTTACTTTACCTACAACGTGCATTTTTCAGGGGAAATTCGTTGCTTTCCCTGTGTAAGATCTCCGTAAATATTTCTTTTTTCACCATTGTAAAATAATATGTTCAGTTTTGATTATATCGAAGATAACACTGAGCATTTTTTAAAATAACAAAATTCCCTTCATGGATAAATATAAGACAGTATTTTAAAAATTGTACACACAGCGTATTGGTATTTGAAGTAAGGATATTATCATTAGAAAAGTAATGTTATCTCTTCAGCTTTTAATTTCCACTATTTGGGTCTCATGAAAATAAGGCTAAACGCAGACATTATTCAAAATTTGATAGTAAAAATGAAATATTATACTAAATATTGAAAAACGAACAATGTGTATACCATATCCCTTTAGAATATATAATGGTTTGTCTTGATATGTAATTACAATTTTGTAAACACGTTACCCGGTTCCTTACTTAATTCTTAATCCAGACGCTGTTTTGAATACGTTGTCCTTACAAATTTCGTTTTGAACATTGGTGCATATTATATTTTCTTCCCTCCTAAAGAAAATGCATACGAGTTGCGTATTCCGAATGGATATGGATTTGTTCATGTGGATGCTAAAGCTTATCCGAATGGTTCATATGACGCCAACTTCACTGTTGCTAATGGCGAATACGGCTTCCCATTGCTGACAACACAAGAAGGCCAGGTATGTAATTAATCCTCTCCTATATATCAATAACAGGTTCCGTAAGCACCTGATCGGAAAGTCTCGACCATGGTGATGAAGACAATTCATTCGATTAGTATTGAATCTGTTTATGGTGTATGTTGTTCTTTCAAGACAATTGTGTTTGAATAATAGAAGTACGTTATTTTGATATTGGTATTGCTTTGAGGCATTCAAAATAGATTTAATTGAAGCATGTAACTACTTCTTAGTTTGCCAGTTGGTTCCGTTGTTGTATGAATTTTCCTCATTTGTGAACGTGTCATTACATACTTGGGTTGTATAAGATTTATATGAATCAGAAGACCCTTACTCTTCCCGAACACTAGTCTTAATTTGCTTGTACTGTTGCTGTGGTCTCCTTGTAATATTTTGTATTTTTTCTTTTTGCCCTAGTAGAAACGAATTTGAGTTTGGAATATGTTTATGTTGACATGTTGGTTATTTCCTGTCGTTTTTCGTAACTCTCCAATGGTACCATGTTGTCAGTTTACAGCAATAGTAACGTAGAATAATGTAGAGTTGCTTCTCATTTCGTCAGTGAGTGATCAAAGTCATATACGATATATAACGCTAGTTTGACTTTAATCACTTTTGATTGTATCTTTGCCGCTGGATGATAGCTAGCTTTAGTTATCTATTTATTCTGTTTCTAGGATCGAGAAGAGAGTCGTTTCCGTGTGTGAAATTTCTTAGTTTTCTTTCAAATAAAATAAAACAAATTAAACGTATTATGATAATACATAAACTATATGTGTGACCACACACATTGATATCAGGAAAGAATTTTTGAAATCTTTTAATTTATGAATGATATACATCAGAATCGGTAAAAAAAGTTATTTTTCAGTTAAAGGAATGTGATCATCATTTGTGTTGTTTTTCTTGTGGTGAAAAATTAATTCATTTGTAGACTTCAACTAATGATTTTTTTTAAAATTAACCAATAAAAAATCATGAAAACCTAAAATGATAATAGAAAACCAGAACTATATTCTTTGTAACTGAAAAAAATATTTAATATTCGATAGCGACCTACAGGGGCTGTTGCGACAATTACGAGACTTGAGTATGCATCTCCACCAATCAACGGAACTTTCGATATCACACAATCGGGAACGACAATCACAGGTAAGTGTAAACTTAAGTCTTTTACAATATTGCTCTTAAGAACATTGACATAGTCCTATCACTTAATGCTAATACTTTTGATATCGAATCAAAGTCATATGGCGGATTATTTTTCCGTTATAGAAGGTTTATCTACGAATACATTTCAGACAAAGGCCTAACTTGTAGGAAAATATATAACTTATAAGCTAGTGGTTTGAGTTTTCACGTGATGGTCCCGACTAATTCTTGATCCTGATGTAATCCTGTTTGCATATATAATCAGCCTGTTGTGAAGTCAGTATTATATAATGAACGGACGTCATGTTTTACGTTGTGACGTCAGAATGGAGACCGTTAATAAAAAGCCGATATGACAACAAATGTTATGTATGTGAAGTGGAAACATTATGTTTCAAGCAAAACTTGACAAAATTATTGACCATGTCATAAAACAAGGGATATCACGTTAATTTAGTATGTGTCGTTGTTAATATCCTCTGCATGTAAATTGGTACCGGCTTCTCCTTAGTTCAAATCCTATGTGTAAACGTTTGATTCATGTGAATAAAGGCAAATTTTTAAAATAAAGATGTAGTAGCACATATGTATGCTACGACGTTCCTCCTGAGATTTATTTATGTTTTTGTGGTTAGTTCATCGTCCTGGAGTTTCGTTAAGCGCAAATAAACGTCCCTGATTATATGAGAATAAATATATGCCAGAACAAAAGTTTTAAATTGAAAATAGTTCAGTATAATACTCAACAAACAAACTCGGTATTCAAATATTCGCAGGTATACCTGTCACCAGTAGCAACGCAGATTTGGAGTCCAGATTTGAGGAATTAGATTTAAAAACGACCATCACACGGACGGATACCATTCCTTTGTTTGATTTTGAAATATTCGTGGAATATTCTACATACAATGGAGACCTAGAACCAGAAATGCAGGTACGTTGTTGAGGCTCTATTTAAATTATCATTTAAAGATACTATTAGTAGTCATATCTAACACCATTGATACTACTGTTCGATAGAAATATGGAAAGGTCAAAGTGATGTCCGTTTGTAGTAGTATTGAAAAACGTCCTGTCAAAATATTCTTTGTTTAACTGTAACCATGAAGTACGCTTCGCCCAATTGTCAGCGTGAATTATTATTTGTTTAAATGAAGTATTAACAAGGTTACAAATGCACCTGTTTATGATTACAGTGAAACCTCACCTAACGACGACCTCAAAATTACGACCACCCTGCTATTACGGGCACATTTTTTTTCAGTCCCGTTTTTTTCACTATCTTTGTTTTGGTCGCTTCAGTATTACGACCAACCCGCTATTCCGTATGACGAACACTTCTTACAGTCCCAACGACCACTAAATAACGATAATTGACCTCAAAATTTACGTCGACTTTCTGACCAGTGATAAAAGTTTACCTGGTTTGGCAGTGAATCGCGAGCATGTGTCGTTGTCGATCATTGTTTTCGTCACGGGTTACCGACCCTGTCAACAGGTGGCGTTACATAAAATAAACATCAAATTAATTTGGCTTACCTGTATGAAACTGCGTGCCAGACACTTTTTAATAGTGAACTATTGTTTGTTAATTATGTATTGATAGATCGGTAGGTATGCTGTTAAACACCTTAGAAGCCCTGCATACCCAAAAGTGAATTATGTAGTCTTTTCGGCCGATATTCCAAGTTGTCGAGGAATTTAAAACTGTGTTTGTAGTAATATTACACTCTCGACATCGTTTGAACAATAAAAAGAAAACATTTATATGCTCCATTTTTACGACATATTTTCACTGTCACAAAACTCAGATGAACTTTATCACGCAATGATGACACCACGTAAACGAAACGAGCTATCATGATTGCGAGAAAAGGACTTATGGAAGAGGAGGCTGTCCAGATCCGTATCTCTTCGCAACAGTGTACACTGGACCCTTTTTTTTTAAGTAAAAAGACAAATGTGTTGTTCTAAGTGATGCACTGACAGAGTTAATGTGTTTGCGAATTTATGTGAAAAATGAAGTGTTGAAAGACTTTATCATGACTTCATTAATATTGTTACAAATGTGTTTTACTGTGTAATACGTGACTTAGTTAATGTGTATGTAAATTTAGGTAAAATAATTGAAAAAATAACGTTAAATTCCTATTGTACTAAAAAATGGTGGTTTGTTTTCTTTTATTCATTGTTTACGATAGTAAAAATACATGTATATTATGATATTAACTAAGGAATATATACATATATATTCTTTTGTCAATCCATAAATCTTATTTTTTTACATGCATTTCATAAAATTCAACATTTTATATATATAACTTATAACTCCGGTTACGGTTCTTTGCGGTCAATCTGATTCTCCTCACTATTAAGACCACCTCGCTATTAAGACAACCTTTGTTCAGTCTCCAAAATGGTCTTAATAGCGAGGTTTTCACTGTAGATATATTATTAGCTGATGTGGTTTATTTTTTATTTCGATTGATGGGAAAACACCACGTATACGTTTCATCCTTTTTCTGCAATATTGAGGATCATGTAACAGTTATGCTTTCATCAACATCTATGAAGATTAAGCGGTTTATTTACAAATTAAATTACGTAATATTACATCAATGTTTATTGGAATTACCGGTCCTCTTCAAGAAATTCTTTTAAATGACTGTTCAGGACAAAGCTTTGGATGAAGTACTGTCTGTTTTTGTTGAAATTATCAAAACGCAATCGCTCCTTACTGATATTTTACAGATCAACGATACCTTAATAACTGGGAGGGATGTAGTTTTGACGACAAGAACTTTGCAAAATGGCCATCACCTGATGGATCCGATACCTGGAGAATGTTTGAGAACACGCCATGAATTGCCACAGGTAAAAATTTACATATGCAAGGTGCTTGGATGTCGGAAACCAATAAAATATTTCTTATATATCATGTAATATGGTTCTTAGGTATAACATACTATTATAACTTAACTGATCAGGTTCTGGTTTACAGAATATCGTGACATTATTGTCTTAAATACATTCTAGATCCAAAGTACTCATATGTATTTGTACATGGTCTACGTATAGCCATAATATAAGGATGATTAAGGACAAAGGGTAAGTGAACGGTATCCTGTAAAGCTGATTGCTGTTTCATGTAAATGATGAGGGGGTGTTGCGATCGCCATAGTGATTCCATAAAGAAATGCATGTATTTTATTTCTTTGTGCGATATGAAACTTAACGTGTTATTTTATTGGTTCTGTTGTTGTTTATCTTGTTCTTCATTTGAGAACATGACATTACTAACGTGAATTGAACCAAGGTTTACATAGCGGACCTCATTGATGAAACAATAAATGTTCTTTCAGAACACCTGGTCTTTCTCTCCTCATACTTTTTTTGGAGTCTCCGCGTAATTCTTTTGTTCATATTTTGCCATAGTTTTATTGAATTTGAGTTTGGATTATTTTTATGCTCACAAGCGGGTTATTTTTTTTTACAATAAGACAACAAAGAAGATAGCGAATGCAAAACAAACACTTAATTCAAACTGAAACGAAATGAGACTAGAATTAAGACAACAAAGAAAAAAATTAATGAAAAAGGCTCTTATTTCTAGGGCCAAATGTGAACCATGAACAAAATAGGAGATTTAACGCAGAATCTTGAAAATGTACAATGTTAATAAGATCAGGTGTTGTGTATGGGAATGTAATTACAACTTCATCGATGATACACGCCATGTAAATCTTAGTCGATCCATGTAAGTTATGTCACATACTAGACAGGTTCAACCTTAAGGAACCATGATACGTTCCTTCGATCATTTAACATGTTAAACGTCATATCGCACAAGGAATTAAGCGAGAACGTGTTATTTAAACCAACAATATAGTAAACAATTAATAATGTGTGGATTAAAATTTGGATATAATTCCGAATTGTAAAACAAGCTATAACACTATTGCATATTCAACGCGAAATCTGCGGTATTTAATAACTTGCTTAAGAAAATGTGATCTGAAAAAACAGTAGTCTTGCATGCATTTATTTTATGAGAAGAAATCCAAAAAAACCGTTTTGATTGGACAGCAGAAATCACAGAATAGACCAATCGGTGATTACATTTTAAGAAAATGAACAAACAATAGCACAGAAACTATTTCAAGTATAAATCTGGTACCACACTGTAACGTTTTGAATATTTGTTCCTGTCCATTGCAGATTGTTCATTTACAACACTGTATTAAAGCTAAAACTGATTCACAGTGACTTTAAATCATAATAAAATGTAGATTTAAAAATATTTACGTGATTTTGAACGAAATGTATGTATTTTACAATAGTACAGCAAATCCATTGTAGCTAACATGTTTCGGGGGGTTTAACTGTTACTTTCCTTGTTATGTACATGTATTTGCAATGTAACAGGTTCTAAATTTTACCTGGAATATGACAACAGTACAGTGGTTTCCCAGTAATCGACAACAATTTTCCCATACTCTTACAATGTATAATGTGTTTCCGTATAAAGAATGTGCTTGTGTTGCACGGTCTATTATCGAGCCTGGGTAGTCGTCAATATTCAGTTTTAATCAAAGTTCACTATCATGAGTGCTTGCCATATTACATGCCTTATTTTAGCTGGTAGTAACAGCTTGAAATATTTTTAAACATTTAAATGAGATAGAGAATCCACTATGTATAATGAATTTCTCTATCCTGACGAGCAGGTGACGCTGATGAACAGTGGAGTTCCTACCAGATGTACCGGAAATTGTTCATTTGAATGGTTAGAGAGTTCAACCCCAGTCTTGCATCAGTCCTCGCCGAACACAGGTAAACATTTAGACAAGTTTGATTATAAATATCCAAAGAGGTTGACGTATGAATTAGGGCTTTATACAGGTTAACGTATAAAGACAGGATCATAATCAGGCAGGATTAGGTATAAAACACAAGCAAACAATATGGCTACTTCATGTTTAAACAGGTAAACAATTAGTCATGTTAAGGTATAAAAGTATAAAATGCAGGTAAACAGTAAGACAGGTTTAAGTATAAAACACAGGTAAATAATCAGACAGGTTTAGGTATAAAACACAGGTAAACAATTAGACAGGTTTAGGTATTAAACACAAGCAAACAATCAGACAGGTTTATGTATCAAACACAGGTAAACGATATGACTACTTTACGTATAAAAACGTAAACAATTAGACAGGTTTTGGTGTAAAACCCAGCTGAACATTCAGACAGTAGTTTTTGTGTCAGCCAAATCAAAGATGGCCGCCTGTCCACCATTTTATGTTTCTGATCAGATCCGAAATCTAATGGACAAAACTACGGACAAATGAAACCTACATAGGAAATATGAGACAGGTTCACATAATTCAAGCATTATTTACGGACGGACGGAAAGGCGGATGTAGGCGATTTGAATAGTAATTGGAATGAATTGAAACATGGCGTATCAAATCATATAGTTAATATTTTAGTGATTCACTATTGGTATCTTTTATTCCTACTTTTCCAGGACCAGCAAACACGACACTTACACTCACTGGGACAGGTTTCAGCGCTGACTCCGGGAACAGTGTCACCATAGGAGGAGTGGAATGTGTTGTTACCATGTCAAACGCCACATTTATCTCCTGTAAAACGGGGATAGGTCCGAACGGAGAGCACAAAGTAAATGTACATGTTGCCGGGTCCGGTAATGCCAAGCATAACGACTCAGTCCAAACGTATACTTACAATACACGAATTCTCAGCATAAGTCCTGTTTCTACAGGTCTCGGAGGTAAATAAAAAAAAAACAAACAAACAAACAAACACGTGTATTTAAATTAATTTCCTAGAAAATGTATTATTTAAACTGTGAAAGACATACTCGGCATGATGAAAGATTCTAAACAAGTCAATAAACAAATTTATGATTGAAGTAATAGATACATTACCGACATCACTTTCTCAGACGTGACTAATGCAGTATTTGTTTTGGTTGGGATAATCATGGATTTTCCATTTCTTTGAAATATCATTCCTACCTTTCCGATTTTTAGTGTTTACATGTATCACTTGCTTCGATTATCAAAGAATGGATTCAGTTTTAACAATATCCGTGACAATAACAATATCGACAGCTGGCATACAAATTAAGAATACAGTCTTTCATGAGACATAGGTTAAAGTGAAAGCTTGAAGTGAATGACAACTTTTTTTCTGTAAGAATGTGTACATGTTAATAAAAAAGTTCTGTTTTTTTAATTGATTTTTGTGGTAACGTTCATGAACATTGTATATTATGTTATATTTAGTAGCATATGACAAGTTTAACATGTACAATTAGCAAGCAATCAAATATTAATTGATAGGAGGAGTACCCATAACTATTCAGGGATATGGCTTTAGCGGTACCGTGGTGCCATCAGTCGACTCAAAGGAGTGTAAAGTCATATCAGTGTCTTATGCAGATTTGGTTTGTGCCATCCCATCTAGGGTAAGTATTCTCACTGAAATGATGCTATATATTGCCTGGTATCAGAACACTGTGACACGGGACGTATACTACTTTATTATATGACTGGTATTTTTCTTGCAGCTGATTTGTCAAAACCGTCATGAAAAGTCCGATGAACCGTATCGTTTCTTATTTTTTGGGGAAATAGATAATATCGGTATTGATCAAGACATTTCATGCCCGTTTTGACCAATCAGCTGCATGAAAAATACCAGTCATATAACAATATACAATTATTGACTATAAGGTTGATACAAGGATTTATCAACCCGCAAAAGCGATATTCACATCGGCCTTAGTGAATATCGCTTTTAAGGGTTGATAAATCCTTGTATCAACCTAATAGAGAGTCAATAATTGTATAGTATCGATCAGTCTTTCCACGTGTCATTGAATCAGAACACAGTGATGTACTAAAAAACCTTAATTAACTGATATATCCTAACGGAAATCATAAATCTATATCATATAACCGTACAAAACTGATGTTGCCATGGTAACGTGGTACAATTTGATTTTTAATCGGTTAGTGGCTTTACTCTGTTGATAAACCTTTGTAATATTTTAGCTTTTATATTTATTTCAATAATCAATCAAAGATTTGTACAATGGGCAGAAGGCACTTCAATAAATGACATATATTCGGTGTAATATTAACATTGAATACAGCAGAGTCGACTGAAAAAGTAATCTGCATCGCGTGGCTGTTATTTTTTTTCTCTTTCTCTTTTATCTCCTTAATGTTTTGTTACTTCTTTATCTCCTTAGTTATGCTATTTCTGCCTTCTTTATCTCCTCAGTAATGCTGTTTCCTCCTTCTGTATCTCCTTAGTGATGCTGTTCCTGTCTTTATCTCCTTAGTGATGCTGTTTCTTCCTTCTTTATCTCCTTAGTAATGCTATTTCTTCCTTCTTTATCTCCTTAGTGATGCTATTTCTGCCTTCTTTATCTCCTTAGTGATGCTATTTCTGCCTTCTTGATCTCCTCAGTAATGCTGTTTCTTCCTTCTTTATCTCATTAGTGATGCTGTTTCTGCCTTATTTGTCTCCTCAGTAATGCTGTTTCTGCCTTCTTTATCTCCTTAGTGTTGCTGTTCCTGTCTTCTTTATCTCCTTAGTGTTGCTGTTCCTGTCTTCTTTATCTCCTTAGTGTTACTGTTCCTGTCTTCTTCATCTCCTCAGTAATGCTGTTTCTTCCTTCTGTATCTCCTTAGTTATGCTGTTTCTGCCTTCTTTATCTCCTCAGTAATACTGTTTCTTCCTTCTTTATCTCCTTAGTGATGCTGTTTCTGCCTTATTTATCTCCTTAGTAATGCTGTGTCTTCCTTCTGTATCCCCTTAGTGTTGCTGTTCCTGTCTTCTTCATCTCCTTAGTGTTGCTGTTCCTGTCTTCTTTATCTCCTTAGTGTTGCTGTTCCTGTCTTCTTTATCTCCTTAGTGTTGCTGTTCCTGTCTTCTTTATCTCCTTAGTGTTGCTGTTCCTGTCTTCTTTATCTCCTTAGTGTTGCTGTGTCTTCCTTCTGTATCCCCTTAGTGTTGCTGTTCCTGTCTTCTTTATCTCCTTAGTGTTGCTGTTCCTGTCTTCTTTATCTCCTTAGTGTTGCTGTTCCTGTCTTCTTTATCTGTTCCTGTCTTCTTTATCTCCTTAGTGTTGCTGTTCCTGTCTTCTTTAATGCTGTGTCTTCCTTCTGTATCCCCTTAGTGTTGCTGTTCCTGTCTTCTTTATCTCCTTAGTGTTGCTGTTCCTGTCTTCTTTATCTCCTTAGTGTTGCTGTTCCTGTCTTCTTTATCTCCTTAGTGTTGCTGTTCCTGTCTTCTTTATCTCCTTAGTGTTGCTGTTCCTGTCTTCTTTATCTCCTTAGTGATGCTGTTTCTGCCATCTTTATCTCATCAGTAATGCTGTTTCTGCCTTCTTTATCTCCTTAGTGATGCTGTTTTTTCCTTCTTTATCTCTTTAGTGATGCTGTTTTTTCCTTCTTTATCTCTTTAGTGATGCTGTTTTTTCCTTCTTTATCTCCTTATTAATGCTGTTTCTGCCTTCTTTATCTCCTTATTGATGCTGTTTCTTCCTTTTTTTTATCTCCTTAGTGATGCTGTTTCTGCCTTCTGTATCTCCTTAGTAGTGCTGTTTCTGCCATCTCCTTCGTGATGGTGTTTCCACCTTTTATACCCTCTCATTGATCTTAAGAACCTGTAATGAAAATCTCATTTTGTTAAATTAAATATCAAAAGCTAAATTTAGAGGAGGTACACATGCCATCCTTTCCATTATTGAAAATCGATAGATATCGTGCAACATTGTCATCAGAAGAGTCAGTAAACGAGAGAGATCGTCTATATATACATCTACATTTCAGGTTTCAGGTGGCACTGTTGACGTTGCTGTCGAGTACGTTTTCCAGAATGTCACTGCTGTGGACAGTCTTAACGACAGTTTTACCTATAATGAGTCTCTGACTCCACGAGTAACAGATATAACTCCTACTGTGACGGGTGTCGGGGGTAAGCTTCGCTACATTTCAGTTTCTATTTCATTGTTGGTCAGAGTATATACTAACATATTAGCCATTCACACATTCAGCATACATTTTTTCCTTGATTGTAACCCATATTAGGTTTTGCTTGTTGGCCAATTTCTTTTCATTTTGATCTTTGCAATGAAAATTATTCTGAAACAATAAAAAATAAGACATCAAACAGTTCTAAGTGACCGAGGACGTGAATATGACATCATTATTTAGTTGTAGCAATGGCATTAGAAATGTTGCATCTTGGTTTTATCGAAGACCACAGAAAAACTAAGCTACGACTTAATATTTTGGTAATGAGATTGAAATCGACAACCAGACACCATAACGACACAACACTCAATCGGACAACAAGTCGTTTTGATAATGTCATGAATATACTCTCATAATCAAAATATTTAGTTCTAGTGGGCATCGTTTTGTTATGATTTGCGATACAAAATTGTTTTCGATAGCACGGTTGTTAGATTGGTTGGTCGCGTTTGTTGTATGTGTATAATGACCATTGAATTATGTTTTCCCGATGTGATTTCGCGTTGTTGTATAACCTGTTTTCAATTCTATAACATGATCATACTTATTGGGATCGCCTAGGATTTACAAGAAAACGCGGTAAATGGAAAAAGAGATTCCTTGCGGAACTCCTAATTTTCTCCTTCTTCTACGTTTTCATCAGTTTTAATGTGAATAAGAACACTATCATCACCTTGACATATTCAAATAGCCCTACGTTCATTGTCTGTGGTCCGTCCATCAGAACGTACATTTACGGTCCATCAGAACGTACGTTTACGGTCTATCAGAACGGGTCCATCAGAACGCACGTTTACGTTCCATCAGAACGTTCGTTTACGGTCCATCAGAACGTAGGTTTACGGTCCGTCAGAACGTATGTTTACGGTCCATCAGAACGTAGGTTTACGGTCCGTCAGAACGTAGGTTTACGGTCCGTCAGAACGTAGGTTTACGGTCCACCAAGACGTACTTTTACGGTCCATCAGAACGTATGTGTACGGTCCATCAGAACGTAAGTTTACGGTCCGTCAGGACGTATGTGTACGGTCCGTCAGAACGTAGGTTTACGGTCCGTCAGGACGTATGTGTACGGTCCATCAGAACGTAGGTTTACGGTCCGTCAGAACGTATGTACGGTTACGTAGGTTTACGGTCCGTCAGAACGTAGGTTTACGGTCCGTCAGAACGTATGTGTACGGTCCATCAGAACGTATGTTTACGGTCCGTCAGAACGTATGTGTACGGTCCATCAGAACGTAGGTTTACGGTCCGTCAGAACGTAGGTTTACGGTCCATCAGAACGTAGGTTTACGGTCCGTCAGAACGTATGTGTACGGTCCATCAGAACGTAGGTTTACGGTCCGTCAGAACGTATGTGTACGGTCCATCAGAACGTAGGTTTACGGTCTATCAGAACGTACGTTAACAGGGAATCAGAACGGGTCCATCAGAACGTAGGTTTGCGGTCCATCAGAACGTATGTTTACGTTCCATCAGAACGGGTCCATCAGAACGCACGTTTACGGTCCATCAGAACGTATGTGTACGGTCCATCAGAACGTAGGTTTACGGTCCGTCAGAACGTAGGTTTACGGTCCGTCAGGACATACAGTCGGAAACATTTTTATTTTTTGTTATTGCTATTTCTTGAAAAGTGCCGAAAGAATCTCTCTGAAATCACATATGCAAATTTCCATTGGTCTCTACTTGTCCCGGTTTATGATAGGGAAAAATGCTAAATGGCCGGCATGCGGCGATCTTGGATTTAGCTGCTATAAATCATTACCGCTAATCGTTAAGAAGAACTTTTCAAATTTTCATTAAATTCCTGGCTAAAACACAGAAAGTAAAAATAAAAGGAATGAAATGTCAAACTTCAAAGAGCTAATACGGATTCTATTTTCAAACTAGTTCCGTGAAATTAGAGTTTAAATAAAGGATCTGTGTTCATGTTGGGTTTTTTTTTTTTTTTGTCGTTCTTGTTTAAAGTAGCCAAAGGAAGATTTCAAACTTATAGCTACCTGACATCTTAGAGATATTTGTTAGGCTTTTGACATTAAAATATCAGGTAGCCATCACTGATCGACAAAGTAAACTGTCAAGCCGTTTATATTTTAAAAAATGTATGGTATGTTTAAGTTTTCGGATCAACAAATACAAACTCTTTAAAGTGCATTTTTGTCATACAACAGGAGGAGAGGTTTTGGTTATCAATGGTACTGGATTCGGAGAACAGAATGAGGGCATGTTGATGCTTGGCGATACACAGCTAAACATCCTTAACTACACCGATACTCAAGTGATCGCAGAGTTACCTCCCTGTGCTGCAGGAAGTCACTCGGTCAAGCTAATCGCCGGAGGGGAAGGCTATGCCCTGGATTCGTAATTATATTTGCTTCCCATTTTTATCATTTTTATTCAGTTTAACACGTTTTTGTTATACACTCAGAAAAATCCTTAAGATTGAATGTACCTGTTAGTAACAACGTAATTACTGTCTTGTTTTTTTATTTCGGATTGTTGTCAAAGATTGTACAAAAGACACACAAGTGACTAATTCCTTCTCAAATAGCTTTAGAGTTACATAGAGCCTGGCTAAACAATGAACTGACTTGTATTATACAGCTGTTTCATCCTTCCAGCACTCGCCCTAAGAGGCGAATGAGGAAGATCCAACGTGATCGAAAAAAACGTCAAAATGTAAATTTGGAGGTACACTATAATTCTATAAAATTTGATATTTGTTATCATTGTTTGTTACGTTCCGTACATGTATAAATTCTGAGGCGTGCAACAATATCGAATGAATTAAAATATGTGTCGGGTTACAGCAAACATTGGATATTAAAAGTCTAACTGCAGTGTCTACAACCTGCAGTATCTAAGATTGTACAAAAGACCCACAAGTGAAAAGTGTATTTTTTACTTTCATGATCTATCTTCTCCCCGTAATACTTAGTTTTTTCCGGGCATTATAGGGTTCCCTTGTTTCAACCTCTATCATATGTATATTAGTTTTTATCATTATCTCAAAATTCATACATGTTTAAATCAACTAAAACACGAATCTTTAAATTTTAAGTCCAACATCAACCTATCTTATTGCCTTTCGTCCGTGGTCTGGCATACGGCATCTGTACACCTCAGGTCACTGTCTATCCGTTTTGATAATGGGGATAACCTTCATCCTCTTTCAAGGTCATAGGGGTCAACTGTGAGAAAATCTTTCCCCAGTAACCAATAGGTACAACGTTTACTATTAAAGAGACTACTAGTGATAATATTTAGAAAAAAAAACATGAGTCGAAGTTCAGCTTCCGATTTTCGGAGTTGGACAAAAATAATTTTTCAGTTGTACATTCTAGGGTCTAAATATATGATATATAAATTCCGTGAATAGTTGGCCAGAATATTTATGGAAATGATTGACTTTTAGTGAAGAGGTTGTTGAAAAGCTCGTGAAATTGCTAGCTGGCAATGTTTTTAGTTTGATTTTTATCACGAATGATTCGCATTACAGAAACAACAACATACCCAACATTACATGTGAACTGCGCGTAGATAAAATGTTTCCAATGAGTGGCTCAGTTCACGGCGGAAGTATCATCACTTTAATTGGTGCTGGGTTCTCCGAGGACGTCAACGTCAAGGTTGGAGATCACGAATGTGACATAAAAACGGTTTCAGAAAACCGAATTATTTGTCAAATAGAACATACCCAAAAGGTGATTCGTGTAACTACGAATAAAGACTACCGACCAGGTAAGACCACTTCATTTTTAATTAAATTTATGAACTGTTATCTTCAAGAGGTTCATATCTTTAGCCGATCTTAATTAGATGACTGGCTATTCATATTATTCTATTTCTGTGCACCGTCGTCCTTGAACATGTCTTGTTATCGCTATTTCGGAAAAATCACTAGATGGATCTTCGTCAGATTTTACACTTAGCTTCCCTGTGGCCCCGTCAAGTGCATCGTTCCATTTTCCGATTGACATGTAAAACAACATAGCTATTTATAGAATTTGATGGGAAAAGTTAGTCATTGTAATTTTCTTTCTGGATTTTTCTATTCAAATTTGCTATTTGGGGATCACCTCTTTTCTGGTTGTACGTTACTTCATTTTTACACTGATCCGGAAACAACAGGACCGAAGATAACCATTTTTTGACAGTAATAGTTTAACCATGCTTGAAGAAGTACTGGATGAATTTTTCCTAAATTTCAAAATTTCCTTGTTGTGCTTTTTTGATTTTGAAAAAAAAAATCAGAGATACAAAATGGCCGACTGGCTAATAATACTGTGTATGGTCATTTGTTACTATTATTTCTTGGCATGTACTGAAATGATCTCGAAATTTGTTTTAGGATTTTTATTGTCCCTTCCTTTACTCATTAACACTGTCAGAAAACAGTATCCTGACAACTTCATCGTATCTTACAGCCGAATATTATTATTGCTATTTCTTAAGAGAAATCTCCAAATTTCATATAATTAAGAACAAATAAAAGGAAAGAAAAGGAAAAATGAGAAAGAGAATATAAGCATTCTTGAAAGAACAAATATCTCTCTGGAATCTTTTGTCTAGTACTTCTAAATATGGAATAAATCACCAAACAGATCCATTTAGAATTGAAGAAAGTCAATAACACAACTCACTACTTCAGAAGTACATTCTCCATTACCAAAACCGGATAGTAAAAAAAAAATTTAAAAATTTTAAAAAAACCGTTACAGTATTATACAGGATTCAGTCATTTCGTGATAATTTTACAAATAAGAAAAATCATAATAAAGTATATATTCTTTATTTCATATCGGAACCAAATTCACTGAAAAAAACGACTTGCATCCAAAGTATGCTGGCATTATTCTGTGAAATATTTGTTTATTGTGTTTTAAGTGCATTTACTGAAAGATAATCTTAGCAATGATACATAACCCTTCTTAATTATTGTTACTGTGCAGACAAAAGTCATTCGAAAGCCTGGGTCAATGATAAAGTTCTATTTATTTGGGACTTCGCTGGCTTTCCAAACATGCAGATTCAGATCATTGAAACGTCAGACATGCAGTCCAGAACGCCTAGTGGATTTGACTGTGGCCCGGCTGTAGGGACAGGTAAAGTTTAGATTTCGTACATCACATTTACTGTATGCTAAATTCAATGTACATGTTCATTATATTACTACATTTGCGGGTTGTAAATTCGGTCAAAATATTATGCGATTGTTCGTCTGATTCAGTATCCGAATGTTCAATTATTCATCTGAATCAGTATAAGACAGTAGAATAGAATTTCTCATAACACAATCAGTAGAAGATTAGAGTGTGGCGTTTCAATGACTACATGGTCACCTTCATCTTATAACACAACTGGTACAAGATTAGAGTGTGACGTTTCGATGACTACAGGGTTACCTTCATCTTATAACACAACCAGTAGAAGGTTAGAGTGTGGCGTTTCGATGACTACAGGGTTACCTTCATCTTATAACACAACCAGTAGAAGACTAGAGTGTGGCGTTTCGATGACTACATGGTCACCTTCATATTATAACTTCTATTCTGTTGACATTACCAATCTGAAGAAAAACGTTCAAAATGAAACAAAGAAAGAAGACAAATTCAATTTCTAGACCGTTTGTCCGACTATATAACAAGGTTTTAAAATTGGATAAATAACAAAGCATGTGACCGTAAATGTTTCATTTTTTACGTAAATAAGAAAATAACGCTACATTATCACCCTTTACAATGGTGCCTTGTGATATTAGGCTACTTTCGAAAGAAAAGATTACAAGCATCGCTCAGTTTCCAAGTATAAAATTTACAAATATTAACAAATAGCACTGACCATTGACCGAATAAGAAATCACAAAGATCTCTCTGTAATTAGTAAATACTGTCTTTTTCTTCGTGTAATGTTTTTGGAGTGTCTGTGTACATCATTCCTTTGCAGCACATAATTTGCTCTAGTTTTATCAAATCTGAGCTTGGATTATCGTTACGTCAACATGTCGGACACTCCTTGCTGTTTCCGAATACAGAAATTCAAGAATTCCTCTGTAATTAGGAATAAGCACGTGTTAGTAATTCCGTGCTGTCTGTTTCAGAACGCAGTAATTACAGGAATTCCTTGGTGATTAGTAAATAGCACGTTGGTATTTCCTTGCTGTTTCAGAATACAGCGATTATAAAGGTGTTTCTGGAATTAGTCATTTATGTCCTATTTGTTAATAGCTGATGCAGCGTTCCCTAGTTAATAAGTAGTTCAGGTATTAGTATTGAGATAACGCACTCTCCTAGGTTTAAAAATTGATCTTAAATAATTGATATATGTCCGTGGCATACAGTTGTTTATATTAAGTGAAAATAATAAAAAGGCCATGTTTACTGTCTTCATAAATACGTTTCTACTATCTTACCTCATTTATCTCACCTTAATGAGTATTTCATAGCTACGTAGATTTCCAATGAAACGATATAGCCTTTATATGAAATTATAAATATATCGCAACCATGGGGGAAATAAAACCAGTGGTTTGGTATATCACTTGAATCAGATTCGTTTTGTGAAAATAATACTTCATTACCTTAATCTGAACATATATTATTCTCGCTCTATATACTTTATTGACGCTCTTTATTGACGCCATAATGCGTTGGCCATTATCAAGATATAAAATCACACGCGGTGCTTGTATATGCGGAATAACATTATCAATAGTTTTCCTATTTCAGGTACATGCATGGTACAATTAAACAAACCTGGACGTGTTTATTACTGGTCATCCTGCATTGACAAAGACTGCCAATACCAGTATCACGATTTTATTGATGTTTATGACCTCGTCTCTTCAGCAGTAAAACTTAAAGTGGATTTAAATGGCATAGAGGCTTCCTATAACACCGAGTCTGGTAAATTTCCCGTTTATGATTCATTCTTAAATATTTCTACTTCCCTCCAAAGTTAATTATTTATGTATTGTTTTTTGTATATGAAATTTGACACATACACAGACTTTTTTTGAGTAAACAGTGATTAGTACAGCTTTTATATAAATATCGTATAAAAATGCAAAATGATATACACGTCAAGGAAATCAATTATTGTGTAGTTGGTAAGAAAGTAAATGTCATGCATATAATTACAACAGAGTAAAGATAAAAGGAAGTTTATGTCATACATCTGTTTACATGGATACTAAGTATAGACATGCGCAAATGCCTGTTTAAACTCATCACCTAAATATTAACTCACAGACACTGGGCATTTCTATGTCTATCTCAGTATAATTTACCATTAGTGCAAAATTTGTTGGAAATGAATTAAAGTCAAAATCACTCCCCCTTTTTACAAGAAATATATCAGCAGTCATTAACACAATGTGTGTATTTCGTCTCTCAATGAACAAGTAATTTAGAACCGTTATTGAGTAATAATGTTAAACGGCATACACAAAGCACTCTTAGCACTATGTTTCGTCATATTGGAATTTTAAATATCTTATTTAATGGTATTGTGAAATTATGTCAAATTTAACAGGAGTGACCGACCCTGCAGATTCCAGTGCTTGTCCGGCTACAACCGCCAGTATTATCGGCTGTCAGGGCGATGATCCCACAGGAACAGACGCCTCCTATTTCTATTTCTCTTTTCGGACTTGCATGACGTCTTCTGTTGATTCGATAGACAAAAACAACGGAACATCAAGAACTGAAGTGACAATAACCGGAACGGGATTTTCCACAGTTAACTGTCAGAATGAAATCAGGTTCGGCGACTATACATGTACACCAAAATCAAGTTCCAGAACCAGTGTCACGTGCGTGACAGATATATCGAATACCCCGGATGTAGGACGTCCTGGAATCATAAACACTCGCGTTCATAATTTAGGATACGCTACAAATAAAGCCGAGTTAACTTTTGTCCTGTTACCACTTTTAAGTTCGATAACGCCGACCAGAGGATCATTGGGAGGGAGCACAATCATTGATATTTCTGGTACTGGATTTGTTAATGGAATCGACAAGAGTTGTAAAGATTACATCACAGTTACGTTTGGAGGATACGAATGCGAGGTTACCAATTGTTCCTATACTTCACTTACATGTATCAACCCACCGTCTTTTACCGCGAAAGAAGTAACCGTTGTTGTCGCTATAGGCCAGGGAAACACGAAAGTACCTGCTACCTGTGAATCCTCTTGCAAATTTACCTATTCTGAAGATGCTACGCCAACTATTACAGGTGTAATGCCTGTTTCTGTATCTGGAAACACGACTCTTTATCTCAACGGAACTCTATTTGGCACAAATCAAGAGTCTGTTTCTGTATTCCTGTCCTCTAATGCTGTATCGGAAACATATGCATGCAGCCTGCAGTCAGCACCAACGGATACAGAAATTCAGTGTAATGTTGGTCCTCTTCCAGTTGGGGTGAATAACATAAATGTTCACGTCGCGGGAAGAGGGGATGCTACTGGACACGCCCATGTAACCAGTACGGACACGGTATCAGATATTTCGCCCAACTCTGGAGGCGTAAACGGTGGGACTCTGTTAACCATAACAGGCAATGGATTTCTATCGGACACGACAGTTAAACTTAACAATAAGTTATGTATGGTTTCGTTCGTCAACCTTTCTACTGTCGTATGTTCCACGCCAGCCAATGACGAAAAATCATTTAAGGTCGTTGTGAAATCCAATAAGGTAATGTATTTCTTATACTTTTATGTCTTGCTATCCTTTTCCTAATCATTTGGTAAAGAATAAGTCGAAATTTCGTGTCGCCAAGAAAGTGTTTTTGCTACGTAAATTTCTAAATCAACTATCAATGTGATATAATAGTTTTCAACTTTTTTTTTTTTTTTTTTTTTTTTTGTGATTCCACTCAGCTCACTTTTTTTTTTTTTTTTTTGTCATTGAAAATTGTTAGTACAGCTTCCGTTTGGGGCTGATCACCTGAATGGTGTTGAATAAATCACATAATCTATTCTTTGTAATTTGTTGCATTTGAATACTTCCAGATAACGTTTCCCAAACTGTCATTTTACTACAACCAGAGCGCCACACCGAATATAAGCGCTGTTACACCTTCTACCGGAACACATGGCACAGCCATAACGATCAAAGGCACTAATTTTGGCTCTCAGAACAGTCTTAACGACGTCTTCATAGAAAACTCGCGATGCAATGTGACGTCTTCTTCAGAGGTTCAAATTGAATGCATTGCAGGAAGTATGTCAGCAGGGACATATAACCTTGTAGTATATGTAGCCGAAATTGGAAAATCTAACGAGGACATGGAGTTTACTTTCGAAATAACAGCTAAAAGCATATCTCCAAGTACAGGTAATTATGATCCATAAAGAATCTTAAATAGTATATTTACTATAGGTTTTCCTGAACACCTGGTCTTATTCTCCTTTCACTTTTTCGGGGGTTACCGTTTAACAAAAAACACTCCTCTGTTTCTCTTCAGGTGGCATAGCTAACTCGTTTTACTGGTAGATACCAGAGTTGGAAAGGAATAACAGTTGTTCACACTCGGCACGTAGATTGTGTCTGGGGAGGGGTGATGTTTTCAGACTTTTTTGTTGGAAATACCTTTTTCTTATATATTTATCATCAAGCTGGGATATACTTGGTATATTCGGAGAGACCCCTGCCGGCCTCACTCTCACTGCCCGTTGGAGTTGGGTTATGAGTCATTTAATGTTTGTCTTTTTTAATAATTATTCTGCTGTTGTAGAAATGCCACACCTAACTTTAACAATGGGTCTAGGACGCCCTCCGAGAGTAATATTTAATTAGAATTTGCGTTGGAAACTTATGGGAAAAAATAGGTCATTCCTGTTCCAGGGAAGGGATAACGAATCCCTCAGGTAATACTTTTAATTCTGCATTTCCTCATTTAGTGGTAGAAAAGTCGGTTCTGAAGTATACCTATCTATGCCACCAGAGGCGAAGTCTCTACATGGATATCTCTCTTTTGTATCTTTTTATATATATATATAATATATATATCTGTGTGTGCGTGGCGCGTGTGTGTGTGTGTGTGTGTGTGTGTGTGTGTGTGTGTGTGTGTGTGTGTGTGTGTGTGTGTGTGTGTGTGTGTGTGTGTGTGTGCGTATATATATATGTTTAATTAGATTCATCAATGGTGCAATTGGGTATTCTCCATTGGCGGGAAGGTACTTTGCCCGAACTGAATTTTCTGTTTCGTGACCTGACCATTCCTCTTGGAAATCAGTAAATCACACTATCTGTAAGGAAATAAATGATGCAATTGAGAGAGCCAGGTGACCATTAACTACCCTGATGCTCTTGTGTGTATCATAGAAAACAAGTTTCAGGTGTGATATAATTTTATATGTCTTGCAAGTCGATATGAATCGCAAAATGATCAATCAATCGTTTGTGTGACATTTAAGCTATTACAGTATGTATTATTTTGTAGGGAATCCAATTTCTCTGATTTGGAGATTGCTCTCAGTTCATGAATTGTTTTGTCAACGCATTCTGGAAATAAGTTGAAGTATATTTCGATTGATTGGATGTATTTATCTACGATTAAAACCTGAATATGATAAAGCGAGTTAAGGAAAGTAAATATAATTATGCGCAATGGGAATACATTATTCACAATATTATAGTATAGAACATACCAATATATAATCCATTTCTCTAAATTGAATAACTGACACTGAATTTGTTAAATGGATTAGGAAGCATGGGCGGTGGGCAAACGGTGACGATATCCGGAACTGGCTTTGACAGCAATGTATCCGTTACAATATGTAACCAAACATGCAAATCTACTTACGACAACAACTCGTCAATCACAAAACACGTCTGTGTTACATCACCAATAGAAGGTAAGGAACTGTATAAAATGTGTGTACGTTCGTAGTTATTTTTTAAATGAAGTTACCGTTTGGTGAGAAATACCATAATCACGTGCACATTAAATCGACTTATCGTGTAAATATAATTCTCGATACGACAAATGACTGCTGCATTGTTTGTATTTTCTCTCGTCTATAATCCAAGCATATTGCGATCATTGGTAATGATTGAACGGATTGATGTGGACTATTTGACGCATGTTAAGGAACACTTATAATCAAAGAGTAAACTTATTTTTGTTATTATAAAAAATTATGTAAGTGTTTAAAAATGATAAGCAGTTACATATTTGAAGCAATATTAAAAAAAAATAAAGATATTATCTTACAGCATAATTGACATCCAGATTGCAAAACTCGTTGAACAATTTTTACCCTAGAAAATAATAATCTATTTGAGAAATCATTTTGGTGATAAAATATACAATATAAAATGAAACTACCGTCTCACCCACCCCCTTCACCCTCTTTCGTGAAAGCGCATATGCAATAGTTATGTAAATAATATTCAAAATACTTATTCTTACCTTTTATCATCGTATCATAGCTTGTGTATTTAAATGCTTCATCCGGTTTACACTGTGTTTACCTTGTCACTTACTGTGTTATTTTCCCGAAATGAAGCCAAATTTACCATCTATGTACTTAGAACGTTTGCAATCAGTGTAAATGATCTGTGATGAATCTGACCAATCAGATAGTCAGAAAAAATTATCATTACAGAGTCCAAGCAATGACAAGTCCTTTATTTCCAGCACTTCCTGATAAACGCTTTGCAATCCAACGTGATGTCTGAGAAGTCATGAAAATGAATAAAATTGCATTAAAATTAAAATATGTCATTCTATTATCATTATAAGCATGATATTTATATTGATATAAAGAAAATAAGACAACTTACAAATCTTAATTTGTCTCCAAAAATATAAAACAATTCTCAGATATAATCAGATGAAAAGCGTGAGATTTGTTTGACTTCGTTGCGATTTTGACATGCAACCAAATCTTTAAAACTATAGAAGTTCCCATCCCTAAACATTGATTGACGAAGATTTGTTTTATCCATGAAAATTATTTATAAAATCATAATGGAGTTTACGTGAGAAAGACCTATATAAAGTCTGTATGAATCATGTGATATTTTCTAGAAGTTCTTTTCTTTTTCCAGGACAGTCCGCCATTCTTTGCAGCGTGGAAGTAGTTTCAATGAAGTCCTTTGCACAGATAGTAGATGCCTACACATATAGCCCCAACGTCACCCCTGTGGTAACAAATGTGTCTCCTAATCGTGGTGGTACTGCAGGGGGTACCACGTTGACCATTGGTGGAACGAACTTTGGGTAAGATCGCCAAATAACGGAAATTTGCGTAATTGCAGTCTAGCATAGCTGCTTGTGGTTTCTAAATATGTTCTCTTTCTTTTCCATGATATATCAAATATATGTTTCCATGCAACCCCCAAGCATATGTTCATATTTTTTCAATATTAAACAATTGTTGTTTTCAATGGAGTGATATCATGCGCATTCTCAATCTATTATCAGTTTATTGAATTCGTCCGCACTCTTGTATCCTCGAAATAGTGATTGCAGCAATTTAGCGTGGACCGGGATCTTTAGTGACCCAAATACCCACTCAGTAGTCATGAAAGGTGGTTTGGCAGCTCGTTGTAACAGTTGCAGCCTTCTACAACCTGTCATTTGTCCACCATAACTATATAAAATTTTCCAAGAAGTCTATGATTGGTGTCATGTGTGGCCATTGGCCAATGGTTAAAAACTCGCCTTTCTCGTCGACGTCCAGGGTTCGATTCCCGGAACGGATGTGGAAAGGTACTGCGTAATTTGCTCATACACAATTATCTTGGTAGTCTGGTTTTCTCCCAAAGTAAGACGGACCTCTTGCGCTCTTATGTGCGGCCAACAAGTGTGATTAACATAAGTTGGAAAAACTTGTTTCGCAATTCTAAAATTTAATTCAACCTTATGCGGTGCGGCGTGCAATGAACTATCTTTGCCAATACACATGGTCAAGGCCAACTGTACATTCAGTGTTATCCAATGAAATAATAATAGAATGCGTTGAAAATGGACCCCGGATCCGATTTCGGGGTTCAATTATCAACGTTACAAGGGTATAAGATAATTTCGTATTGAGAGGCCATCTCAGTTCACTATTTGTAATGTTGAAAAATATGGGCTTGTCGAAAATATCAAATTTCCATTCGCTATTGTAGAAGTTTACCAAATGCGTCGTTATATCATGTAGAATTTCGTTACGATTGTTACGAAAGAAATATTAAACAAAAGACAAACCACTGAATGATATCTTTCTCAAATATGTAATTGCAATATATCGTTATCCCGAACTTCTATAATTCAATGACTTGGTGTATTTCGTCTGCCATTTTAACCAAACACTCGATATCACTTAACTTGAATACTTGGAATTTTCCAACTATCCTACCGACTTCGAAAAAAGTGAGTTCGGATGTATATAATTATAACAGAGCCAAAGAATAAATCATATTCCGTTATACAACTGTTTCCTCTAGGACAAAGTTGTGAAACCTGCTTACAAAAATCAAAATTATGTTAAAAATACCAAGCAATAGAAGTCCACTTGAGAATGTTATCTCTCTCAGATTACAGTGCATGTATGTATTTTGCTATACGCTACAGAACAAGACAAGATGGCCCGTGTCCCTCTACTGTGTCTATTGATGGATCCATGTGTAATATCACTTCCTGGTCTGACAAGGAGATAAAGTGTGTAACGGAAAGCCACCAAGGGACTATAAAGGCTTCAGTTAAAGTTGTACCAGCATGTGAAGGACAGGCAAAACAGGTATAATAGCATGCCTGATATTTACATATAATTTAAAAACGAAATTAATGATATGTTTAAGCGATTGGTAATGTTTGCATGTCACGTAGAGGAAAAAGAACATTTCTATAATGTAGAGTTGATTACAACAAAGAGGACAGATGTACATGATTTATAAGGGTCCTGATGCCTAAAGTTGATTGGTGAAAATATTGATTAATAAGAGTATTGATATTTATATATCTAGCAGAAACAAAAAAAAATAGTTTAATAAGTTAAAAGGGGTCGTGATGTCTACATATTTGGTAGAGGTGAAAATAGTTTCATAAGTTTAAGGAGTCGTGACTCCAGATCGGGTGGAGTGGAAAAAGTTTCATGATTAAGAGGAGTGCTGTCTAAATATCTGTTAGAAGTGAAAGTAGTTTCTTGATGTTTAGGAAAAGTGGTGAATCCAGATTGGGTAAAGGTGAAAATTGTTTTAAGATATATATATTTAAAGATTAGGTACATATAATTTAAAAACGAAATTAATGATATGTTTAAGCGATTGGTAATGTTTGCATGTCACGTAGAGGAAAAAGAACATTTCTATAATGTAGAGCTGATTACAACAAAGAGGACAGATATATATTTAAAGATTAGGTAGAGATGATTTTTGGTGTATAGAATAGTAAATGTCTATGGATTGGGTAGAGATGAAAATAATTACATGGATTTATGCGAAAGAAATGTGTGCACATCGAGTGAAGAAGAAAATATACTCACATGATTGAAATGGAGGGATTATTACAGATCGGAATGAGAGTTGATGTGCTTACGATTTTAGGAAAGATTAAATGTAAAAGTGAAAAAGTGATTACTACCGATTGAAAAGGAGTGAAAACTATTATGTGTTATGGGACGGAAGCAACATATCGTGTAGAGGTGAAACTATTAAACTCCTTGTACACTTTCAGGAGTCGCCGTGTAGATAGTTTACATTCCGTACTATTATGATTGAATTCAAGATTGGATTACTATCATGACATCTTGGTATTGTCTTGTTGCATAAAAGTAATTTATAAGACAGGTGATTACTACAAATTTGGTCTCGATATATATATCATCCATCAAAATCCAAGCCCAAAGGCCAATTGTTTTAATTTGATTTTATATTATGGTGTTTGCTAGGTACATCTATTTGTTTCATTGATGCTCTTGTATTCAGATTAAATTGCCATTGTTTCTTTTATAGTGGTGTTTCAGGGAAAAATCATGATGTCACATACTAGAGGATTACACAATGACGTCCAAACAAAATACGTGCTAATAATTCTTGAATAATTTGTAATAAGATGAAAAAAGACAGATTGATGGTATTATTATTTTTATTTTTTTGCTTCAGGTCAATGCAGAGTTTGAATATGTCGATCTGTGGTCATCCGTATTTACCTGGGGTGGCAAGAGTCTCCCAGATTATGAAGACTTTGTCATTATAACACGTGGTCAGACTGTAGTACTAGACACCATTACACCAAAGCTGAAGATACTTTTAATACAGGGTAAGTAATTTAGCGTTCGAAATAAAAAAAAAACAAACGAAATAAAAACAACACCAAGGGAGCCACTAGGCATACCAATGAACGGTCGACTGAACTGAAGTATTTCCCGACGATAATTTCACAATGAAGAAATTGAAATCATCATGCCTTAATATTCAGCTTAATGAAAACTTGTCCATTGTTGTTTCTTTTTTTTAATTAAATCAAGCTAAGTAACTGATGTAAGAGAGTTCATCTTGTCTTTTATACTTCCGGCCGAATTCAATAGTACTATGCACCCTTCAACACATTGACAAGCCCGCATTGATTTTATAAAAAAAAGGTACAAAATAAATTTACAATGGCAATACGAAGTGATTTTTTCTCAGCCACACAATACACATTTGATTGGATGGCATTGATTTTAGAGTTGGCCATTACAACTTTGACAAGAAATGTCAAAGCAAAAGAGGTGGTAGAAGAAGGTTCAGTTTAACGAAATAATGTATTGTACTGTATCATGCAACTACCTTTTTACCATCTAGGATCCAACAGTAATGTGTCAGATTCCATAAAATGACTTGAAAAACTGCATTTGTCGAAATGGACGTATTCTAGTTCTAAAGCAATGACGGATCATTCTGATAAACATGCGATTTAATTAATAATATACTAATATCCTGTGGATAATTCAGTCGTGGTTATTATTCGTATTTCAAAAGGTGGGGCATTGATTTTTGATGAGAAAGACGTCGAGTTACACGCTGAAAACATCCTTGTTACCGATAATGGCCTCTTTCAAGTAAGTATTGCAGATACTATTTTATTTCTTCTATTTCCCCGACTATAACATATATACATTATGAACATCGATGCCTACATATAATTTTCTTCCTCTCCTCCAATGCATTGTGAAATATTTCTCACTAGATCACTGTAACCTTAACCCTTAAGCAAAATGTTAGATGAATGCGGAAATGATCCGAGGTATATATGATTGTGCACGTTTGTTACAATACTTTGTACGATTTTTTATGGTAACGTTCATATCCCATTTCAAATCAGTGTTATGTCTGAGAATTTCTGAAATAAGTACATATTATCCATACAATCAAAGCGTCATGTTCTACATATGATTAAATTCCCTAGGAGTTTGAGCATTTATATATGGATAACAACAAAGCCACATATTAGCAGAATCTTAATCGAAACTCTAATTCGATGAAACGAGAACAAAATATGAATGAAAGAGTCAATTAAATGGTGTTTACTGAAACGCCTATTGAAGGTATATTAGGACAATATGACAGATGGTCCGGAAAAGTAAGCCTCTTCTGCTTCATGCAAGAGACATGCTATGTAAATCTTAGTCAATCCAAGTAAGTTTGTCACGTTAGATAACTAATCAAACGTGTCCTTTCTTCTTTGATATCGAAACAACTGCAACAAGTAAACAATATTAAACTCTCTTAATTTCTAGAGTCATCAATAAATCCGAAAGTGTTATTGAAGGACTTCGCTAGGTCTTTGTTACCTTTTAGATAAGATCGTCAATGAATCTAACCCCAAAAAGTCACCCAACAGAGTTGTACAGGTGGTGTTGCCAATTGCATACTCGATGATCTTGATATCAGCCTCGAGGAACATGATTTCAACCCATTTTCTAGTTTTAAGTTAAATATTCTTAACAAAGTTTGAAGCAGAAAGACATTTATTAAACATTCAGAACAGATTTTTGTTCATTTTTATTTGTGTGTGAATATTATAGATTGGAACTGAGGAGAGACCATTTCAGCACCATGCGAGTATAATTATGTATGGAAATGTAAACAGTCCTGAATTACCATTATATGGGACCAAGATGCTAGCTATCAGGGATTCAAAACTGGATATGCACGGTATATACATATGAATAATCCATGTATATCAATACGTATTATCGATTCCATAACGACTGTAGAAAAAACATACAAGCGGATATCACCTGATTTTAGATATAGTGAATAAAAAGATGAATTAAAATTTTAATTGTGTAGTTTGAAGAGGTCCATAAAACAACCAGAGGGCACAATTGATATTTCACCTTTGTCATGCTGTAATAAATGCTACAAAGTGTGTCCAAAAAGTAATCGTGATACTCCTTCAAAGCTCACAGAGGTTAAATAACTCAGAATGTGCCAATGACCTCCAACTAACTGAAACACCAAGTGTATTAACATTTGGCATAAAGCATTCTTGGATGCAAGATATTTTTAACTTGACGTCGCGTGACAAATAGATCAAATTGATCCGATATGTGTGTTACTGTCATGGACTTACCAATGAACATTTGTAACGGTAGATTTCGTTGTGTAATGGTGGGTTAATGTATTTTCATTGTCGTTTAACCCCGTGCTTTCATTGGTTTTTGTATCCTTAAGATTAACTGTGCTGTATTTTATGCTCGAGATGTATATCTTTTTAAACTTAAAACTAGAATAAATAGTTTCATATATTTAAACTAGTTTTTTTAGTTCTCTACATTCATTCATTGTTTTCTGTTATCAAGGTCAACCGCGTACAACAAAGACTCAGTTATCTTCGACAGCAGAAGCAGGACAGTCTATTTTAGAGGTACTTGGAACAGTTGACTGGACGGCAGGTGATCGAATAGTTATTTCCTCAACTGGAAATCATAAATCCCATGATCAAAATGAAATGCGTATAATTGAAAATGTAACTTTTACAAACAAGAATGATAGTATTGTAACTTTGACGAATCCTTTGGCCTACACACATCTTGGCGTAACCGAGTTGCACGCAGGGAAACTTATTCAATTAAGAGCAGATGTTGGGCTCCTGTCCCGCAATATCATCTTCAAAGGTGTACAGGATCCTCGGAAGCCACAGGAGAAAATACCTTGCCCGGATGGACAGGTTGTAGGTAAGCGATATGGATGGATTTTTTATCACGATGTAATTAAAGTGGTGCTAATATGAACTGAATCTCTCATTCTAGATCTTTTATTAGACTGACAACTCTACAGGTCGGTGCATATTTTAAATCAAGTGGCCTGAAGAGCCTAGTTAGCTTCTGTCATATCGTGTCATTTGTCGTCTTCCCGTCCGTCAACATCCCAGGGGAGAGGACTCTAGTTCGCATTAACTGTGGGACGGCAGGGGCGGGACCAAATATTGAAAAATGAGGCAAACTGAGTAAGACCCTCCTTCATTTGTAACTATATCAAATACCATTTTGGTCTGATGGTAAAGGGGATAAGTTACAAATTGTATGTATGTGTGGGTAGCGAATTATTTAAAATAATTTTTTCTGCTGTGGAAATGCGCAGTCTGAAACATCCTTAAAATAACTGTTAAAATCTGTTGATGTGTGATATCCAATACGTTTCTCTTAATTAGCAAAAAAAAATGAATGTTAACTTCCGTACAATATGGTTCGATAGACGAATGGTTAAAAAGCTTCTAACAAGGGATTTTAGTGCTCTTTAGGGTATATCATTATCTCGATCTCCTTACATTTCTTATTTAAGCGAAATTCCAAACATTTTACCCGTAAAAAAATCCTTTCCAAATGAGGCAAAATGTTCCATTCCAGAGAACTGCTTGAGCATATGGGACACCACGACATAATCAATATATTTTAGGTGTTTGAAACCAATGCTTAATTTCAAACAATGCCTCGTAAAAAGCAACAGTCTTGTTCTATTGAAAAGCTTATATGTTGAACATGATCACACGTTGCTTCGTCCTTTTTCCCTCGCCTGTAATACATGAGACATACAATCTGGAAACCTTAATGCTCGCAGCTAAAAATTGAGGCATTGTCAAGCGAGACATTGGGACAGACATAGTCTCTATCACACTGCCTGCATGGCTTTACCATTTAAAAATGTATAAACATAAAAAATCGCAATATGAAACAACAATAAGCAATATCGTGTTTAAGACTCATTAGTTTGCCTGTCGGCTTCATTTTGGTATGCCTTGTATTCATTTGAGAACATAAAATGTCTCTGATTGACCACGATTTACAATTGCGGGTGTCGTCGATGATGCAGAAGGCACTTATTCTTCCAGAGCACCTAGTCTTGTACTTTTTCATGAGTCTCCATCAATCTTTCTTTTGTTTACCTAGTTGATATTGTGGTATTTTTGTATTCCTTTTTATGATCCTTAATCAAAATGACAATACCTGATTTTATTTATAATTGTTTTTTAGGGGAATTTGAAGTTCAAACGTGTTCAACAGGACGTTTACAAAATCAGGAAGACCAATTTGGAGCACAGATAATCATACACAAATCATTGGACTCTACACAGTCAATATGTAAAATAGAATATGTAGAATTAACGCATGTCGGTCAAGCATTTCGTCTTGGTCGTTATCCGATACATTTTCATTTGCTGAAGGAGGATGCAGACAAGTCGTATGTCAAAGGAGTAGGTATACATGGGTCCTTCAACAGAGCAGTAAATATTCATGACACACACAATACGTTGATAGATAACAACGTTGTATACAACATCATGGGAGGTGCGTTCTTTTTAGAGGATGGCATAGAAACGGGAAATATATTACAGAACAATTTAGCCATCTTTGTTAAATCTAGTTCGAGTTTGCTAAATGATGATGTTACTCCTGCAGCATATTGGTTGACTAATCCGAACAACACCGTACAACATAACATTGCAGCAGGAGGAACGCACTTTGGTTTTTGGTATCGCATGCATGAACATCCAGATGGGCCTTCTTTCACCGAAAAAGTATGTCCCCAAAGCGCTGTCTTAGGCAGATTCTTTGGAAATACAGTACATTCACATGGCCAATTCGGCGTTTGGATATTCCCTACATACACACCACGGGCAGGGCATTGTTCGAAAGATCCATCAATGGCAATACCAGCAATCTTTGAAAACACACTTGCATGGAGATGCTTGAAAGGTTTCGAGTCGGTCAATAGTGGTTTGATTCGTCTTGAAAACTTTACAGCATACGATTGTGCTAATGGTTTTATTGAATTCAAGATTGTAATGGAAAGTCGTCCTGGTATAAACAATGTCTTAATTATAGAACCTGGTAACGGAAAAGGCGACGGGATAATATTGCCTTTCGGATATCCATTTTTTGTCTCAGATGCTACGTTTGTTAACTTCAATAATGGAGCAGAATTTGCATTGACGACCGTTCCTGGAGTTTGTGTGGAACCATGTGGTGGCTTCAATTATCATATATCAAACATAACACATGCAAATTCTTCAAATATCTTTCGGGCTGGTTCAAAGTGGCAGTATCTGATAAATGCTGACAAAAGCATTTGTGGAACAGAGGATTGTACAGTATTGCCAACAGTAGGCACTCTACCTCGAAATTGTTCATCATTTGGAAAGTCCATCGGAATCAACGTCTCATCTTGTCCCGCTGAAATCGAGTTTGTTCGCTTTGGGTTCAACGAACTACTACCTGCTAATGATTTATTCAAAACATTTATCGTAACGACAAATGGTCAGTCAGAAGAGATTCCATATCAGTTCAAAGGTTTTACCCACCCACGTGGCCATAAGGCTAATTTGATCGTAAACGAAACGTCAGTTTTGGATGCAGATAATTCACCTAAGTTGACAAACCTGAGTTTTTCTGGTTTGATCTCTAACATTAAGGTAACAACTACTGGTAGTTTAGTACCTGCTTCAATACAACGCAGCTCATGTCATGATGAATCATTTACTGCTGATAGCAGATCTACTATTTTTAAGCAAGTGCCAATATTAAAGTTATCTCTTAAGAAAGGTTCAGAGTGGGGTCCATTGAAGTTTCGATTTCAATCTTAAGCTAATAAAATTCTTCTTTTGTCCGTTTAACATTTATGCATTTACAGTTGTGGGGTCGCATAATGTTGCACGATGTACGATGTACACAGGACGTCTGCATAATGTGCGTTCGGTGTCAGGAAAACTGGACAAAATTTGTTATCGCACATCTGTGCCCAAGATGTGCACTTTGTGCACATATGTGTTTTTTTAAATCTTGGTTCGCGTGACTTTAGAATCGACTTATGAATATGTGTTGGATTCACTTCAATTATTTTCTAAATATCCAATAGTACATCTCAGTATATTTTACAATTTAACCTTATATCTATATGTCTGACACATGTAGAACCATCTGGTACGGACTAAACAGTTATGCACATTGTAATTATTGTGCCATGCGTGACCACTCCTTGTGTACAGACACTCATTACATACCCAATATACATGTAAACATTAAACATACGGCTCGACAAGGAGTCTGAAAGTTAATTATACCTATATTACTTATTTTTGTTGCCCGTGGCACACCACTCCCCTCGCTGTATTCCTTAAATATACTTTTTAACCAGGGTCCGGTTTTATTTCGATAAATTTAAATGAAGTATGATCTTCATGATCACTTATCACTAATTAACTGTGGTTGTTAGTGAATCATAACTATACGAACGTTTCGTTTAATTTTCGATCCGTAATATTTGGAAGACGGCTGTACGATGTGCGAACCAAGTGTTTGGAACTTTGTGCGATACCACAACTGTACTTGAAAATCACGAATACACAATCAGATCGTCTTAAATCACGTTGGGCCATTCAGAATTTTAAGGCGGAAGTTTGTACAATGTAAATTCACCAAAATATGACTTCTGAATACGACAATACGACGTGTGTGTGTGTGTGTGTGTTTGTTGTATGAGTTTAAACTCAGAATAGGTATACAGTGCTCAACTATGCAAATTTACTGATGCTTTAGATGACACTCAAATGTGTTTATGCGGAACCGTTATGTCATTCCAGTAGTTTATCTAAAACAGATATTTATTTGAGATTTGTTTTTTATCTTTTTTTCAATTTCTTGATTCATATCTGTTTTAAATAATATTCCAATAACACAACGATTTCCATATCAAGTTCTTGAAAATAACTTTAAAAAGTGTATCATTTTCTTTCAGCCTTACGAATACCTTAACATAGCATTTCGTATGACGAAGAAACCAAACATAGTCAAAATAAATGGCGTCGTGTTCAATAGCACTGTCAACGATGTGGAGCCGAGCCCGCAGAATAACTATTTCGGAGATTGGATGTTTGACAATGAAACCAGTCTTCTCATTATTTTCAGTTTGTATATGTGACATTTTTGTGCATTTTATCTTTTGAAATTCCTGACAACGATTTAGCCTTAATTTTCATGTACAGGTAAACAACTGTCGACAAGATCGCGATTGTACTTAAGTCGACTATACCACGCATATACGATTTTCCTATGTTTTTCAGTACCTAACAAAATCTAATGCGATTGTCACATTAACAGTTGTTAGGGCCGACAAGTCGACTATAGGATGACAATATCACACATTAACACGCATCACATACAGATTTAGGATCGACAATCTATCTGCATTCACATGTTTTTCAGAACCTCTGACAATATCACACATTAACAGTTGTACTAGTGTAACAGTTGACAGTATCTCACATTAACAGTTGTACTAGGGCCGACAATGTCTCGCATGAACAGTTGTACTAAGGATGACAATATCACACATTAACAGTTGTACTAGGGTCAATGTCTCACATGAACTGTTGTATAAGGATAACAATATCACACATTAACAGTTGTAATAGGCCGACAATATCGACAATATCTCACATTAACAGTTGTACTAGGGCCGACAATGTCTATCATGAACAGTTGTACTAAGGATGACAATATCACACATTAACAGTTGTACTAGGGTCGACAATATCTCACATTAACAGTTGTACTAGGATCGACAATATCTCACATTCACAGTTGTACTAGGGTCGACAATGTCTATCATGAACAGTTGTACTAAGGATGACAATATCTCACATTAACAGTTGTCATAGGGTCGATAATATCTCACATTAACAGTTGTACTAGGGTCGACAATATCTCACATTAACAGTTGTACTAGGGTCGACAATGTCTCACATGAACTGTTGTACTAAGGATAACAATATCACACATTAACAGTTGTACTAGGGTCGACAATATCCCACATTAACAGTTGTACTAGGGCCGACAATGTCTCGCATGAACAGTTGTACTAAGGATGACAATATCTCACATTAACAGTTGTGCTAGGGCCGACAATATCTCACATTAACAAATGTACTAGGGCCGACAATATCTCACATTAACAGTTGTACTAGGGTCGACAATATCTCACACATTAACAGATGACAATATCTCACATTAACAAATGTACTAGGGCCGACAATATCTCACATTAACAGTTGTACTAGAGCCGACAATATCTCACATTAACAATTGTACTAGGGCCGACGATATCTCACATTAACAATTGTACTAAGGTCTATGATACCGCATACTAACAATTGTATTCGGGAAATATTATATTTCGCAATTTTGTATGAAATTAGATCTGTTTGAAGCTTGATCCCAATGTCATTTTCCTTATTAGGTATATTGTGTCTGTGATATTATCTTAATGGACTGACCAAGATGTTCATACTATTTTGTAACACCTGGTCCCATTTTCGTTGTTCTTTTTTACAAGAGGATACTTTTCCTGAACGATGTTTAGATTACGGTTCTATTGACAAGCTGGTATCCTCTATGTTGTGTTGGAGTACATGTTCAGCAGTGACACATATTGTAGGATGAAAATGTAACATGTTTTTTTTTAATATCAAACCTTGCTAAATACTGTTTGATTCCAATGATGTCCCACAATTGTTTACATAATATAAAATAGTAAGACAAGTGTATCAAATACGTTTTGTTCTTGACTAGTTTCCTACAATGAAAACAACGAAACTGTAATGGATGGTCCAAAGGATTTACTGTTCAACTTAGAGGTGATACATTGCTATTTTCTTGACTGTGTGGATCCTGCGTCTGTGGACACTGGCGAGCTACTTACTTCCAGACCGGACGAGTATTTACTATGGTCCGCTAATACAACTTGGCAAGATGGAAAGTTCCCTAGTGAAAATGATAATGTAACCGTAGGTAGGTATTGTCACCCTGGCCATTCACCACCAGTGTTCTAATGACTAATCAAGAGAAAAGGAGTTTTACCAGTAATCGTTAGGTTCCGGTATCGTTTAGATTTATCCCGATGGAGGCAAATCATTACTTATGTTATATTGTAAGGACCAAATAATTCTTTCTGCGACAAAACCAGAGCGTAAACACTAGTAAACTGTTTTTTCCCGCTGAGGGGACAACATCACGCTTGTTTTACTATAGCTAGATACATCACACCGAGGCTCGGCTTGGTGAAAGCCAGCAGAGTATTATCATAGCTAGGCTAAGAATAGGTCAGAGAGAGTTAGTATTATTTATAACCATTGTGATATTTTCATCAAATTGGATAAAGTTGAAGCAGGATTTTAAAATACTCCAGACGGAATGAACTGGTAAGAAAGGAACATGTATAGAAATTTCGAAAAATATGTGAACAATTTCATTAATGGATATTTGACGTTCTGCTATATTGTTAGATTGTGTATAGGATCACAGATGTTTGGAGGTATTATGTATTATCACTGTGGTCCTTTGGTTATCAACCTTACGGAGATTGGTTGTATATTTATTACCCTTTTATCAGGAGGAAATCGAATTCATTTAACAACTGTTGGAGGGTTTTTTTGTTAAACATTGGAAGCCTTATTTATGAAACCATGTTTTGTTCTCCTGCAGCTGATTGGATGGTGGTAGATGTGACGACGCTGACACTCCATACACTTGTTATAACGGGAACATTGGAATTAGATCAAGGACCAGAGAAAGGCCCTTACCGCAGTATTACCATGAATGTAACTGACATAATTATCATCGGTGGTAGACTAATCATCGGCTGGCCAGATAAACCTTTTCTCGGAAATGCTGACATAATATTGAGAGGATATCATCTTAGTGACGACGAAATTGACACTTTTCTTCCTGGGTCAAATATAGCAGTCAATCGTAAAACAATTGGTAAGTCTTCGTTTGGCGTAAAAATGTGTTTTTTGTACTCAATTTTCACGTTATACTTTTCACTTCGATATTTCTAGTACTTTTTTGTGAGGACTTTGCAGCGTGTCACGAAATCGTTTCCGGGATTTTGTTTTGGATATTTCGTTGCAAGGCGATGCACATTTTGATATACATATACGCCTCAATATATTAATAGCTGTTAGAAACTATTGGATTGACTTAATGCAAGTAATGGTATGCTTACCTACGGATCAAGATGTTATGTCGATTTAGTGTACTGTCATGCTTAAACGATATTTTTTTTGTCATTATATCGGTGTTGATTCTTTTGGGTTTTCTTCTTCTTTTTTTGGGGGGGGGGTTGTTTTTGTTTTTGTGTTTATTTTTTTTCTTTTACTGCATCACTGACGAGTCATATGACAAAGCAGTTGTACAATGCAGGTTACATCATTATTTATCTTTACTTTGTGATATTCTATTCTGTTCTATTCACTTGTGGGTCGTAGTATAATCTCCTTTGCGATATAATAAGATCACCGATCGTGGCACTCATGTTTTATCATGGAATTTTTTAATGTTTAAATAGTGGCTAATAGTGGATAAGTTTCTGTCATTTAGAAACATATTTTCCATTTTTAAGTTATTTAATATCTTTTCGTAAACTTTCGTTATGGACTGGTAAATTGTAATCAGGATTCGTTCTATGTGTGTGATAGCTTTTGCAATACTTTTGGTGTCTTCGTTTCCTTTAGTTTTATAATATAATAAGATTAACTAATATACCTTATGAATGGAGCCAGGATATATTTCAACGCGTTTGGTTGTGATATTAGCTATGTGGACTTTCTTATTTATTAATGCACACAAATGTATAATAAACAAATAATGCAAACATGCCTGAATAAATGTACCGCTTGAGATTATATAGTTTACTACAAATACTATTTTTCAAAATGTTTAGTTACACTACTTATCATCTAACATATGCAAGTTTGCATCTAAAGCGGGTGATAAAATTTGTCTTAAATTAAGCAGTTTGAATACGTTTGCCGACATTTGTGAAACCCAATTGTTAGACTGGTACAAAAATCTCAATTGAGGTTTTTTACACTTCTTTAGAGACCTCTCAATACATAAAGCATAATGAATGTATAAAATCACGATGTAAACAAGGGAATTACCATTCATTTAAACCTTCGCTTGGTCATATTACACCTTTGACCGTAACAAATTTCATATGATAAGAGCATTTTCACATCCTTTCGTAATGTAGATAATATGATTCTGTGAACAACTATTAGTTGTCACGTCATCAGCTTAGTCATATATTCATGACGTTTCTCTCACTAACAAATGACGTAATAAACCAATACCAGCTCATAAAATCAGATCACGAAAAGACGCACCTACAAAGCTTACGTCTCAGTATATGACAAGTATTCGATAAACCAAATGTTAGGATCACCGTTTTATCAGTCAAACTGGATTTAATTAAAAGAAATAAGTAGTTCAATAAATACAATCACTGACTCGTGTACCATGGGTCTCTTCAGCAGTTTATAATTTGTGTGATATGTGTCTCTTATAGCGGTATATGGTGTATTGGATCTGCACGGGAAAGATGTTGGGAAATCGTGGACAACAATTAGTAAGACAGCACTTCCAAATGATACGTCACTCACATTAAGCGAACCAGTGCCATGGAAAGTAGGTGACACAATATTATTGGCGCCAACTGCATATGACCCATTCGAATTTGAGGTATTCAACATTACTTCTATTTCCAATGATAACCAGACGCTCACTCTAAATGGCTCAGTAGCATATCAACATATAGGTAAGTCATATATCACAATGATGTTTGCTCTCTAATTCTTATATGGTTACTTCATATTCATCGTCGATTTTTTTCAATTAATTCGATAAAATCACGTACCATCTTTCTTCATTTTTTCAGTCCTCTGCTTTGAAGGTCTGCAACAAAGAAAATAGACAATAGATATATACCATTAGCCTTCATTTAAATACAAAACTTAATTTCTTTATTTGTTTTAAAAGAGAGTTTATTTGATTAACACTTTTCGATTATGAAATATTCCAATTCAGAATTAACCGCATTTTTACAAATCACACACGTTACACATTAGGTACCGTTGTTACACCATACATGCTAGGTTGGTTGTGCTTCTTGCTAGTCTTTCATAGGGTTATTAATATCGTATTTACTACGCTATCATAAGAATGAAGTGTCAGTAGGATGTTATCAGTATGTTGACCAACGGTATCGAGGGCAAGCAAGTAAAAGTGACTTACCGAAAGTGTATTTATAAATATGCTACTGCGACTCCCCGTTCACATTTTGATTTATATTTCGATCAGTGGGGTTTTCCTTTGATGTCTCTGAAAATACAAGCTACAAAATTTAGGTCCATGGCATCACTGACGAGTTCTTGATGGATAGAAGAGTTGTAGCATGACGTTTAATTCATTGACTGTATCTACTGTATCTTGCTCTAAAGTTTTGAAATGTGTTTTTCATGTTGGTGTGTCTTGTACAATCGTTTATCTACATGATCATTCGAAGGCTAAACTGCAGTAAAACAATAAGATTGAAGCTCGTATAAAAGCTACCGATTACGGACTGAAATAATTCATTAATCAACATTGTATTACTTCACAAAATATAAAATTACAAACCAAGCTATAAATGAAAAACATGAAGAAAAGACTTTATAACTATTGTTTAACAATTGGAAATATGAATATATATTATTTTTGTTGATATAAGGCAGTCACAGTGTATGAAATTCAACAATACGTTCTTTCGTATTCATTAAAATGCCAACAGATATACTAAGATTAAGAAAATGGAACAAAGTTACACCCTTTCTCTAGCGAATGTTCGAAAAATGACGAGTCGAAGAAAAATAATTCATTATTTGAAAGTCAATGTTTGTGATCTGAATTTGTATTGAATATTGTTACCAAATCGTGTTTCTGTTTATAAAGTTTGATTATCTCTCAATAGCCGTTACAAAACACGTCAACGGAAGAAACCTCACCATGGCTGCGGAGGTTGGTTTAGTAACAAGGAACATCAAAATTATCGGAGAAGAGGCTCCTGATCATTTTGGAGGTCGGGTGCTAATCAGCGAAGCTTCAGTAAATAATACGCTTTATAAGGGTATGTGGTTCAAAAATATTTAGAATTTATAAATGTAGGTCTAAATGATTGCCACGTTTTAATGCACTCGAACAGAGGCGCGGTCGAAAATTATCTGATATATATGGTGGCTGATTTCTGCCATTTTGTTGTTTTTTGTTATCGTTTTTTCGCCCACGCTAAATTTCGTTTTTTTTTTCGCAGTGACAAAACGAAAATTATCGTCTTTTTGCCCCGCTAATTGTCGTCTTTTCGCCGCGACAAAACGATAATTCTCGTCTTTCGGCTCCGCTAATTATCGTCTTTTCGACCCGCTTATTGTCGTCTTTTCGCCACGACGAAATGATAATTATCGACTTTTCGCCCCACTAATTATCGTCTTTTCGCTGCGACAAAGCGATAATTAGCGGGGTGAAAAACGACAAATAGCGACATCAAGTTTTCGTTATTTCACATTGAGTTTTGTCGTCTTTTCGTTATGTCGCTGCGAAAAGACGAAATTTAACGGCGGTGAAAAGACGATGATTGTCGCTCTGTTGGGGCGACAAAACGAAACAACGAAATGGCAGAATTCATCCATCATAGATGTATGAAAATTATATTTTACTCATAATTATGAAAAGATGCTTTTTGTTTGTCTTTTGTACAAACTATATAAATGTTTTTTACGCGATATTTCAGACCCTTCGTTTCTCTATACTCTCTAATAATAGCGTCAGATATTTCTGAGTGTTCCCTTCGTTATTGTGACTCGTCAATTATTGTGAGTGTAATGTGATTGGGCAGATCACTTATCTAAATTTTCCCTCTTGTTTTTTTACCCTCAATTAATGAGGTTTTGGATGAAATTTGCAAATCGGACAGTTTTGTATAGTTTTAAATCTCTATCAACGGAAATAATCCAAAACGTTGAGATTCAAAAATGTTGAATATTTTAACTGTTGATCATTTTTTAGTAGAATAAGCCGAACTCGAACAAAATATAAGTTATGCATTATCTTGGGCAGAAAATGATTAGTGAAAATAATTGTTTAGTTTTTAACATATGCCGTCGCCGGTAACGAAGAAAGACGTTATGTAATGAGCTTTTCTTTGCATATTGATCTGACAACCAGAACTCGTCTTGTCGACAAATACGGTTAAAATATATCTATATACTTTTAAGGGGAAGATGAATATATTTATCAAATATGCGAAAGATAATGCGTGGTTTTCGAAGATTCAGATATAAACTTTTTTAGATGGTCTACTCCAAGTTTATGTTAGACAGTTGTGGACGCAAAAAATACAGTGAATAACAGGGATAGTTAATTATTCATTTTGAAGGTTCTGGTCGAATCAGCAACATTGAGTTCGTCCGTACTGGCCAGGAAGGTTTCACGTCCAAATCGGATCCAAGATTTTCGGTGGCGTTTGTGTATGCTGATAACGTGACAGCAAAGATTCCTTCCTTTGTCGACAAATGCTCCTTCTACTATGGAATGGCTCCAGGAATAGGAGTGTTCGCCTCAGACTATGTAACCGTCAGCAATAACGTCATTCATCATTGTGTTGGGAGTTGTAAGCACGTTTAACTTGACATAGCCATTACATAACTGAACAGTTTGTGCAGTTCTGTTTTTACAGATCTACCCTTTGACCCATGGAGTCAGAACATTATATGTATAAATTTAAACTTTATTAGGGACTCTCGGTAACAGCCTTTGAAAATACACTTCATTTTTTGTTTAGTACATTCTCTCTACATCCCTTCTGACCCATTTCTGATCGATGATCTTTAACAATTTGTTTTAAATCTCTTTGCTGACTTTACCGGGTTCCCAATCCGGGAAGGCACTTTGACCACATTTCCATATTAAAATGTTCACTGAGTGAAAATAGAAAAGAATATAGAATTATATCTTATTATCCAAATTCAAAATAGGAATGATATAGGTCGTCCCAATACCGTGATATTGACGTGTAAGATTTGGAAACGGTGACTCGTGCTCAATGGGACCTTATCGGCTGTGACGTCAAAATTACAACGACTGGTAGCAGTCACCATGGAGAGGATAGGCGAAATAGACAATAGCTTCCGTGTTTTTTTGGGTTTTTTCCTTTTAGTTTGTAAAGTTTTGAGTAATCTCGATAATGACGATAACATTATGTAGACCTTAAACAGTGAGATTTGCCCGATCAATTCAACTCAAATTTATTAATTGTCAGCCTTAGAACAAAGTATTAGGTACCAATAAAATACATTTATATATAAGATCAATTAGTATTATAGAAATATGCATATTATGTGTATCTACAATAATTAACACTATTAAAATAAAGATATGTTACTCGACCTAGTGACAGACTCAACATGTCTGAAGATATTTGAAAGGGGCCAAAACTACACCTTTATACCTTTGTCAAGTTTTAAGATAAAGAGATGTCAGCTGGTGGGTGAGGGATAACCTGGAATTGAAGTAAAAGCTAGTGAATTGGTGTTGGTTATGCTTTTTCGATTGTCATTTTTTACAAATAATGTCAACAGTCATGATGAGGAAATGTATAATGACCGATTTGAACAAAAATATCTCGGAATAAAATGTATGTGTTCAGACAATCTCATGCAGTATATCATCTGTATACTCATGGTGGTAGGGGAAAATCATAACTGAAGCTGTAAAAAAGTCATTTCTATATATATGTAGCATAAAACATACATAAGTAAGTGTCAACGGGATAGATCACATAAGTAGCTAAAACGCTCTTATATTGAACACACTATGGACTCTTCCTGGTATTTCTATAGAGCTGTTTCGACAGCGTTGTGACAGCACTGATGTGGGCTACCATATCGAGACGGTCGCCGTTGCATTTAAGGCAAATCTCAATTTCTCGGAAACGGAATTAGCTACGTCGGTGAACACTTGAAAACATAGATCGTTTAATCGAGTTTGAAAGTTTGATTTTCGCTTGGTTTGGTACACAACGGAGAGAACTATATGAAGTTGGTTGTGAATTGTAGGATATTTATGACATGAAATTTAATTACCCTTTCAACTGAAAGAGTTACCGTTGCTATTCTAGCTCATGGAGAAAATACAATATCTGTGTACTATATTCATTTCTGTATATAACATGAAAAAGTTAAGGAATCAATCATTTAATCGTCATTGATGTTGATTTAAACTTTTAGATGACTCATTTATTTGTTATAGGTTATTGAGTTTTATTTTAATTACTTCTAATTTACAATGCCATTCATTTTTATCTCTTGTAAACGGGGTTTGGAGAAGATACAAGATTTGTCCCGTATGTATGTTACAATTCCTTCTCAACACTCTGTAATCGCTTCAATCCTTGATGGATTTCGATCAAACTCCACAAACTTATAAACGACCATATTAGGTCTGATAAAGTGGAATTTCAGGAATGGTTAAGGTCTAAGTCATTATTACTACTAGCGACTTTAATCAAAGAGTTAATGAAGCTTTACACTGTATAAAGGACGATGATATTTTGAACGAGTTGGAATTTTAAGGTTTTTAGAGCAAATACCGTCCTCCACTATACTTTACTTTATGTAAATACGTCTTTGTTTATGTGTACACTTATTGCATTGATGTTAACTTTACAAAAAAAACTGTTAACATTCACGTACATTTTTTCTGTTAGTTCTTTGTAATTTGTCTAGTGTGTTATCCTGTTAAATCAACATTCTGTTTTCTTGTAGGTATTATATCAGATTCGAGATACACAAGACTTACACGTAACCTGATTTTACTTCATTTGTGGGAAGGCACTTTTGACGGTAGATACGAAGTTGGTAACTCCAATTTTGGTGCAGGTTGTGATACAACTAAGGCACATTTGCCAGTTGTTGAAGGTAACCACGTAGCTGGCTCACAGCGTATAGCATTCAGAGGTTTGAAAGCACCAGAAGAGAAAAACGTTTCAGTAAACGTGGCACACACTTCATTATTGGGATTTGGCATTTTCCCAAATGATCCTTTACAACAAAGAAGATCACAAACAGGCGCTGTTGAAATTTCAAACTACTTTTTTTGGAAAATCCGATACACTGGACTATATTATCAACATTTCTCTTCCGTGTCTGTACAGGATGTTATAACGGTAGACAGTCGAAATGGAATGTATCTTGCGGTTTTGGGTCCGCCTTCTGTCGCACACGAGTATGAACCAAAATTCGCCAGTATAACAGATTGCCTTTTTGTAGGAAGAATGAACACTTCCGACTGTGATGAAGATGTCTTCAAGAGAAATCCCAACATAGAACTGGCTGAGGACCTAGCGGCTCCTAGGAAAACTGATACGCGCACCGCCTTGTCTTTCCCTTCATTCCCAAGCGACCACAATCATGCTCCGTTCAAACCTATTTATGGGCTAATGTCATATCCTGCTATTATGGGACTCACCAAAATAAATAGTAAGTACTTTGTTCGAAAAAAAAGGATTCTTTCTGGCTAAATTATATAAATGAAATGTTATTGATAATGCAAAGAAACCGTTTATTTTCTAAAACTTATTTTTTATTGAGTAAATGTTACAATTATCCAACACCAGAAGGGATATCAGATAAATTTTCCTATTTCGTATGTGTGAGGTAATCATTGGTTTCACATCTGGGTAAAGCCTGATATCAAAACGTTTTAAGTTTAATTCCGTAGCACATGATAAAACAATATTATTATAGAAAAGTCGATCTCCATTAACACACCAATCCATTCAAAATGAAAAGGTTACTTATGATTCGTTTTTCGGCACATGTTTTACCTTTACGTCAATCTGAGATAGAGACAGTTTGACCACTGGTAATCTCCTCAAACCATCAGACAAATTAGCTTTTCTTTATTGTTTTTTTTTCAGGTGTATTTTTTATTAATTATACGTCAACCTGTGGTAGAGACGATTTTGCCATAATGAGTGACTTTAACAATGAAGACCTACAACATCCCATAGAGATGTCGAACATCACACATCAAAATACTAACCTGGTATTCTTCTACAGAAGCAGTATCGCGTGCGTTTGAGGTTTTATCAGATATGAAATATCGGTTAAATATTCTTATAGGAATTTCTTACAGATTATAAAGCAAATTTATAAAGTAGTTCTCTCATTGATAATTAACTCTTCCAATTCACTAAGAAGGTGCGCATATCTATTTTGTCTTTTCGTAATGCAGAGTTATTTGCTCTTGTGACCAGGTATTGTTTATTACGTCATGAGTTTCGAGAGAAATTTTCGTCATTTTCTCGTGACGTTACTCTCACCATCGAATAACCTCTCATTATTACCTACTCACAAGAACAGATACAGATAACACTGCATTATGAAAGACTGATTTCTTGTGAATCAGTATCAAATTAATTAGATTAAGAACTTATTCAGGAGTGTACGTGTAAATCTTACTTTTGTTCATATTTTGCTCTTATCTACCGAATTCGAGTTTGGATTGATATGTCTGTTTTCTTTCTTTTTTATCGAAATCATGTTAAACAAACTAACTGTTTCAGTAAAATCAACGATGGTGATTGTGTTGACATGGATTGTGACGGAAAGAAGAAAAATTTGATAAAGGATTTAGACGGATCGTTCTTGGGAAGTCCAGGTGCAATTATTTCACAGTCGGAATATGAATGGAATGCCAATACAAAGAGAAATATTGGTGATAATAGGATACCTGCTTCGATGTTAGTTGATCAGAACGGAAATCCTATAGCCGTGAATGACATTGCACCATATAAAGGTATTCTAGGACATATCCACTGCTATATTCTTGCGATAAAATTATCAAACGACTATAAAAGAATGTAAAATTTGCTCGTCTTCATAAGTAGCATGCGATATGCATTTAGTTTTTTTTATTTTTTATCACGTGATCCTCCGTATAAGATGTTTGTGGCTTTTATAGAATTATCATAGACTCAATTCATTCTTTTAACCAAACATAACTTAGGTAAACCATTTGATGTGAAATTACTATTATCGGATGAGGAGAAATTACTTTTTTTCCTGAATCAGTTAGTCGTTCTTCTTTTCAAAGGCATCATACGAAACCAGCAGTGTCAATACCGAGAGTTGTGGCAAGCATACGAATGTCATGGCTTGGACTATGAAATGTTGATAATAGAAAGTATGGATCCCGACACTGAGACCCGACGTTTGTCGCCCGTGGCTATTCTTGGAGACGGCTACCTTGACCTTATCAACGGTCCCCAGGATCACGGTTGGTGTAGTGGATACACATGCCGAAAACGTCTCTCCACATTCGCATCAATTGTTGCAAAAGGTATGCCTTGGTACGAAATGTTTCCACATATCTTTCTAAAAAATAATTTCTACATTCATGCTTTACATCACATTGTTGACATTAATGAGTATTGACCCATTAGTTACCACCGATTGATTTTGTTATAAACCATCCTCAAATATATTTATTGATAAAAATGTATCCACAGGAAGGCGTGCATACAATTGTTACCATAGTTGATACAAATATTTGTCACAATAAGGTAGAAAATCAAAATGTTGCCAAATGAAGTTATGAATAAAAATTTGGTAATGGTAGGAAAAGACACAATCTCTTCCAACGATATTTTATATATACTTATGGTTCCCATGGGTAGGTACTGATAGATATTGATACCAATTGTTCCAACGAAATTACACTTATACTAGATCGATCATTATCAAATTTAATAAATAGCTTTCTCTTGTTCCCTTGGTGTGCCTGATTGACTTGGAAACTAGTAAGGGAAACAACATTGCTAATCATCGGCCATCTTGTATTTTTACCACAAAGGCCTTTATCACTTTTTCTTGATTTCGGTTTTGAAAATACGAGTATGTTATCGTTGTATATATCTCAAATTTCAAGTGCAACTTCTTCTGGTTCCAAGTTATGACCTTTCAAGGGTTGACGAGGAGAACAATATGGTTGACTGAAATCCATTTTGAATTAGAGTTTGACATCGCAATTTCTCGAAAATTACTTGATGAAATTGTCACAATTTTCGTTTGTGGGTGCCCATTTGTTCTTCAATCGTGTCCATTTTATTTTAAAAAAACTGATAAGAAAATTCAAAATGGCGACGAGGCGGTCATTTTGGATATGATCAATTAAATTGAAAAGTATTTGATTGATCGCCCTAAAATCTTGTATAGATTTCTAAGAGTTCCTAGTTGTGTGTGTGTGTGTTTTATATATATATATATATATATTTGGTAACAAATACTAACAAGTTACCATTTTTTATTCTTTCTATGACAAAAATGTTTTCCATTTTCCTAAGTAAATACTGTTTATGTTTTCTTCTAATTTTACCATAAATGTTTTCTCTGGTCCTTGATTTTTTAATTTGGGACTGATCTTGAAAAAATATAGTCAATAGATAGGCATATTGCTATGTTACTGAAAGATTTGATCGCATTTGGTTTTTTTTTTATCCGACCTCAAAAACAATGTGACAGATAGGCTGCCATCTTAGCTTCTAGCAATAAAATTCAGTTATCCCTGTTTCTTTTAATGTCCTTGACCGATCTTATTCAAATGCAGATTGCTAGTAGTCTCAGATGTATTCCTTTGGTTTTTTAACTGATCAGAAAAAGCAAGATAATAGACTTTTGATTCTTTTGCGATGAAAAAAATTGTTATTATTATTTCTTAGGATTTTTCCTACTTGATGGATCTTGTTATATGTAGGTTTCCACTGGTCCTTAGTTTTCGTGACCTTTTTACTTTAAGATTGACCAGAAAAACAAAGTGGCTGATAGGTTGCCTTCTTACATTTTGGTTATAAAGGTGAATTACCATTAATTATGTCTTAGCAGTAAGAGATGGAGACTTCTTAATTTCAATTGAGTGCATTGCGCATACTCTGAACCATGGCGCTACTCGGGCGAATTAAAGCATAGCTTGGAGGTTACGGCAAAATCTCTACTATCTGCAATCTTGAAGATTGTGCAAAATACACACAAGAGACAAAAGAAATACAATACCAATTATGACCTAAACTGCATCATACTGGTGGTTTGTCAGAGGTTATCGATTTCTTTTTCGCTTATCTATCTTACCATTTTTCTTTATCGATGTTAACGAGCGTACCAGCAACAGACGTTTAAACAATCGGTGACAGCATTCTCGTCGACCAGTGACAACATCCTCTCTTGACTTAAAGTCACAAATAAGCAATGACAAGTGATCAGAAAATATTAGGTCGTGGCGGAGAGCCTGTTGAAAGCCATATTTCACCTAGTTCAAAAGATGGCACAGTTCATGTTTTCCAAGAAATGGCATACCACCTGAACCACTTTTATGCTTAACATTATTTGGTGGTGGCGGTGGGGTTTTTTTCGGGATGTTATTTTCGTTTCCATGTCATTGATTGAATTTTAAAAGGGCTAAAACGTGATAGAGATGCCCCTACAGCGTGCAATGTCAAATGCAAATGGTTATGAATCAACGTAAGCACGTTTGGTAATAACTCGGAAAAATCAATGGGCAAACAATTCAAGAATTACGGGATGCATTGATTCAAGAGAGGCAAAGGCTTCCATAGAACAAGAGTCGGCGTCTGTCAATAATATGGGACGACCATAAGATTTGTACCTGAACTGTAGGGACTATACCCGATATCGACATTTTGATACCAAAAAAAACTCCTTGGTTAGTAAGCCGCCTAAATCATTTAATATGTTTTGGTGATTTGATGACGTATCTCTTAAAAAGAGACAGTTGAAATAAAAAATTTTCTAGACATCTGGACTGGCTTTTAGAATATGTCTTTTTAAAATGATACAATGCTTCTGGTTTTGTAAATTTCGTTTTCTATCGACTATGTATATTTTCGTAAGATTCATGAAAACATTCGTATATACCTAGTTGCGATGTCTTTGAATATTTTTCTAAAATACAGTGAGCATAACTAGGCCTACTCTAAATCATATGTCATCCCTTACTTATGGCCCTGCGTACAGGTTTACCGTTCTTAATTTTACAAATAGGAATGTGATTTATATTAGGTTTACATTCCTTTTACAGCGATATATAATACAAAACCTTACCCGTCCAGATTTTAACTTTTCTTTTTTGATAACTTTGGATTTTCCTCCTAGTATTCAAAATGTAAGTCCTCAGCATTACTGTGGAGTCCTAGAAGGTCGAATCAGCAGTATGATGCAGTTCACTTCATTGTTGGGCTCTAGTATATCTCACTCTAAATTGTGAAAAGGTGCTATTCACTTGTGTATATTTTACACAACCCAATATTGTAATCACATAAAACATATGTAGAAATCTTATACATTTTTGTTTGATTTCTTAATACAATGCAAATGTGATATGAACACTTAGCAGTTACATACTAAGTGCATTAATAAAATATCTCAATGGCTTAGTGTAACATGTACAAAATATCTCAATGGCTTATTGTAACATGTACAAAATATCTCAATGCCTTAGTGTAACATGTACAAAATATCTCAATGCCTTAGTGTAACATGTACAAAATATCTCAATGCCTTAGTGTAACATGTACAAAATATCTCAATGGCTTAGTGTAACATGTACAAAATATCTCAATGTGTAACATGTACAATATATCTCAATGCCTTAGTGTAACATGTACAAAATATCTCTATGCCTTAGTGTAACATGTACAAAATAACTCAATGGCTTAGTGTAACATGTACAAAATATCTCAATGCCTTAGTGTAACATGTACAAAATATCTCAATGGCTTAGTGTAACATGTACAAAATATCTCAATGGCTTAGTGTAACATGTACAAAATATCTCAATGCCTTAATGTAACATGTACAAAATATCTCAATGGTTTATTGTAACATGTACAAAATATCCCAATGCCTTAGTGTGACATGTACAAAATATCTCAATGGCTTAGTGTAACATCCATTTCAACACCTGATTTCCTCTAGGTGGTCGGCGGTCCTTTTTTTAAATATTTAACCCTAATATGCAAGATTTTTCATGAACCCATCAACATTTAAGTTGAAATGAAATATCAAAAATTAGTGGTCATTCTATGGAAGTCATCACGGAGTTTTCTTATGGAGCCAGGCTCAAGTTTAAGTAGTGAAAAGAATAAACCCTAAATGAATATTTTGTATATGACCACAAACATGCATTGGTTTGTAAACATATATATATATATATTACATACAGATTTAATAGAATTTTATTTTATTCTAAAACTTCTTATCATTTTTATCTTGTCACGCTGGCTGAATATGATACCCTTTTTTCTCTCAATAAAAAAATGAAGACAGTAATCAAATACATATTTGATCTCTTTACAGCTAAATACTACGATGTTTACTTCACAAGCACAAGTCCACAGTCCCTGCGGTTGTTTTTGCTAAATGCGGATGACAGCCATGCTGTAATGCTGGGTATTCATTATTCCAAACCATACCGACGGGATGTGTTCCATAATGGACGTCATATTCTATCGAATGATGGGGAATATGATGAGAAAGGGGATTATAAAATCAAACCAGAGGCAACACCTGGAGAGTTTGTCCCCGACCCAACTTCCAATGCTATATCCGGGACGAATTACATGGATAGAGATGCAAAAAATCTGTATGTATTAGTGAGAGGGAGTCAACCTGTTTTGATTATCACACCGCCGTTAGTTTTTGTCTCTTTTGACTTGCCTGCTATCACCGAAGATGAGTTTTTTGGCGACGGCTTGATCAGTAACTTGGCTTTGTTCCTTGGTATTCCTGCCAACAAAATCAGAATTGTCGATGTAGTAAGAGAAGACAGCTCTAGGAAGAAGCGTGCTTCCACTAGCACAGTGAATATAGAGATATCGGACCCACCTTCAGCCAGTGAGCAATATTTTCTTTACCTTTTTAAATGTGATCATTTCTAGAATATTTTGTACAGATAATGTTAAATACAGATTTTGCATACTTACTCATAATTGAAAATTATCTCTATTTGATACGTCGCTTTCAATTCGGTACTCTAAAAACTTTGAAAACAAATCGACCTCAAAAAGTGAGCATATTCTGAATAAAATACTATACATTGGTACAAAAATTATCACACATTTGCTGACTATAATAGAAGATAAGACGCATCTTATTTAAGATATGTCTGTAGATACCTTAATATATAAATATATCACAGTAAATATCTCCTAATTCTGTTTCAGATGCTCCCTCGATAAATTCAAGTCTCAATGGATCGTTGTCATTTGAAGATAACAATGAAACGTTGTCATTTGAATATTTAAAAAATATTTCAAAGAAGCTGGTGGATGAGGTACAGTTGGGTAATATCAGTAAAGTTCTGAACACAAGTGTTACCAATGTGGCACTGGTACAACCTCTGCCGGACCCCAGTAGTGACGATTGGTCAGTTCAGGCTAATTATTCCGACACATCCAAAGAACCTATGCCACTGATAAGAGTTGATGCTTTCTTTATACATACTCAACCAGAACCGAACATCGAGACGCATCCGTTTCAATCTCAGCCAAAGATACAAGTCCTGGATGAACAGGTAAACAACCATTTTTTCGACCTCTTAATGAAAGCAACAAGTATTGGATAAACAGGTAAATTATTTAACGTGTAATAAGTATGAAATGATTGTTTTCGTCTCATAATGTAAGTTCATATTATTTCATTAGAATGAGCGAAATAGTGACGAAACACTTATATAACCAAGAGTGAACAAGACAACTCATTAAGTCATTTGTTTTTTTTTTTAGTTATTGTTCATTTAATATTGTTTCAGATGAGGTGAATTTATACATGTCAACGAAATAATATGATCAGAACAAGACATTTGTATCTTCATCGCAATCTTAACCGGAAATTTAGTTAGAACATTCATGCTATGGAAAATGTGATTGACAAACGAATTATGCATACCTCTAAAACTACGTTGAGACGATTATCTTCTTTATTCGTTCCTGAAAAAAAGGGAATAATGTTGTAAGCATATGTCGTAATAATTCTATCAAGAGGTACTCTTATATAATTTGTACAACAGTCAATAACACATTCCAATACTTAATAACATATTAAATGAAGCAGAAACACTTATTAATTTCTTTTCTATCATCCGAGTAAGTGATTAAATTATCGCATAGAAGCGCAATCTAATATACAAGGTATATTACGCTTATCTGATGGTTCATTTATAATAAGGATCATATTCATATTGGTTCTATATTCTAGAGATCGAACGCCTTATTTTGATGCCAATGTTGTATGTTGTGTTTCAAAATAATGACCAAACCAGTCAACTTATCTACCGCTGTCGAACACGATGTCTCTATGATTTGTTTTTGACCCTATTAAACATCTGAGTCAAGGTATATTAATAGTTTCTATGAAAGGGTAGGTTAATTACTGAAAGAGTCGAGGGGCGCCATCTGAGTCATATTTAGGGGCCAGATGTTACCATCAAATAGGAGGCGATAAGGATAAAACAGCAAATGTTCGTAGGACTGCCTATAGTCAGTTAGTGTTAATTAGACACAGGTGGGTCATGCAAACCTGAATAATGACTCTACACTGTCTTTCATTCGTCAAAGAATGGACGATTGTCCATATCCAGTCATTTGCATTCATTTCGTGGTCACGGAAAGCTCGCAGATAGTTTTGATCGCTTTTGGTGTCAAAAATAAACACCTTCTCGATATACATACATATCAAACTAGTGAATTTCTCTCTCAAGCTTCTACTACACATCAAAATATCTCATACTGCCATCACATCATTACATTTATCTGTAGCTGATACTTTTGTCATCTAGTGAATTAAAATGTTTCATTGCATTCAGCTAATATCTGTTTGTGTTTTGATATGTTTAGAAGAATGTTATATTTCTTACCTGGATTGTCAAATTGTTTGTGCGTCGTATTGTCTTATTATCCGTGTACTTTTACAGGACTCTCAATGTAAATATTTCTTTTGTTTCTTTCTTAGTCTAGTTTTATTTTTCTGAATTTGACTTTGAAATGAGATTCTGTTTACATGTTAGTATATATACGAGCGTTGCAGTTTATGTGTTTTCGGTTGTTGTGTGATCAAGGGAAACTGAAACAATATTTCCAAGATATGTAGTATACTGGATTCAAAATTAGCGTTATTTCATTACAGGGTAGTGCTATAACACAACTCGGAATCGATGATCAAACATGGAGCGTGACAGCCTATCTCCGAGAGTACACCACTAAATCTGCGCCTAAAGGGGAACTATCTTATAACTCCAACGCTCAACTACAAGGCACAACCACTGTCTTTTTTGTTGATGGATGGGCTAATTTCACAGATCTGGTTATATCTCAGTCAGGAACCAATTTTGCAATCGACTTTAATCTGACCACCCCTGTTACTGATCGACAATTGCATGTGGCTTCGCAGATGCTGACAGTCCTTTCCCGACATATCAAGCCGGTAGTATCGATTCTATCCTCATCTATTGTTGAAAACACCACAACAGAAATTAGAGTAGAATTGTTTGATAATTCAACTGATATGCTGATCACCGATGTATTTTGGAGAGTAAGTAAAGTTGGAAATACGTATTCTTTAGAAATATTATTGATACATGGATGACCTGGGGTCGGAGGTGGGGGAATAATTTCTACATTGTGACCAAAATACCATGATAACATCATTTCCATTTTCCGGATCCAATATGTTTTCAAACGTCGATTCTATTCTGAAGTCTTGTCATTATGTTAACATAGCATTCAATGTAATATCTGTCATCTTCATGGGGAATTTATTTTCATTGATTTCATTATTTCTCATAAGCCTCGAAATTATGTATTCACGAACTGTATATTTAAGTATAAAAACACAATTTATTTGGGTTTATTTATCGTCGAAATCAGGTGTTCACGAAATAGAAACTTATTGAAAAAAAAATCCGCGAAAAGTAAACCCAATGAAAATATGTTTGTACATGATAACAAATAAGACATCATATGAAAAGTAACACAATAGCAATGTCCAATTTCATTATCTTTTCAATTTTAAGGGTCATTCGTGGACAGCAACAGTTGAACTTGACAATAAAGCGGATCCATTAGGATCAATGGATGGAACTACTCAAGTGATGTTCGATCAAGTAAACAGCAGGGCTCTTTTTGAACTGAATTTTACCAGTTACGGAGTTTATTTTCTCAATTTCAATATCACCTCTTCCCCAGAAGAGTACACATTTAATGAACAGGTTTCTGTTACTGTCAACTCTTCCGTACCAGCTGACACGTCATCTAGTACAGTGATGGAAGCAAAGTTTGATGTTAATTATAATGACGTCATTAAAGATGGAGTGACTGCAGAACTCTTTGGAACCGCTGTTATTAACAAATATGCGAGGGAAAACCCTGGAATACGCTGCGAACTAGGAAGCGTCAAAAACGGTATGTATATCTATGTGGTTAATATAAGGATCGGTTGATCTAGTCTAGGCACCATCCGGTTCCATATGCAAGCCTATCGGCTACAAAGGTAGCTCAATATGTAGAGCGTGACAATACAGTACGGTCCCGGATGAAGTTCCTAATTGGGTTTATTGGTGATCTCTCTAGGCATGGCGGTACGTGTTCTTAGAAAGATGATAAACAGACCGAATTTGCCAGGCGTTGTCTTTGTTTAGGCACTTAACCAAAAAATCATATAGATGAAATGCAACCGGTCTTAGGGAAAAAACTACCAGCTACTGTAAGGAGATATTGATTTTCAAAAGAACAGTGGCAAGAACTCCAGAAAGCATAAGAACTGTATGTGAATGTATTAGTTTAGTTGAAACATTTTATTTGAAAAAATCAAAAGGAATTGAACACAAGTCATTGCAACTTAGAGACGTCCTTTTCCATCAGCAATTAACCGGTGGAATCATTTACAATATTGACAAGGTATATGAAGTTAAACAAATATGTGTAAGTTATCGTTATAAAGACGGTGTCAGAATTTGTATGAAAATATACTATCTAGATGGTGTCAAAAACGGCATTTGAGATTGTATTATCTTGTAAATTTAAAATATGGTCGGTATCAAAATATTCTAGACGGTATCGAAACGGCATCTGAATTCATTTTCTAGATGATGGCGATAGTCCTATACATTATTTTTTTCCATTCTGAATCTGTTGGTTTTACATTGACAGGGAGTATCATTGTCACCTTTACCGTGACCGGTAGCTCCTCCGCCGTAAACTCTACACTAGAGTCAGCATGTGCCAATACTACAAGCATTGTTTTCAATGGAGCGACTATACCCTTGGCAGGAACTCCTACGTTCGATGGAAGCTCCTGTAGCGCTCTTCTGGCTGTAAGTAAAAACCCATCTTGCTTATATTAAAAAAAAACCCGACGTAGTTAAAACATGTGATATAAGACATTTTATCTAATTCGTTGTTGTTATAAATTCGTGTGCAACTGATATTTATAAGTCAACGAATGTTTATTTGTCGAATGTTTAAAATATTTAAAAAGGTAAGATTACATCACAAAACAAGAAATCTGCTTGAATTTAAATCGCTAATTCCGTTACATATTGAAGTGAAATAACAATTCCTGTTGAATGAAAGTTTTATATAAAACCACAAAAATCCAAGCTTTTGCAGAAAACATTTGCTGCAATAGCGATGAAATGAATTCACTTTCAATTTCTTTATGAATTTTTTTTCATAAACTCTTTATTTCGTAGGAGCAATATCTGTCTTTTTGTTCCAGACAACAACACAATCGACAACAACATCCACAACTCCAACTACCACCACAACTCCAACTACAACTACCACAACAACTCCAACTACAACCACAACTCCAACTACTACTACCACAACAACTCCAACTACAACCACAACTCCAACTACAACTACCACAACAACTCCAACTACAACTCCAACTACAACTTCCACCACTGCTCCAACTACAACTACCACAACAACTCCAACTACAACTCCAACTACAACTTCCACCACTGCTCCAACGACAACTACCACCACAACTCCAATTACAACCACCACTCCAACTACCGCTCAAACTTCTACAACGACGTCCACAGCTACAACAGCCTCAACATCAGCATCATCGCCGGTAACCGTGACTGATGAAACAATGGAATCAAGAGAGGGAATGTCGCCAGGGATCTTAGCTGTCATCGTATCAGCTGTACTTGTGATTCCTTTGGCGGCGATAATAGTTCTGTTGTTCAAATGTAACAAAGCTCGAGCAGGGAGGACAGGTAGGAAATCGACTATACTTTCAATCAATGCTATCATATATTTTAATTTTCTTCTTAACCTTCATCGGATATATACTGGACTAATTCAATTTGGTTTTGTATTGGTTAACCCCTTTTTCACAGCTTTAATTCGGACTTTTTCATTGCTTAACAGCCTATAAACAACTATGGTCTGGGTTTGTAATGTTTAACGTCCTATAAATAGGTATATGGTTTGTGTTTGTATTGTTTAACGTCCTATTAACAGCCACAGTTTAGATTTGTATTGTTTAACGTCCTATTAACAGCCACAGTTTAGATTTGTATTGTTTAACGTCCTATTAACAACCACAGTTTAGATTTGTATTGTTTAACGTCCTATTAACAGCCACAGTTTAGATTTGTATTGTTTAACGTCCTATTAACAGCCACATTTTAGAATTGTATTGTTTAACGTCCTATTAACAGCCACAGTTTAGATTTGTATTGTTTAACGTCCTATAACAGCCACAGTTTAGATTTGTATTGTTTAACGTCCTATTAACAGCCACAGTTTAGAATTGTATTGTTTAACGTCCTATTAACAGCCATGGTTTACATTTGCATTGCTTAACGTCCTGTTTACAGCCACAGTTTAGATTTGTATTGTTTAACGTCTTTTTAACGGCCATGGTTTACATTTGCATTGCTTAACTTCGTATTTACGGTCATTGTTGTGGGTCTGTTTTGCTTTGAGCATCATAAAAGCAACTATAGTCGTTCACGGACAGTCTCAGTATGTATTCAAGAGGAGCAGAATTGTTGACTTCACATGTTTAAATACGCTGAAGTGGTCGTAAAATTAAATTTCGGTGCTAGCGATTATGCAAAAAGATTGAGCATGGAAAGTGAATGCAATAACATGCATGAAAGGTGTTTTTAACTTTACTTTCAAACTTAATTAAAACTGTTGGTAAAATGTAAAACAATGATCAATAAGCAAGATGAACATTACCATGTGTCAGGGAAGAGTTATCATAAAATTACCATAGAATTAAATATATACAGAGAAACAATATCTTATCGTGTTGACACAGAAATTCCTTTGAAATTATTCTCAATTTTTCTTAAAGGTCCTGAAGGTTCTTCTTTGTATTTCATAGAAATTTAGTTGCAGAAGACACTTAAACTAGTCCTTTCATTGTTAATATTTCAAACGTAAAATTAACTTCCTTCCACCAGAGCTCCATCTTATTGTTCCAGTGATTAGAAAAGTAGTTGTCAAACGCGAATTTCGCCTTTTCATTGTTTCCACTTATATTCAAAGTGTGGTGATGTCAGCTGTAATTATCAGGCTATATCTACAAAACAGTAAATATATAACTTAGGTTCGTGGCATCATCCTACTGAAGGTTATTGAAATACATTTCAACCAGGTGAAATTGTCTTAAACAAAAACTCACTGTATAGATGCATAGAGTTATAAATATACATGTTAATAAGAACATTAAGAATAGAAAGCTAAATATTTTCTTCTGCTGTAGGACACGCGGGGTCCAAAAATCACCGGAGGAGTGTTAATAACATATACACAGATAAATGGGGTAATTTGAAGGAGGACACTTACACCTATATATCCGGACCGCCCACTGAGAAAGCACAGAGTACGATCCATTCTTCAAGGAGTAGTACTCCTACAATCTATGTTCAGCGTTCTCCAATGCTGGACACCCGCCGAATCTACACTGAACCGATGGCAGGGTCAGTTACATCCTATCAACAGCCAGACTCCCGAAAACCCGTCGTTCTTGGTGTCTCTAATGCTGGGTATCAATCGGATTTCGATGGTCGCAAAAATCTTCAAACCCCATCATCAAGAAGTGGTAGGGATTCGCCAGCCTATTACAAGGGGAACGGCAAGTGGCATTAAAAAGAAGTATTCCCCTGACCATATTATTTTGTAAATCATTGCTTTTTGTTTGTGTATACAATAGCATAGTCTTGATCAAAATTATTCAATATTATAAAAGAAGTTCAATATCACGTAACATTTGAGAATATTCACATTGATCAAATAAAGATTAACATGTTTTAAACTGTTTAAACGACATTTCTTAGACTAATGTAATATTTTCTAGAACATTTATCACACATATCTGATTTTGATAACACTTGCTATGACAGATGTGTTTTTATTCCAACTGAAATAAAGCTAATTCTATCTTATAAATGATTCGAGATAAATAACAAACATTTCAAATCGTTGGTCTATTAGTAAACCAAAATCAAAATGTTCTTCGTGTTTTTACCATGAACTTACATTCTTGTCACTGTTATTACATTCATTATTGTCTATATATATATATATATATGCATAGACAATGTTCGCTCGTAAGTCAAATTTAACACTATATACCATAATTATGATAACAATATCTTAGATCCATATGGAGTGGGAAAATGGTTTGATTTCACATCATACATATATTAAATGTAAACTCACCATTAAAACGTTAGATAAGTTGGCTCATGTCATTTAAATGTTTATAGATATAAAAATTAACACAGTGTCGTCAAACTTCTAACGGATTATTGCCTATAAAAGTTGTGAAGTGTCAAAAGTGATTTATCATCTCCTAATTTGTAATTTATATGTAATGTTGACAACGCATGCAGCGTTCAGTACCAACTAAACTGATTGTAACAAATGGGAACCTGATGTTGCATGTATAAAAAAATCATGAAAATGATAAAATATTCCCATATGTTTTTTGTATCAGTGTTCGTACATTTAAGTTCTTTTTTCTTTCAATTGATAAAGGATAATGTTTAAAGTTAGCACTGGACAGATCAATTTAATTACAAACAAATAAGATAACTTTTTAACTGGATAGATTATAATGTCCTTTTCCACCGTGACTATTTAATACACCTTGTCTAACTTAATTTTGAAGTGGCTATGATCACATGTTAGATGCCTAGAGATTTGCGACATGCATAAATTTAATATACAGTCGAACCTCGTCAGAACTGAAGTTCGAAGTCGGCGAGACGTTTGAAAAAGTTCTAGTTATCAGAGTATTTGGTTTCTTTCGATTAATGGGGTCATCTAGTTATACCAGTTCGAAATATGGAGGTTCGACTGTATTCGATTCATCTTGGGGATATTATTAACAGATTATGATTATGTTATCCTAGATGTGGTTTACTTATCGAGGGTTTTTAATCAAATAATCAGTAGCTTGTAGTTGTTGTTGTTATAAATAGAAAATAATGTATCTTGTATTGTTTTAGTTGTAACCTTTAAATATACGGTACCCAAACAAAGCCAGAAAAATTGATCCTATTATTCATTTCGTACTTAAATAACCAAGAGTACTATGCTTTATTTATCTGTCACCCCTGGATTGCATTCATAATGACAATAAATACACTCTGACAGACGTTCAGTAATTATATTTATATTTCGGAAATTGTTTAAAACGTTAGTATGTCTTTTGTAATTAAAGATTGTTTTCCTCGCTGAATGTTAACATTATAGTAAAGGTTTTTATTCATAATCAGCTAAGCGAGTAACGTAAAGCAATAATGCATGTTATCTGAGGTGCAAATTGTTAACGTAACGTCGGTCATCATGGCGCCAAAATGACGTCATACTTTTTTTACTATGATCTGGGCAGCAACGACTCGCCATTGAATACAATCCAGAACAACAGAGTTAATGGGAGGCCGTCGTTCAAAATGCAAAAAATATAATGAAGTTTCAACGCTTCAGCGACATATTGTAATACAATCATGCATGTGGGAAATATATATATATATAATCATTGTCTGTTGTTTGTCTTCTTTTCGCTTGTTGTCCCGTACTAAAGAATTTCGCGGAATTCTGTGGAAGGTTGTTTTTGCAGATAGGAAGCATACTAGAACGTTTGAAATATGCACTCAAATCAGTTCTAATATATATACAAACAAATGTACAAGAAATACTTTACAGTGTCTTCGGCATTTATGAAGGGGAAGACATATTTTCTACGGACATAACTCATCTTTCCCAAAGTACTCAATGGGGTGGATTTTTACCAATTTTGGTCATAAGCATCCTTGAGCGAAGGTGAACAAAAAATATTCGATGGTCGTTAGCTTCCTGTTGGTTCAAATTTTGTATATTTTGTTCTCATTGGAGAACATGACATCACTTAATTGGATTGACTAAGATTAACATAGTGAGTGTCGTCGATGAAGTAGAAGACGCTTTCACTTTAGGAAACCTGGTCTTATTATACATTTATTTCTTCCGCAGTCTCCGTGTAAATCTTTCTTTTGATACTATTTTTCCATAGTATTATTGAATTTGAGTTTAGATTATGATTATGTAAACATTTGGTATCATCTTGTGTTTTTATTCAACTGACCGATGGCATATAAATTAAACGAGCTGAGGGTAATGGCAATATTATGTATTAACTGTAAAATCATTTATTGTCCTGGATTTAAATTAAAATCTCATGATTTCGTAGATAAATTTAGCTCTATAAAGCTACTGATATTAATTCTATTACTTTGGAGACATATAAGTTCGTGGAATGAGAGTACACACGAAATAAATAAAAATAAGTTCTTAATGACCATATATGATTTTACAGTATATTAAAATGCACATCATTCCTTTTGGAATTAAACGAGTAGCACAACGAAAAGTCTTATATGCATATATTAAATTTTAATTTTAAATTTTCAAGTTGCCATCAATTTCACCCAATAATTTCTTCTGGTTCCCCTGACCTAATAAAATGAAAAAGAAAAACATATGAAATGAGGATTTACTACATGATTCCAGAAATCTAGTAGTACTTATGTAACATCCTACTAGGGGCAAGAAATATTAGACAGAAAGGGAACACCATTGGAAGCATTCTCCTCGTTTACGGAAACATTACAATAGGGATTGGACATCAGACAGATACTATTTCGGTCCTGTCCCACACATAACATCATACTGGCACAAGACGAAATCAATTAACATAAAATATAATTATTATATAATGATAATAATGCATTAAAAACATAACAGACGCAACTTCTATCTATCTGAATTTAATTTTGATTAATTATAATAGCTGAACTCAAGAACTTTTTGGTTTAAATATGTTAAATTTAAAACAAGTTATATGGAAAATTATATATATAATATTTATCATATATTTATATATTTGTAAGTATTTGTTTAACTTACATTTTCGTCATCTTATAAGGTTTAGAGCTAAAGTTCATATTGTATATATTTCCATTTTTTTATATTTTATTCATATATCGAAACGAAAATACAGCAATTGGTTTCTGTGTCGAAAAATTATCCTGATGAATGAGCAGTGACATTTGCATGACATTCCCCGGTAAAGCTACAGCCAAACGGAACTCACAAAAGTTTCGGAATTATTTGATATACAAAACATTTGCGATAATGTAACTCACTCAGTTTCACATATGAATGAGTAATCAGATGTACATATGACATCATTTAGTCCTCCTTGTGAACCCTGCAGCGTCAAACAGTCTCCGTTGTGACCGTCATCGTTGGGGTTGCCAGGTAACCAGTGACCTGGATTTATTTTATGCTTTGTTGATGACCATTCCCAAACACCTTCAACAAACATGTCACTTCCTCCCAGATAGAATTGGTCGTGGAAAGCTGTAGGACACAAAAGAAGTTATGTAATCATATGTTAAATATTATGCACATAACGGTTAACGCTGAGAGCCTCCCACAAACACATGAACTAACATTGCATGCATAAGGTACCTTATATAATGAAAAAAAAACTATTATGTTACATCAAGTATCATAAAACCAAATCTTAATCATTTTATAGGAATTATATAAATTTTATAAAAGTTATTTATCTTACTTACGACTATGATGAGAAATTGGAAGACAGATATAAAAAGCAGTAGTAGTTGATAATGATGAACGTTGACAAATCATGATATGACGACTCAAGTAACAAGATGCCTCTGGGTCTTCCTTGCTCACCTTAACTCTAATGATGGTTTTACATTTACATTTCATATTATTAACATCATAACTGGAGATAATTAATATCAGTGGGGAAAATATTCAAAACTGTACAGCTTTTGATACCAAATGTAAACATTATTCATCTTTGCCTGAGTGATTTATTTTCCATATGGAAAAATCTACTAAAGTCCAATAGCATTCAAACTCATTTTGTTCACATTATATGTCAGACTTCATGGAAGGAACCTTTCGGTCATATAAACTGTAATATAATATGATATATCATCATATCATATAACTTGATTCAATATGATATGATACAATTGTGTCAGGATTTATTCCTTGAAACTGTTAAGTATGACTATTGCTTTCTTCGAGATTACTTACCATGTTCAGACTTCGCATGTCCTATAAGAAACGTAAGCGTAATCGCCTCTTCTGGCTCTGCGAGTTTTGCATTGAAGCTCCGACATATAGCCTAGGCAAAGGAGTAACAACAAAAAAGATATATGTATATATAGGTGTTTATATGTTAGTAATAAGATCTCGTTGAAAATGTTTAGCTTCAGGGTTTAATGTTTTACTTTTTACATTGTTTTATATAAATAATGAGGACAGAGGTAATTAATTTTTGTTCAACTAAATGACTTCCAGATGATTAAGTAAGGGGAAGTATTTTATCTGTAGAAGCTTATTTAAATTATATTTCTTCATCTTAATGAAGGAACCTTCATTAAATAAAAAAGTAAGTCAGTGCATAACAGCGATTCATTGAAACATGTAAACATTCAACAGCGTTTTGTTCTTGTCTTGTTTTGATAATTAAGCTTAGGCATTGACTCCTTTTCAAAGTCAAGGGGTCAAGTTGGTTTTTTTATCTACAACAAATAACCCCACCCTCGCCAAAGCAACACATAAAAACATGTGTCCGGGAATAAGGTAGATAAGTTCATTTATTTTAATAGCAGATTAGTAATTCAATCTCGGAGCACATGCTTTCGTTTCGCTTTCGATTTCCAAGGAATGCGTGTATTTGCCACCTTTTTGGGGAATATGGACCTAATTGTTTGCATTAGTTTAGAATACTTTCACCATTCTGGCCAATTTCGATTTAAACCAGCATTTAAACAGTCAAAATCCAAACTCAAATGCGAAAAAAAAATCGTTGAAAAATAGCATGTGGTGGCTAAAGCGTATGACCATTCAGGCCAGGTGACATAAAAAATAATTTCAATAATGAAACTTATAAGCTTGACTTTCATCTGACACTTACATTAGCGTCCGCCCAGGTTCCAGGAAACTGACTGAAGAAGAAACAGTTAATTGGTCCCTGTACCCATCCAAGCGGACAGCCTGTAAAACCATTATTCATACAAGCCGCCGTTCCAAATGAATATGAACACGTTTATCAGATGAATTAATGCAATGCATTATTGATATAATTATCAAACCATTCATGCCTTTTCTGCGTTTTCTCACTCCTGATAACAGATAACTTTGTTTAATATCTAGGTTAAAACACACCATCATCAGCGTGATCACAAACACATTTTCGCTCGTTACACATTTAGTGTGATGACAGCATTTCCGCCTGTAGTCAAGACGTTTTTCCTCTTAGTATCCACATTAAATTTCTAATCAATAACCGTGTAAAATCATCTCTTTTTCATGGGGGTTCTATTTTCATTGATTTCTTGAGTAAGCTAAATCTGCGAATTATATGTCTGCGAAAACATATTTTTCAGAATCGTGAAATATTAGTCCAACAAAAATATATGATTTTACAGAAGCTACTTCGATACATACGTAATCTGAAAAAAAAAATTTTAATACTTTTAATACTGATATTATTTGTAATTGCTTGATGTGGACGGGCACCAAGGGTGCATAATTCAGTATATGTAGTTTTTCAACTGAGAGGACAATTACCATCAGCAGGATAGATTTAACAAAATAGTACAGGGTGTATACTGAACATCGGAAAATAGTCAATACCTGTAAACATGAGGAAACATGTTCAGTTATAAAAAAATAAATCGATATATAACATTTAGATTTAAAGAAAAAATAACGATTTTAGTATTATTTGTCAGTACATCATGGACATGCATTAAACATCAAATAAAACATAGTGTCGATACGAAATAGTTTACTATCATTGTTGACGTACATACCTTGTGCCTTGACTACCAACAAGAGTAACAGTGTAGCATGGATCCAACCAGACATTGTCTTTGTCTAGTATACACGACTTTACATAGGTGTGCCCCTTATCGAAATTTATCAGGGCTGTTTCACCAGGTCAGATAGCACAGTGCCTATCTTTGGACTGTATTTTAGCATTTTTTTAATGCACGTTATCTGTCCTACTCAGTAAGCATTCTTTGTATTACAAACACTTGTCTACCTTGATAGGGACGTCAATGGTTTCAAACATTTTTACTGATTGTATAAAGATGTCAAATCATATTGTCAATGGGCACTCCGAAATGTCAATTTGATGTTGATGCATAAAATACTAGCTTATTTTAATTTCACGTCATAAAAATCAACCTAAGTAAATAGCTGGCGTTATGTGATGACCACATCCGTCTTATCCACCAGAACTGGAAATCAAGGACACGGCAGACACTTCCTCACCAGCCGCTTACATTTATATTTTCTTACAACGATCTCAATAAGCTGTATAAAATAACCTGACGATTACAATTTCCCTGTGGTATATTTTCCATTCCTGGATAGCAAGATACTGGCATTTTAAACAATTGGTTATTGCTTGTAGCAGCTGATTCAATATTAAAGGTCCTCTTCCAATTACCACGAAGTTCTTCAACTGACAGGAAACCTCGCACCACTGGGTTTCGAAAGAGCTCAATGAGAAATTTCTTTGTGCTATAAGTAGCTAGAAATATTTGATGCTGATAAGTTAGCTGGTTGTTACTGTTGTCGTATACCGGGTTCTCTTTTGTGGACGTGGCGTTACTTCCTTGGATTGACCAATATTTATAAGTCTATGAAACTTAAGAGACATACTCATCCGGATCACTTGGCCCTGTTCTCTATACTGTTTTAAGGAGTCTCGGTGTAAATCTTTTGGTCAAATTTTTGCTTTTGTTTTATTGGATTTGAGATTGGATAATAGTATGTTGACCAGACAGTATTCTCCTGTTTTTGTTTTTTAGGAATTTAACGTCCTTGCAAAACACGGGGTCATATTAAGACGGGGTGTTCCAGTGTAGCCAGCATATCCAATTAGATCACTTCAATGTCCTCTTAGTAATTGACATGGAAGAAACATCACAGCTGATTTTTTTCATTTCGTATCGCATCCTGGAATTCTACAGGACAGAATGAAACTAATCAATTATGTGGTATTTGATATTTTTTTCTAAATCCAAGGTGTATTTACATTAGTGTATCTTAATATATATATCCTCATCGTGTCAAGCTAAAGCATATATTTTTTTTATTTTGAGATAGAGAACAAAACATTATATTAACTATTGCATGACATGGCTTCGATATAACCTTACCAACGTCAGATGTGTATTACCAGCCCATAAATTGCCAAGAGCGTAAGAATGTAAGCAAATTGAGGTTGTCTTACCTTTTGTGATATGATGAATATTGAAAACGGTGATTATTTGAGTACCAATGAATGTCACTTGGATAAATGCCAATTCATTTTGCCCTTACCCTGTTGACATGCATATGCCTATGAATAGCAGCTGAAAACATTTCAATGCTTCAGTAATTAGGAAAGGTGCCCGTTTAAGTTCAACTGTAGGAAATGCACGACTTGTAAACCTTAGAAGAATCTAGTTAAGGGGATGTACACCATTTAAAAACTTTGCATCAAATACCTATCGATAGAAACTAAATTTTTAAATATCGATACATTTCTACATAAATATTTCTAATATATAATAACGCTAATACAAATTAGCGCGTTTATGTCGTTTTATTGTCGACAGAAATATCATCATCTTATCAGCCTATGACTTGTGTGCCCTCCTCTTCTGACCTGTAAAAGATAATACAGTTATAAAATTTCGTTCACAAAAACATATCACAGTTCGAATTTTCTTATTGATACATTACAAACAATCAAACCGCAGTACACCAATACACGAAAAGACAATACTTGAAATTATTATACACAATTTCAAACCCCGAAATTTACGTGTTTGATACACATTAGTTTGCTTGTTTGTTCCATTCTTTATATTTGAGAGCGTGACATTACTTACTTGGGTTGACGATTTACTTGGCGGGTGTCATTGATGAAACAGAAGACACTTTCTCTGATGGAACACCTGGTCTTATTTATTCTCCTTGAACTTGTTCAGGAGTCCCCATGTAAATATTTCTTTTGTTTACATTTACTCTGGTGTCATTGACTTATGGGTGATCATTCTGTTAAAATGTGTATATTTTCCTGTTTACTTATCTCAGCAAGTAACTGATCTTTCATAACTTTCAAGATTAAAATCTGAACAAGATTTTTAAAATGAAGGTTGTTATGTATTTACATACAAGTATAATGAAGATCATTAGAACTAGCATCTTTATAGTGTATATATACATCAGGCATTTATCCATGCAAATCTCCAGGTCTCATTACATTATCTTGTCTTGTTTCGTTTCGTTTTAATTGCCTGTGAAAAATCATAATAACCGCTGGACAACCATACCAGTTAATTCAGCTGTTTGTACCTTTACCAATTGGATGAATCGGTGAATCAGAATAAGACAAACAAATTTCTAGGTACTATTACGGCTATTCGTGTCATTTTCTCACTGGTGTATAAATATCCTAAAGTAAGATGTTGTGAGTAGATATCCTATGACTCTTTTGATTGCATATTTACAAAACGGAAAATAACTTTTTCTTACTCGAGTTGACAAATGAACGAATAGGTTGATGTGCAGGGAACATCGTTGAGCACTCCCCCGACGAAAGTGAGACAATCCTCATTATGGCCGGAATCACTTGGACCACCAGGTGACCAATGGTTTTTGTAAATCATTGTTTTGGTAGATGACCACAACCATATTCCCTCTACAAACATGTCACTTCCACCGAGGAAAAACTGTCCGTGGTTTGCTTATCATTTAAGAAAATATGATTGATACACGTTAGTTATTACGTATTATTATCAATACAGAATGTGGTATGCTGGCTTGATACACAGTGCATAAAACTATGAAACCATTAAACAGACATGCTGTTAAATCATATAATTTCCATTAAAAGATTGTATAAAAGACACACAAGTAAATGACAACTTGAATACAAATTTAGAATTAAAGACAGTAGAGCAAACAATGAATTAAATTATATCATACAGGTCTCATCATTGAAAGTAAGGGCCTGAATTGCGAAAGATAGAAGGTGAGTGAAGAAAATCCAAAGCGATCTAAAGAAAAAAATGTAGATGAGAAGTGCTCTAGCCCTTAATTCAACACAATTTTCATATACCTTACAATTTTAAAACCACGTGCATGTGCATGTTCTGCGTCAAGTCACTAGATGAATGAATTAAAACGTGACATCAAAGTTACGTTTTTATTGATAAAACTGACAATTAACACAATTACATGAAGCAAAGAAAGAGTGATTGTTTTTATATCAGAAAGTAGAAAAAGTGTTAACAATTCCGGTCTTCCATTTCACAAACTTTAAAATTTCGTCGGGCGTCATCCACAGAATCTACCAGGCATTCAACAATTAAGGAAAATTGGACTTCTTAAAAGTCTGTCAAAGAGACAAGTTGACGCCAGACAAATGTACGACAAGCGAACTACTGACGGACGACGGTTGCTGCACTGCGAAGGGATAAGTAAGCTTATTGCATTCGGATACGAACTTACCACTAACATTTTTCGATGCCTTAGAAAGGAACTGGAAAGAATCTTCCTCTATTGGTTCTGCAAGTTTTCCAAGAAATCCTTGACAAACACTCTGGCAAAATATTAAAATAAATTTCATTAAAATACTTCTACCTTGGCTATTATTTTTACAGAAAAACAAATCACTGAAGAGAGTTGTTCATCAGGGTTTCAACTACGTTATTTCAATGTTTTAAGAAAATTATTCCAAGTTTAATCATTGATTTTTACAGAAGAGTATTATCTTCTTAATGTCCTCTTTCTATTTAAACACTGTGCTAGATGTATTTAAAAGAAGACGTAACCGTCAGGTGAGTTCATTATTAGGTTGTATAATAATTGGTGTGTTTATTGTTGTAAAAGCATAATGAAATACCATCTTAGGACTAGACAAAGACATTTGATTACGTGCGAAGTAGTTTTCAATGAAAATAAATAAACAGAATTACAATCTCTCCTTGCTGATCTTAATGCTTCAGATCACCTAATTGCTTACAATTGAAAGAAATATTTTCTATTTACTTCCAAACCAAACTTAATTTACAATTATCTACATAAGCCGTAGCTAATATTTGAAAATATTTTTACATCGTACTTGATCATATTTTTCAGCGACATATTTGCTACTATACGCATACCTACATTTGCATCTGCCCAGGTTCCACCAAAGTGGCTGAGAAAGTAACAATTTCTCGGCCCCTGTATCCAACCGGGAGGACACGCTGAATAAGGAGAAATAAATTTAATACAACATCTTCGACATCGTTTTTTATTGCCGGGATGTAAGTATCAAGACGCTTAGCATCATGGTTAGAAGTATAATTGATCAAATGTTATCGTTGTTAAAGTTATTCATAAGACATATTAACATATGTTTGCCTCTAATGACAATTCGGTGGCAAAATATGAACTAAATGTATACAGAGACACTTAAACAAGCACAAGAATAATACATCCAGGAGTTTAATTCATCATTTCGCTCTACTATGTCTAAATTATACAGGTGATTTTCACTTGTTTGAATTTTGTGTCTTTTTGTGCTTGATAGGAGACACCGGCCATGTCAATTTTCATCATTCCAAGAACCAAAGAACGGAACCAAGAGCCAAACAAGTCTATCTCCATATTTATATAGGACAAGGATTTTATCTTATGGGAATACTTGTCAAAAATCTCATCAACCTACATCTTTCGAAATCTCTGTTTTATTTCAGTTTTCGACATCTAGCGAGAAAAAACATGATATTTTGCTCAAATCTTTGGATATCGAATCAACTGCGACATAGGTTGGGGGAACATAGTTATTGCTATTTGGAAAACCCATAGTAATGAAATGAAAAAATAACACGTATTATAGAGCGTGTCTGAAAACAGGAGGTAAATATACATATAGTAAGAACAACTTAGTATAGGTTTGTTTGATTTCTATAAAAATATCTATGAATAATTCTTCTATATATTCCAAATTTAATTAATCAGGACTTTGCTGTTATCATATCAGTTAAAAAACATACCTTTAGTTAGGGCAATACACCAACATATCAGCAACGTTGATTTAGTTAATCCGATTAAACGATACATTCTTCTGGTGTTATCAGTGCATGCTTTCCCTGTAGAGTATGATCGATTCAAAGGCTGTTATCTGCTGATAAGACCTTATCTTCTACTAGCTATGTCGTTGTGTAGAATCCATTGGGGCAAAACCTAAAAATCTCTATGATAGTTTTTCTTTAGGGATAAATCCATGTTGTAATCCGATTTTGTTTGGCAGTCTGCATTTTTCAAATTTTAATTATTCAACAATATGACGACAAATACAAATGTATTTACATTTGTTAATTGCATATGTATAACCATTTGGTCTGTGTTTCTATCAATAACCAGGGTCATTTAATGATGGCTTCCCAATGTATGATATAAAATGTGACTGATTGGGTTGTGAAATATGAAGGACAAGATAACTGCAAAAATAGAGAATATTCTATTTATCAAGATAAGTTGAAATGCGTTTAATATGACAAGCACATCGCGCTGCAATAGATTAGTATATCTTGTCAATTAAACATAATTAATAGGTCTGCGTATTCCTCTATGTCAAATTCATTAGTATACAACAATTGTATGACAAAAACACAAAATGAGCGTTTCGAAACAGCTTAATCACAAGTGCAAGCAAGGTCATAGTATTATTTCTGAGTCATTTATCATTTGTATGATCAGTCTGAGGTTTGTGGTCGTTGAAGTAAGCGGAGCATCCTCGACATGAACAAAAGAGCGTTCAAATCATGTTTAAACAGATATGTATAGCTGTGTCTGGCGTGGCACGTCAGCTCCACAGGATCAGGGAACTTCTACCTCTCGGTCCATGATGAACATTATGTAGGAGTCGCTCGGATGTGCAAATGTGAATGTATGGCGGACGTCATCAATATCAGATTACGCGTTTTTATATTAGAAAAAACTTTGAAGAAGCAAGTGTTCCATTCTACCATTGGTCAACGGTATTGTACAACATATGACTTGTGTATTCCATGCTCTCTTTCATTCTTGAACAGCAGATTGACCTAAAATCCACCATTGCTTAATACGTCTGCATTTGGTTAAGTGGTCTTGTTTCTCCTGTTCCACAGCCGCTGATAGAATTGATATAATGGAGGTCCCTACCGTAAAAGACACTTTGGGGTATCTTTAAGAGCTCCAGTTTTATTTACATGTCCTTCCCCCAAGGCCTTCACGCTACCAGTTATATCTATTATTTATCATTGTTTTGCTGGTTTTACTTCGCATTTCTAATTGTTTGGAGTGTTTGAAAAGTAAGATATTACCAATGGCAAAGAGATTCCTCCCCCATGAAAAATAATCGGTAACCTTTGGATAGGCGAGAAAAGAACCACAATCTTCGGAATTGTAACCTTCTTTTGCTTCATCGACGACAAATATGGTGGTTGAGGTTGAATTCAAGAGATTTTACATTCTTGATGTCATATAAAGAAAGTTGCACACACTGTACCTCATTTTAACATGTCTCTATAAACCCTTGATGAGTTTGCAACCATATCCATGTTACTATGGGTGTGGTATTTCAATACAATGAACAGGACAAAGAACGTTGTTAACTAATTAAACAAACACAAATGAAATTATTCATTGTACACAAACTTTTAATATTGAATTGAAGTATTCAAAATCACGTGTCCAACGAAACCAGCTTTCCTTCCTCAGAACTTGTTTTCATCCAACCAATCCTGGCTCGACTTCCAACCTAGGGAAACAACAAACTGTGTAATACATCCACAATTGCGCTGGTGTAATTCAGGAAGACAGTGTATCTAAAAGGCGTTTCAAAATGAAGGCAGTCAGTCCAATAATGTTAGTATGCATTCTTTGGTAATGTGACTGACATCCATTATCAATGCAGACATAAAATTAACCTAGACTCGTATAATAATATAGGATGGAAATACGCCGTTCTTGTCAAATCTAAATTAACTTTAAAATGTGTTGCTTCACCTGATATCGCGTGATACGACAGGTTTAAAACCTCCGAGTTAACATTTCGAACCATTTTTCTACCTGACACACACACATTATATAAATATATGTTTCTGTTTACTCTTTTTCACAAATAAAGAGGTTCTTGGAGTGACATTCTAAATCATTGAATCCATTGCTATGCAAAGTGAGACAGTCGCCATTGTTGTTGTCATCGGATGGCTCTCCTGGCAACCAATGATTAGTCATTACTTTCATTCCTGAGGAAGACCATTCCCATACTCCCTCTACGAACATGTCGTTTCCGCCCATGTAGAACTGCACTCCTGAAGCTGCAACATATCATTCTGAGGATGCAGTGATGGTCAACATTTCACTCTCTGGCCATACTAATGAAATACTAATCTTCGCATTCATTCGATTCGCCTACTGTTCTATTTATAGGTTAGTTATCCTTGACCAGCGAACATGTAGAATTGGTAAGAGATCGAGATAGGTTTTTCCAAGTCGAAGCTGAACGTTTACAACTCTCACTTGACGCAGAATTGAGAATTAGATGATGCAGAACAGAATGGACGGGATTACTCAATTTATATGGAGCATACTAATGTTGAAAAGTCATTCAAGCTATTAATCACAAATTCGGAATTCTTGATTTTTAGAACCCAAAGTTAGGTTTTATAGTGCGTTTTATTTTTTCAAGACAGTGTTTGTTTGCTATTTCGAGCCCGTAAATGCAAATGAAAATTATCTTTTTGTTTTACTTTTTCTCATTATTCCAGTATTCGTGTATTGCATTTGAACGTTTGAGAAAAATAAGTGACTGGAAAACTAGATCGTTCTGAAAGCAAACAATGTCTGTTATTCAAGAAAATGGGGAAAAAACAAAAAGCATATTCTGATGCCTGTAGCGGAAATTGTACTGTAGTAACATAATGTTATGCTTTTAAAATAATTTACGTAACTACAAATTATTCAAGCTTTCAACAAATCATCACCAGAACAAATCTAAATTCTAAAAAAAACTCGGTCGTTTGACCTCCATACATCCTTAAGCATGAAAGATAACCTACTAGTTCCTCGGCCAGGAAGCAGACTGTATCCCTTAAATATCTATGATAAAAGGCCAAAGGTGAGAGACAGTGTCAAGTGAGCTATTAGACAGAAGAACGATCTTCAGACAGGAGAAAAACATTTTCAAATCCCAACATCTTTTGTCCCCTTAGGGCCATAAAATTAGCAGGTACCATTTTTTACCTGTATTGCTGTCCCGAAACGAAACGAGAGCATTAAAATATACATAGTAAATCTCATGAAGTTAGTACAGTAACAACACATACTGTCTTTGACACCCTGTTTACAATGCAATTTCATCAATATTTGCTCATTACCTAATAGTTTATTAATATTATATACATCATGTTTTCTAATGCGAAGACTTTCTTAGGAAAATTCGTTCGAAATTATTTTTGCCATCGCAAGTGACAATGGTGGAAAAGGATCTGTATTGAAATAATTATGAGTGAAAAAATAATGGAGACTTTTCAAATGGAAAACTTCATACACAGGAAAACATGAAAAGGAATACAGTAAACATAACATATATCACACTCTTGTTAGTTTTCAAACGCAATGAAGATGGTTCTTACGTCCCCTGTCGTGAATCGATCCTGTCAGAAAGGAATAGGAGATTTCATCCAAAGGCTCAGCGAGTTTGCTCCCGAAACTAAGACAAACGCCCTATAATGGAAATTGACAACTTTAATGAAAGAGAATCACTGGTAAGAACAAGATGTTATATGGTTAGGAATGCAACAGGATTTTTTTTCAAAACGTGTCTAAACTACTTTGTCTTGGCAAAGTACTTTTGAATGAAATGCAAGCAAAACTTTAACGTAGCACTCAGCCACGCAAAAAACGTTATATGTACTTCTGACGTAAAACAATACAAATTGTGGGGAAATATAATTTTAGTTTACCAGTCTGTGTTAATTTGATAATGATTGTACAGATAAGGACGAGTCAGTGAGATATCACTACAAATTTACGTAAGTGACAGCGTCACCAACAGTCCGTATTAAATATAACACAGAATACGTTAAAATTGGATATTAGTAGACAATTAACGATGACCTCACTTACGGAAGCTTCACCCCATGTTGCAGTATAGCGACTTAGAAAATAACACCTACTTGGTCCCGTCAGCCAGCCTAATTGACAACCTGTAACGAAATATTTGCTGCATAATCATGTATATTAATGTTTAAGATAGATGGAGGAAATTAATAAAAAAAAAAACGAAATGAAACAAAATCATCTAGTTTGTATTATCATTATTATTTGCATTCTTGTTTTATCATTTATCCTCGAAATAACAACGGCCATATGGAGGAAGTTACGTGCGGGGGCATCAATAGCTTTGAACATTTAAGGATAACATCCCTATTACATTTTTTTGTGTAGGAAGATTTGAAACTAATGTATAAACAATGCGCCATTTAGTGGCGTAAAAGGGCTGTAAAAGATTTCGGTACAAAGATAGAATATTAAAATAGATATCTTCCATGTATTTTCAATTCACAAGCATTTCTGTAAAAACCTCAATAGATCTACAAGTAAAAATTGGAAATAGTGATCTTCACTGACTCTGCTGTATTACACACTTACATTGACCCTTACGTAAAATGCAACTAACAATGGCAGCAGGCTTTTTTAGGTGTACAATAAGCGTTTCTGACTGCAATTTCTCTATTTAGAATATTTCCTTATCTAGATTATAACAGTCATGTTTTTTTCTGAAACGAACTGCGTTCTCAGTGTATCTTAAAATTAACAGTTTGATCTTTATATTGCAATATAGATAACTATCAGATAGCTTTTCAATACAAGTTGTTTAGGAATACAGGTTGAAGATTAAGGGAAATGTTAAGTGGTCCCCACAATGGTTTCAATGACAAAGGCTCGATTTCATCATTCAGTGTGAAGTTAGATGATTCATATATTTATTAGAAGGTGTGATAATATCGTTGTTTTTAACCTTTCTCTCATTTTAGAATACCGAATTTGAATGACAAAAGGTTCATGAAACAGAAGACCTCGTACGTTTCCGAGATTTTTCCTAATATGATAGTTTACCATTTCTTGTTGAATAAGATCTTGTTTAAATTTCGGTGTTTTCTATTTATTTTGAAAACATTCACAAACTTATCTTTAAACAGATGATACGGTTATAGATGGCCGAGATAGACCATAGTTGATACGGTGATAGGCCTAAAGGGAAACGACTATAACGGACATGGAGATAGACTGAGTGGTAAACAACCCTAGTTGACATGGAGATAGACTGAGAGATAAACAACTCTAGTTGACATGGAGATAGACTGAGAGGTAAACAACCCTAGTTGACATGGAGATAGACTGAGAAGTAAACAATCTAGTTGACATGGAGATAGACTGAGAGGTAAACAACCCTAGTTGACATGGAGATAGACTGAGAAGTAAACAATCTAGTTGACATGGAAATAGACTGAGAGGTAAACAACTCTAGTTGATATGGAGATAGACTGAGAAATTAACAACTCTAGTTGACATGGAAATAGACTGAGAAGTAAACAACTCTAGTTGACATGGAGATAGACTGAGAGGTAAACAACCCTAGTTGACTTGGAATTAGACTGAGAGGTAAGCAATCCTTGTTGAAATGGAATTAAACTGCGAGTGAAATAACTATATTTGACATGGTGGAAATGGACACATTAATATATTATTGATAGTGTTTAAATGTATGTATCGGACAAAATGTATCACTTACCATAAGCTGTAGACATGCAGAACAAAATCGATAATATCAAGTGGTTATCCATATTAACGAAACGTTGACTTTCCTTAGCTTGACTATGTCTTATCAGTAGTGATAGCCAATCAGACATTTGATAAAGTGACACCGGTTTATGTATAGTCTCGAGATAAGGCGACAATTTTTTACAAAACCTATACGTTCTGTTCATTTGAGAATATCGGTTTTCGAGTTTACTTCTGCAAATTTCAAATTATAGAGCTTGGCAACCCTATAGGTTGTAAAAAAGGCAAACAAGTGAATATCATATTTTAGTATAGATTTAGAGTTATGCCTTGGTGATGTTAAAGGCCTAAACAATGAAGCAAAAGAGGCGACTGAAGAAAATAAAAAAAATGATAGAGAGAAGAGTCAAAATCTAGACAGGGAGGTGCACTAACTCCACAATGTAATCTATTTCTTTACTTTTAAATACCTGATACGTTTAAAACACGTCAATTATATATATATATTCTGAATAACAAATGATGATGAAGGTAGCGTATACAAATTGATGAAACAAAAATTATGATTAACAATCATAAACACAAACTTAAATCACGAAATTGATTTTAATTAACACCACTTGTGAATATCGGGTAGATATAAAATACACAAAAACTTTTGTTTTATACTTGTTATCGTCTAATAAACAAATGCATTCATGAAGTCAGTGCATGTTTGTGTTCGGGTGCGATATGAGCGTGAAATCCTCTTTGCGATTTTTCTACCACAGTCGCTCAAAATAATGTTCTAGATAATTTCTTAACACAAAACTAACACTTGCTGCTATATCAATTTGTCTGCTATGATTTTGTTACTTTCAAATGTCGTTTGCTATTACACACACACACACACATATATATATATATAGTAGATTTGGTCCATACCTCCTCAATATCTTGGAAATAAAATAAACAATCTAGTTTCCATTTATTTTCAGTCCATGCTCAAGGGAAATATTGGTTGCCTTGATAATATTTAACAATCTGTAAACACCTATGGCCATTTAAGGATGGTCTCCGTTTGGATGTGTTATATTCATATTAAGGAAGCTGTGATAGAACAGATTGGATTTGAAACCGACTTAATACTTTAACGTTGAAATATTCTACCTACAATGTCACATTATACTGACAACGTATAAACTAGTTTCTACACTAAAGGAAATGATATACTCTTATCGTAGTTTCTATCAAAATGTTTTCTTGATCTTTTTACTGTGATTGTTTGCTTGAGCAAAAGTATTAGCCTTTGATCCATCCTTGTCACAGTCTAAATATCAGTACCCTGAGGCAGCAGTGTAGTTGATGCGAAGTCACCTAATCTTGCATGTTTATAAGTAAGGATCAAATTATCGGATACTATATATGTCGTTGTTTGCCTTTCATGAACAGGAAATTATTGATTTTGAGTGGATTGGGGTTATAAAATAATATATATTCTGCTCTGAAGAGAAATATCTTAAAATCTACATGACCACCTCTTAATCAAGCTCTGATGATTAATTTTAACACAAGCTATTTGTGAACAATTTATTACAAAATGGTAAATGACATTGATTTTTGTGTCTAGCATTTATGTATATTTTGTCCTCATAGACAACCTCGTATTGCCAAGGTTATCTAAAAAATAGTAAGTAATGGTGAAATTAGATGTTTTCTGAAATCTTATTTGTTGTTCCGCCTATTAACCTTGATAATGTACATGAAATATCTGAAATGTATTAATCATATTCAGTATTTACTGTAATCACATATTTTTTTAGGGTGGCTAAAAGAAAATGGATGTGTTATTAGAAGAGAGAGCAGAGCATTTGTGAATTCTCAACTGATAGTACACATCATAGTTGATTCTATATGGAAGGGCTTGTTCGCAATATCGCGAGATATCGATACCTGACAGACAAAATCAAAACGAAGGATTTCAAATGAAGCAAGGTGATGAAGTTGTGGAAAAGTTTCATGATATTAATAATTTCATTGGGAGATATTCCAATATCTTACTTGATATGACGTAAAACGTGTTTTATTGTTTAATTTAATTTATCATCTTTTTTATTTGAGTTTGGATTATGATACTGTTGAGATAAAGGTACTTTCCTTTTACCCTTTGGAATCAAAACATGGAACGAGCTTTACTTTTATTTATTGGTTTCTTAGAAAATTGAATCCGTCCTCAAAAATCGTGTAAAATAATGTCCCCCAAATATAACAGTAAACGGTCATACAACACAAAAACTATTTTTTCTTTATCCTCTCGCATTTCTGTGTTTTGACAATCTACGTTAGAAAACAGAATTTGATTATCAGTACACAAATAAGATATTTAGTAACGGAAAAAACGGAATATTTTATCAAAAACTAAAACCATTCTAAAGTGATTGCTGTAATTGTTCTTTATTTAGTATTATTAAGCGATAATTATAATGATTTCCTTTCTTTCCGATCTTGCTAAGGTTTCACTTCCAAATGTGTGTCCCTAGACTTCAGTCCTCCTACGACCCTGAAATTCGTGATGAACGTTAAGTCGCAGACAAAAAGTCATTCATGATGCCACACAATATATATAAGCACAAAAAAGAGAAAGTAATCAAGGAAACAAAAGAATCTAATGAAATGTTGATAAAATACCACGATCTTACATGAGATGACAGTAGAATAGAGGAAAATTATCCCCTTGTAAAGTGGACAAGAATCAACCACAACCATGAATACATATCATCATAACGTAGTCGTTAAATGTGGAGAAATGGCTGTTGTCAGTTTATCCCAAAAAACAACCTTGCCATGGTCGTCGTCTTTGGGGTATTCGATGTAACTGTCACTTTCGATCAAATCCAGCAACATGAACGGCAATTCTTTGGCTGGAATATCTTCATAGAAGACCAACAACAGAACAGAGTTACCTCCCCTAGAATAAATACTCTCCATTCGCGCCATGTTGAATTCGTACATGCACCAGTATGACTTAAGATATGCTCGAGACAGTAAGACCACGGTTTTCCGACTTTGGTGAATAGCGTTGGTAATGTTCTGGGCTATTTCCTGCCCGGGTATAAAATCACGTTGATGAAGACAAAGGTGCAAGCCTTGTTTTTCTTCCAGGTTGGGTACCACCTCTCCTCTTACAAAACAGAAATCGTCCGAACAATATGATACAAACGCGTCAAATACGTAATCGTCGTCGTCTTCTGCATGGGCGACTGTTGAATAGCCTTTATATCGTGTCTTTGCCATGTAAAACAGGTAACGGAGTTTCCATCTATACCGATATATAATACCAGAAATAGTCAGTGATAAACACAACAAAACCATGGAAGCAAACACTGCTATGATAGCGATATAACTGTCACATGACTTACTCAGTTCAATCAGGATTCCGTCAAAGTCAGTAAATGACGCCTGTGTTCCATTAGTAAATACACAATCGTATCCATGGAAATTTACAAAAAGGGCTTTGTTTTCGCCTATCCATTTCAGGAACTCTAATTCCATACAGGAACAGTCCATTGTGTTTCCTACCAAATTAACCGTCACATTGTTGACCTTTAAGCTTCCTATCTGGTCACGCTGTCTCTCTTTGATTGTTCGTAGTTGGTTGTGTCTCAAGTCAATATACTTCAGATATCTCATTTCTGACAAATCTAAACTGAACTCACTTAACGCATTATTACTAAGGTTTAATATCTGGAGTGTGTATTGATGCTGTAACAGACGACTTGGTAAAGAATAGATATGATTTGTAGATAAATCTAGAATTTCTAAATTTGTAAAATTCTTGAATATTCTTCCATCATGATCTGTACTTAGCACAACTCCTAATAAATTGTTTTGAATGAATAAAGTCTTGACATTGTTATCGACTGGAAAAATATAATCCGACATATAACTACAATAATTATGAGACATATATAAATATTTGATATGCTTTAAATTGTTCAATGGTCCTCTCCACGAATGAAATAGATTATTACTTAGATCTAAAATCTCTAAATTATTTTCTTCAAAATACATTGAACCTATTTCAAAATTCATTGAATTGCTCCTGTAGTATAATTCTCTCAACGATGCTGGAAAAGAGAATTTTGTTAAAATTTTGTTGTCGTGGTTTAGCATTCGTAAAGGGTTTTTGTTACAGCTGAGTAATTCAGTAGATAAAGCGAATGTTACGTCGTCATGAGATGGTGGCGGGGCACGCCAATCGTTACAATCACTACTTCCAGTTTCTAGATTATGAGCAGTGCCTTGATGACCGGCGTGAATTATCTCTATATTTGTTAATTCGGACATAAATTCCATATAGTAAAGCCCAAATGATAACTTATTATCGGATATGGAGAGGAATTTAAGACTTTTCGGAAGTTTCCTTGCCACTCCGGTTTCCAAAATAGCTATCCTATTGCTTTCCGTGTACAGATGTGTCAGGTTTGTGTTATGGAGGTTTTCCACATCACCCCTATGAATTACTGTACTAGGACCAAAGGTGCAATGCAAGCGACTTATGTCTAGGACGCGAATAGATGTGTATTGCATATCATTTGTGATGTTCGCAAGTACTCGGAATGTCAAGCATTCGTTAGACGAGACATTGAGAGTGTGAAGTGGTTTCAATCCACGAAATGTTCCTGGTTCAATTGCACGAATATTGCATCTGGAAATATCCAAATTCTCGACATAAGGAACATTTTTAAAGAAATCGGATCTAAATTTTCTGATGTTGCAGATCCCTGCTTCTCCAGATAAATCCAATATTTTCAACTTGGTCAATAATTTAAAGCTTTCATCGAAACCTAACAAATCTACTCCATCCAAGAGCAACGTTTCCAAGTTTCTCAATTTAGCAATGCTGATTGGAAATCTTAGGTTGGTTGGTGTATATTTCATGTTATTTTGTTTTATATTCAAATATGTCAAATTTGTCAGTCCCTGAAAAATGGTATCGGAAAAAACGGATTTAGTATATTGTAGGAAATTATTGCTTAGATCTAAGTATTCTAAGTTTTTCAAATCCTTAAATGGAAATGACCTGAACATATATAACTTGTTTCCTGATAGGTCCAAATAAGTAACGGATTTAGGGAATCCTTCTCCAGAAAAGTTTCTAATTTTGTTTCCCTGTAGGAATATTACTGACACGCTGTGATGAAATCGTGGAACGAATTCGATATCAAGATGTGAACAGTCAGCCACATAAGTATTGTTACTGGAAACATAACAACGACACACACTCTCTGCTGTACAATTAGTGGATGAGTTTGTAAGGCTTCGGACACGTTGAAAATGATTGGTCAAGGTGAAATCACGTGGAATATCCAATCCATCCTTGTTGGTGTCTTGACCATCAACGTCTTGTGTGCTTAAGTACACAGAAAGTAAGGCAACTCCTGGAAATTAATGTATTTCAAATGTAAGTTACAGTTGAGCTGAACTTCTGGAACTTATACTAATTGTCTAAATATCAACCATATGATAGATACAGAAAAGAAGTTAAAAATCAGGAAATGCACATCTTACGTTTTGACTTTACAAAACACCTTTACTATCAACAATGAACTTTTGAACGTTCTTACAAATAGTTACACTTTTTTTTCTCTAATGTATTTCAGTATACCATATCAAACATTTCACAACAAGAGTAAAAATCTAATATGTTGTGTTTCCATATTGGTTTACTTCATCAATTAATTTCTTTTTTTATTTTTTGACAGGAGAGGTTGTCAATTAAATTGACACGGATGAACATTATTATGTACAAGGCAATGTGTATATGTTCCATTTCCTGTCTCCAAACTCGTTGATAATTCTATAATGTGTAGATATTATCTTGAATATAAAAAACATTTAAACAGTTCCTTTTTACCAAAGGAAAGTTAAGACATAAATTACAAGTTTTGGGTATTACAGAAGACACAATAAGACTTAGACGACATAATTTGGTTATCTGCTCCTTAGTGTGCCAGTTAGTTAAGTTATCATATACCTTGTTCTCATTTGAAGACGTGACGTCACATACTTGGATTGACTAAGGTTTACCTGGAAGGTGTCGTCGATGAAGCAGACGATGCTTACTTACTCTTCCGGAACACCTGGTCTTATCTTCTTTGTACTTTTTCAGGAATATTTGTGCAAACATTTCGTTATATTTTGCCACAGTTTTATTGAATTTGAGTTTGAATTATGATTATGTTGACATGTTGGTATTTTCTTTTTGATTGCTATAATCAGGCAAGTCCGACGCTTTCAAAACAAATACAAGAGACGAAAAATGGTTCCGTGAGTTTCCTGTCTGGATTTTAGACTTGAAGATATGTTACCACTTTGGTAAGGTACTGATCACAATAAGCACATAATTATTGTGTTTCGTTTTATTTTACAAAATGTCTTGACCAGTGTTTTTTTTACATATTTCTATATCTTTTTGAATGAAAACAGGAAATGAGACCACTCAAGTGAAGCGGAAATATTAAGACATTAAAATGACAAACAGCCACATGACTACAAATGATTAGAATAGACATGTTGGAAATAACTTTTATATTTCAACTACAAGCAGATGTCGTAATCATAATGGATAATATGATTACTTTCTCTATAATTACTTCAAAAATATACAGATCTTAGTACACTAATCACAAAAACAAATAATTGAAAACGAGAAGAAACAAATAAAATAAAAAAATTCTGAAAATTACTCTTTCATTCAAACTGAGTTATCTACCCTGACATCTAAAGATAATTATTCAATACGTCTTGTATTTGAACTTTGCATTTAATTGTTCAAAATAAAATTATGTGTAAACATGAAATAACGTGTTCAAATCTTGGTTGCTATGACAAATTTGAAATACAAAAATGATGCTTCAAAACTTAAGAAATTATATTTTTTAGTTTCCTTTTAAACAGTCAGGTAGTCGTCTACACCATAAATTATGTAATGCAACCCTTTTTAATGCACTAAATTGTATGCAGACGGAAACAACATTTTCTATTTTACAACTTGAGATGATGTAAAAACGAGTTGGTAACCATGGGAACGACCGCGAGTAAGTAACATTACTGGCATATGTATATACATAGGTTCCTCCTACTGTGATACCAAATAATATGGAGTTTCTGCCTGTGTTTTATTTTCATTTCTATTATCTTCAACACTACCTAACGATAAGAATTTTTTTTTTTCAAATCTTCGAATTTCGAGTTGCTAAGATAACGTCATAATTGGAAAATCATGCTTTTTGTTACAAGATTTTAAAACTCATATTCTTCTATTTCTTGATATAAAAAGTCGCTTGCCGACACGTTTTCTAACAGAAAGGGTGAAAATTCACGTTGAAGTAAAATGACGGATTGTCTTTATCTTATTTTTTTTTTATTTGAAAATCTTTGGAGTTAGGGAATTGGAGCATTTTAATTTTTTACTGCTTGGTTGAAATTGCAATCTGTATATATATTTCATGTGGCATCCCGATATATTTTAGCCCCTAAATGAGAACTGACTACTGGAATCGAGTTTCCGTAAAATGAGGTATGAGAGGTAGCAACAAAAAGACCAAAATACTGAATTATGAAAAATCGTGTCACCTTTCCGTGAGTAAAAAGCAATATTTTTATGAGAAAAGTTAAAGCTAATCTAAATCAGATTTTATGTCTTGTCTGACATTAACTGAATCCTAGTTTGCAGTAAGTCAAGTAGGTAAGATATAGATAAAACGTTGAACATATGATTTATGATATATGTATGTTCGTAAACATACAGAAATGTACATCTTGGATATGTGTTCGTGGTTATCAAAGCTATAATCGTTATGAAATACGTTCACACTACAAACAAGTCCCATTTGTGTATTCAGCTGTCTAAAAGTGCTTCCGACATTGTCCTTTTTTGTGAACTCTATACACAATCATATCCCTGACTTGTTTACCCAATACCATACTGAAGGATAGCCTTCGTATGATGGTAGACTATACTGAAGCGTATTTTGTGAAAAATGCGACCAAATACAAGAGGAAATATATGGGAAAATGAAATTGTTCAAATAATCAAATTTATTATTAACTGTACCTTCTAAATAAACTCCAAATTTATAAACTAAAGCATTACGGAGAGATATAGGTCCTATCTATTGTACTTCGTGGTGTAAATTCAATGCTAGTGTTATGTAAATATACATGCGGAGTGTAAGATCATATGGACTCTGAAATCGTCGAATTTATTTCCTTAGTTCACAAATAAAATCAGCTTTTCATTTCATTATTAAACTTTGAAAAAAACGAAAACAGCAGCTGATTCATTCTGTCTTGTCTCGTGTACCACGCCCTCAATAACATCAAACATTTAACTCACTCTCTGTTACGATACGCTGAATAAAAATTATTGTCGTTCATAAGTAATTATTGATATTTGCTAAGAATCTATACGGTAGATAAAACTTAATGATTGATTGTCAGCAGATATATGTTTTAATCTTATATTGACTTGTAGCATTTATGGGCGTTATGAACGACAGCTTTGCATGTCAGACAGTTTAGTACTTGTGGTTACCTGGCTTAAACCTTATTTAAGTTATCACTGTATTAAAACTGTACTCAATTACTCAAATCGATAGAGATATTTGAAAAAAAAAATATCCTTAAATCCCCATATCTCCTGATTGTTGATATGGTTACATGGTCCTAAAATGTTGTTATTTAGGTTATCGTGTGCTAAGGTGATCATTTCTAACAACACTGATATTTACTCTAATCATTCATTTCACAATGTACTTACCAATCAACGTTGTTAACTGTTTCATAGTTTACACTGCCTCGTGCGTATTCTTGGTCTACAAAATTACAGGTCATCGGGTACAGTAACTGATTGATATACGTATGGTATATAAACCTCTCAAATTACAATATAAGAATGCAATGTCCAAGTTTTATAGTGGAAAAAATTAACTCTCTAGATCATACTGAAATATAGTAACTTTTCATCAATGTTACAATGAATACACACACCACTGTGATCTTCATAATCTACATCTCGGACAAAACAATTGTAAGATATGCTTACCTTAAATCATTCAAGCTGTAGTGAAATTGAAATTCTAACTTCCCCAATGATTTTAAACTTCCTGTTTGGTTAAATATTTTTAACTTCATATATATATATATATATATATATATAATGTTTAAATTACCAATAGCGGTGATGAGATATGAAATTTGATTCCTTGTGTGCGATATATGTCATTGCCGGCTCAATGCACACGATAAAAGCAAAATATATTTGCAACCATGCAGTAGGTAATTTACTTATGAACAGGAGATTTAAAGACGCTACTCAGTACGTGACTCGTTAATGAACTATAGGTAAAGTCGACAATTTGGTGTATACACAGTTTCTAGTATTAAGTAGGAAATCTCAGGTGTTGACCAGAGCTGTGTTGTTCGCCATACTCTACCCATGACGGTTAGTGTTTCTCATAAAGCTGAGAAAAGAGCTGTGGTGATGTGTTTGTTTCTGGTGATAAGATACCTAAACCCTATTTCTGTATAAGTAGCATTCGACTGGCCTCCTGTATGTTGTTCAGCGAGATTGCCTGCAGTTACGACAAAGAGATCCCGCCTCAAAATGATCTTTGATGTTCACAGGGAGAAAACCCCAGCAAACTACAGGAAAATACCACACCGTTCCGGCTTCAGTAACCATGGATGCAAATCATCCGGTGACAAATCAAATAAATTTTACGAAGAAGATTTTCTTTCTATGAAAACAAAAAAAAATCAAACGATTCTGCAACCTGGTAGCGTGGATACCTAATACCCAAAACCTTATGTCAATGTCACCACATGCAAATAAATGTTTTGATTAGGCAAATAAAGTTATCTGATCCTAGTAAAACATTCTCGCGTCAGCGGACACTATAGACCGATTCGCTTGATATTATATATAAATACACGCTGAATTTTATCATCATTAGTCATTCAGAAGATATCAACAACATATTATCTTGAATATAAAAAACATTTAAACAGTTCCTTTTTACCAAAGGAAAGTTAAGACATAAATTACAAGTTTTGGGTATTACAGAAGACACAATAAGACTTAGACGACATAATTTGGTTATCTGCTCCTTAGTGTGCCAGTTAGTTAAGTTATCATATACCTTGTTCTCATTTGAAGACGTGACGTCACATACTTGGATTGACTAAGGTTTACCTGGAAGGTGTCGTCGATGAAGCAGACGATGCTTACTTACTCTTCCGGAACACCTGGTCTTATCTTCTTTGTACTTTTTCAGGAATATTTGTGCAAACATTTCGTTATATTTTGCCACAGTTTTATTGAATTTGAGTTTGAATTATGATTATGTTGACATGTTGGTATTTTCTTTTTGATTGCTATAATCAGGCAAGTCCGACGCTTTCAAAACAAATACAAGAGACGAAAAATGGTTCCGTGAGTTTCCTGTCTGGATTTTAGACTTGAAGATATGTTACCACTTTGGTAAGGTACTGATCACAATAAGCACATAATTATTGTGTTTCGTTTTATTTTACAAAATGTCTTGACCAGTGTTTTTTTTACATATTTCTATATCTTTTTGAATGAAAACAGGAAATGAGACCACTCAAGTGAAGCGGAAATATTAAGACATTAAAATGACAAACAGCCACATGACTACAAATGATTAGAATAGACATGTTGGAAATAACTTTTATATTTCAACTACAAGCAGATGTCGTAATCATAATGGATAATATGATTACTTTCTCTATAATTACTTCAAAAATATACAGATCTTAGTACACTCATCACAAAAACAAATAATTGAAAACGAGAAGAAACAAATAAAATAAAAAAATTCTGAAAATTACTCTTTCATTCAAACTGAGTTATCTACCCTGACATCTAAAGATAATTATTCAATACGTCTTGTATTTGAACTTTGCATTTAATTGTTCAAAATAAAATTATGTGTAAACATGAAATAACGTGTTCAAATCTTGGTTGCTATGACAAATTTGAAATACAAAAATGATGCTTCAAAACTTAAGAAATTATATTTTTTAGTTTCCTTTTAAACAGTCAGGTAGTCGTCTACACCATAAATTATGTAATGCAACCCTTTTTAATGCACTAAATTGTATGCAGACGGAAACAACATTTTCTATTTTACAACTTGAGATGATGTAAAAACGAGTTGGTAACCATGGGAACGACCGCGAGTAAGTAACATTACTGGCATATGTATATACATAGGTTCCTCCTACTGTGATACCAAATAATATGGAGTTTCTGCCTGTGTTTTATTTTCATTTCTATTATCTTCAACACTACCTAACGATAAGAATTTTTTTTTTTCAAATCTTCGAATTTCGAGTTGCTAAGATAACGTCATAATTGGAAAATCATGCTTTTTGTTACAAGATTTTAAAACTCATATTCTTCTATTTCTTGATATAAAAAGTCGCTTGCCGACACGTTTTCTAACAGAAAGGGTGAAAATTCACGTTGAAGTAAAATGACGGATTGTCTTTATCTTTTTTTTTTTTATTTGAAAGTCTTTGGAGTTAGGGAATTGGAGCATTTTAATTTTTTACTGCTTGGTTGAAATTGCAATCTGTATATATATTTCATGTGGCATCCCGATATATTTTAGCCCCTAAATGAGAACTGACTACTGGAATCGAGTTTCCGTAAAATGAGGTATGAGAGGTAGCAACAAAAAGACCAAAATACTGAATTATGAAAAATCGTGTCACCTTTCCGTGAGTAAAAAGCAATATTTTTATGAGAAAAGTTAAAGCTAATCTAAATCAGATTTTATGTCTTGTCTGACATTAACTGAATCCTAGTTTGCAGTAAGTCAAGTAGGTAAGATATAGATGAAACGTTGAACATATGATTTATGATATATGTATGTTCGTAAACATACAGAAATGTACATCTTGGATATGTGTTCGTGGTTATCAAAGCTATAATCGTTATGAAATACGTTCACACTACAAACAAGTCCCATTTGTGTATTCAGCTGTCTAAAAGTGCTTCCGACATTGTCCTTTTTTGTGAACTCTATACACAATCATATCCCTGACTTGTTTACCCAATACCATACTGAAGGATAGCCTTCGTATGATGGTAGACTATACTGAAGCGTATTTTGTGAAAAATGCGACCAAATACAAGAGGAAATATATGGGAAAATGAAATTGTTCAAATAATCAAATTTATTATTAACTGTACCTTCTAAATAAACTCCAAATTTATAAATTAAAGCATTACGGAGAGATATAGGTCCTATCTATTGTACTTCGTGGTGTAAATTCAATGCTAGTGTTATGTAAATATACATGCGGAGTGTAAGATCATATGGACTCTGAAATCGTCGAATTTATTTCCTTAGTTCACAAATAAAATCAGCTTTTCATTTCATTATTAAACTTTGAAAAAAACGAAAACAGCAGCTGATTCATTCTGTCTTGTCTCGTGTACCACGCCCTCAATAACATCAAACATTTAACTCACTCTCTGTTACGATACGCTGAATAAAAATTATTGTCGTTCATAAGTAATTATTGATATTTGCTAAGAATCTATACGGTAGATAAAACTTAATGATTGATTGTCAGCAGATATATGTTTTAATCTTATATTGACTTGTAGCATTTATGGGCGTTATGAACGACAGCTTTGCATGTCAGACAGTTTAGTACTTGTGGTTACCTGGCTTAAACCTTATTTAAGTTATCACTGTATTAAAACTGTACTCAATTACTCAAATCGATAGAGATATTTGAAAAAAAAAATATCCTTAAATCCCCATATCTCCTGATTGTTGATATGGTTACATGGTCCTAAAATGTTGTTATTTAGGTTATCGTGTGCTAAGGTGATCATTTCTAACAACACTGATATTTACTCTAATCATTCATTTCACAATGTACTTACCAATCAACGTTGTTAACTGTTTCATAGTTTACACTGCCTCGTGCGTATTCTTGGTCTACAAAATTACAGGTCATCGGGTACAGTAACTGATTGATATACGTATGGTATATAAACCTCTCAAATTACAATATAAGAATGCAATGTCTAAGTTTTATAGTGGAAAAAATTAATTATCTAGATCATACTGAAATATAGTAACTTTTCATCAATGTTACAATGAATACACACACCACTGTGATCTTCATAATCTACATCTCGGACAAAACAATTGTAAGATATGCTTACCTTAAATCATTCAAGCTGTAGTGAAATTGAAATTCTAACTTCCCCAATGATTTTAAACTTCCTGTTTGGTTAAATATTTTTAACTTCATATATATATATATATATATATATAATGTTTAAATTACCAATAGCGGTGATGAGATATGAAATTTGATTCCTTGTGTGCGATATATGTCATTGCCGGCTCAATGCACACGATAAAAGCAAAATATATTTGCAACCATGCAGTAGGTAATTTACTTATGAACAGGAGATTTAAAGACGCTACTCAGTACGTGACTCGTTAATGAACTATAGGTAAAGTCGACAATTTGGTGTATACACAGTTTCTAGTATTAAGTAGGAAATCTCAGGTGTTGACCAGAGCTGTGTTGTTCGCCATACTCTACCCATGACGGTTAGTGTTTCTCATAAAGCTGAGAAAAGAGCTGTGGTGATGTGTTTGTTTCTGGTGATAAGATACCTAAACCCTATTTCTGTATAAGTAGCATTCGACTGGCCTCCTGTATGTTGTTCAGCGAGATTGCCTGCAGTTACGACAAAGAGATCCCGCCTCAAAATGATCTTTGATGT